AATAGGTGATTGGGTGCCAGTTTCCATTATCTTCCAATTGCTCCAATATTGCTCCCATTGTTCCATTCGAGGCGTTGGTATGTAGTCATTTTTTCTTATTTAGGTTGGGCAGCCTTATTACTGGATCTTTTATTATAATCTTCTTTATTTCTTGGAATGCCTTTTCTGCCTCTTATGTCCACTTAAAATCCTTTGGATTTTTGATATGTATTGTAGCCATTATTGGTTCCATGATTTTCTTGAAATCCTTAATTAGGGTTTTGTTGTAGTTGTAGAAACTATGGAAGGCTTGTACTCCTGTGATGGTTTCTGGGGTTGGCCATTCCCTTATTATGGATATTTTGGATTTCTAGATTTTGATTTTTCCTGGAAAGATTATATATCCAAGATAGTCAAGTTTTTAAACAAAGAAGTCACTTTTGTCTAGGTTTATAAAAAGCTTAGCTTCTCTTAGGGCCTTAAATACTTTATATATATCCTTCTTATGTTATTTTCTGGTTTTTAAATGGATCAAAATGTCGTCTAAGTATACGAAAGTGCTTTTTCCGAGGAATTGTTGTAGAACATCCTGGATCATTTGTTGAAAGGTGGCTGGCATATTTATAAGTCTAAATGGCATTACTAAGCATTTGAAATAACTGTGCGGTATTCTGATAGCTATCTTCCACTCATCTCCTTCAACAATTCGTATAAGGTTAAAAATGAACTTTAGATCCAATGATATGAACCATTCATTATTATCTATTTCTTCTTTTAGGCTTTCAATATATGGTAGAGGATGCTTATCTTTAACCGTGATCTTATTTAGTTATTGGTAATCATAAATATCCCTCCATATTACTTTTCCTTTTTTATTTAGCTTAGATGTTCCATCCTTGTTCTTTTTGGGTATTAAGAAAATTAGGTATCCTGTTAATGATTTTGATTTTTGTATAAACCCTCTTGCCTCCTTGTCTTGGAATATAATGTGTAAGGTTTCGGATTCGTTCTGGCTTAATCTGTAAACTTGGTATAGTTTTAGATGTTCTCCTTTCTTCAATATTATTTTGTGGTTATATTGACTATGTTCTGGTATACCTATATCCATATCTGGATTATCTTGGAATAACTTGGGAAACATTTTTATATATTTTTCTTTGATTTTGATTTGTTTTTGGTTGTTTGATTCTTTGGTATCTATATGTCATATTATAAGATATAGAGGTATAGAATGTTCCTTCATGAGGTTACCTATTTGCACTTGCTGTAATTGCTATTTCGATTTGCTTGAGTTGGCTTCTTTCTGATGTTTAGGGGTTGAATCTTTTTCTGGCTTGTCCTAATAGAGTCGATCCTATACCCAGTTGATTCTTGGGTTACTAGCTTTGAGCTATATCTTTCCCAAAATTAATTTGTAGTTTATGTTAATAAGATTAAAAGATACCAATTCTTGATATCCTTGGATCAAGATAGAAAGAGCTGTAGTTTCTCTTTTGACTTTTCTTCCATCGTAGGTAATGAGGCTTCTGTTAATGTTGCTGACTTGGTAAGGCATCTTCTTTTTTTTGATATGATATTCCATATGTGTTGACCAATCTTGGATGGATTAAATTGATTATACATCCTGAGTCAATCAGGGTATTAAATTTGTATCTTTTTTATATCATCTTTACGATTAAGTAGGGTTCCTTGGCTATTCTTATTGAACATGTTAGCTTGACCTTGCTTGATATCATCTATAGGATTTTCAACAGCTTTTCCATTATATCCTATTGTTTGTTAATCATATCGATCATTCCTCATGATAGGTTTATTAATTGTTCGGTTCTTCCTTGGAAAATTATAATCTTACTTTCTAAATGTTGTATTTCTCTTTGAGACTGGTTAATCATTTCCCTGTATCGTAGTAATGTCTGTTCATAATATCCATCCAGGACAATATTTAAATATTGAACCATTTGTTTTAGATATCTACAAACAGGCTTAATTAAGGTAATTTTGCCTTGTTTTTTCTTATAAAATACTGTATAGGAAACCTTATATATGTTTCTATAATATTATTATATAAATTCCCAGTCCTATCCATTTCTGATTACTCCTTTATAATCCAAATCTTTAAGTATATTCAGGGTAAATAATTCCAGTATTCCTTATCTTTTAAATATTTTTCTAACAATATTTTTATGGACTCTCCCGCGATTCTGTCTTCTACATTTTTGGGTCTATATTTCATCACTTTTAGACATATATCTTAGGTCTATTAGATTACCAAGATTATAATAATAATAATTTATTTATTTAATTAATTATATATGGTATATTAATTCTAGTTCAGGGATTTAATTCCATCCTCCCTTATTATTAGAATCTTATTAATCTTATATCACCTGCTGGTGTAGTTACATTCCATTAAAGTATGTTAGAACAATACTTTTATTTAGTAATAATATAGCAGAGATATTTTGGTTATCAATCTATATTAAAAATATCACTTCTCCTTCCACTTCTCTTTCCATGTTCCAATCTATATCTTATAATAGCCTTTATTCATCCAAAGAAGAACTAGATTCTTCCAAAGAGATATTCATTTCTTCCTCCTTGGAGTCCCTTATGCCTATCGTACCAAGATTCTATAATTGATTCATTTGGTCCACGAAACTTTCCATTTCTGTTTGTTAGATGGCTTTGTTATAATCCGGTGGTGGGTTCTCCTATTCTTCTTCTTCTTCGATAATATTGAGTACTCCCAAGGTTAAGGATCCTAATGTTATTATTATTGTATTGGCTGATCTTCTTTCTAGGATTTGTGACTGTTTCTTGGGTTTCTTGTATTAATTCTTGTAGTGTTCCATTTCTTGGTAATTGTAGCATTTGACCTTGCTTAAATCCTTCTTAGGTTTCTTATTATTATTAACTGCGTTTAGGTTCTGAGTTTTAATTGGTTCCTTTTTTCCCTGATTCTTTGTTACTTTAGAGCCTCTCTTCTTCTTATTATATTTTTTATATAACTTATTATTGTGAAGAATTACCCTGGTCATATACTTGTCAATAATGGCAGGTTATTCTTCCTTGGAGAGTTCATCTTTTACCTAGGTAGCCACTTCCTTATAGAGATAATCAAATTGTACATCTTTGGGTAATTGCCCTATAGTTGTAAATTGCTTAAATTCTGCCATGTAAAATGTAGTTTATCCTTTTTATCTAAGGTGATAGATGGCCTTCTATGCTTCTTCCTTCTTGAATGGCTTGCCAAACATTATTCATATTTTATTCTCAAAATGTTCATATAATTCAAAGATATATTGAGATTTCTTTGATTCCTCTTTGATGATATTAAAATGGTTTTCCAAGATGGATTAAAACTATGTAAGGGTAGTTTTACTTAAAAATTAAGTAATAGTAAATACCTATTATTTCTCCTATGGCAGATTTTCCCTATAAAAGGATAGATAAAGTTTTACATATATGAACCAATCCTTAATATCTGAAATTCTATTGTAGATTAGCAGATCCATTAATTTATATCCCTTAACGAGCGGGAAAGGGGTTATTATTCTTTCCCTTTTTGGTTGGGGATCTCTGCCTTCCTTTTCCTTCCTGTCTTTTCCTTCGTCATTGTCGTTATTGTCTGGAGGTCCAGGAGGTACTAAAGGTTGGGGGGATGCTGGTTATTGAGAGGTTCCCAATGGGGATCCTTCAGGGGCTTTCCCAAGTCTAGCCTCCTTTAAGGCCAATTCTTTTTTAAGCCTTTTAACCTCCCTAAAGGCAGCCACCGCTTTGGCTTGCCAATCAGGGGTCTCTTCCTCCTCCTAGTTATCCTCTCCCGTTCTGACATTGATTTCCTCCTGTGCTTCCGACTCCGGGATCTACGAGCGTGTCTTAGGAGGCACCATCCTGTCAATGAGTTGGAATACCTTCTCTATTAGTGGCAAGTCCCAAATGTTATAAATAGGTGTGGGTGTTCTGGGCAGTGATGGACTAGGCCGTTATAAATCGCCTAGGTCTTCACTCTGGAATTCCTCTTTATCTGACTCTTCTTTATTTTCCAGGTCAGGGTCTACTAATTTATCCCATATCTAATCGTGATATTACTCAAAAGGTAATTCTTGGAAGGTGTAGAGGTTTTCTATTTTATCTTCAAAGGTTAATGAAACAAGAAAAGGTTCGATTAATGGTGGTAAAGGGATATCCTATGAATGGCTTATGCCACTTCTTGGCCCAGTATTGGTATTAATCAAAGAATTATCAAAATATGACGAACCTATCCCTTGAAGAAGTATAGTTGTTGTTGGATTGGCTAATCCAGGGTTTCTTGATTTGAAGGTAACAATATCAGTAGTAGGTCAAGTGGTTAAGTTGGTTCTATTCGTCAGAAAGGCCTGGAGTCCTCTCACCATACTCGAAAGAATAATCTTAGATTGATAACTAAAGAACGTAAAAGAATGACTAGATACATAGGAGAATCATGGTAATTATATAGATGTTCCCTATTGCTACCTTCCTTATAGATGAGGTTAGATCCCTTCATCCATATTCATCCCTTATTACACTTGCTGGATGAGACTGGATACACTTATCCATACTCATCCATGTCACACTCACTGGATGAGACTGGATATCCTCATCCACATTCATCCATGTCACGTGTTATGCACTCCTGCCCCACTTCGGCAAGGAAAAAGGTTTCCTCCGGGGTCTTACACCCCTGTAGGCCTGTGTGGTTTGTGACACCTTTTCAAGCTTCACATATTCGGAGACTTTTCTAATCTCCGTTCCCTGCTAATTCGTGCGCGACGGTGCTACGGCATTTATACAAACACTCCAAGTCCGCTCCTATTCCTTCAGAAACTATCTCAATCCGCTAGCTTCGAAAGTCCGATTTTACTTCCCGTCCTAAACCGTCTTACTCTAAAACGTCGCAACTTTCCTATCGCAATGGCTGTATTTACGTCTATCGTTTTAGTTGTGGTACATCAAGTCTCTTTTACGGGGACTTACACCTAACCAGCATTACGACAACGATGTCATCTCTCTTCACAGGCGACTTCAGCATTCCTAAGCTGGCCTTGCTAGTCATTCTCCTGGTATAGTACGGCCCATCAATACGACCTAGGAGCTCCAATCTAACAGAGATCTTGGTTAGTCTATCAGTTACCATGTCTCCATATCAGTATACAATCTTCTTTTCCATCCGTTAGCGTCATACCCAGGTCCAATACTCCACCGCATCTCCATACTTCCCCGTACGGCGTACCTCTTACGCGGCGAGTTACCATTTCATGTCACAAATCTCCACGCCAAGTACGGACCCGTAGTGCGTATTGCACCCGACGAGCTAGCATTCTGCGACCCCCAAGCTTGGAAGGATATCTACGGCCACAAGCCACAAGGTCAGGATGAATTCCCAAAGGATAACAAATTTTATCGGCCGATTAAAAGCACACCCGCTAACATATTCTCGTCTTCGCGCAATGACCACGCACTCCTTCGCCGACAACTTGCCCATGGGTTTTCCGACCGTAGCATGAGAGAGCAAGAACATATTATTGGCGCATACGTCGACTTGTTGGTCAAGCGTCTCCAAGAACATTCTAAAGGAGGAACCAAAGCACTCAATATGCGCGAGTGGCTAAATTGGACAACATTTGATATCATTGGTGATCTTGGACTGGGGAGTAGCTTTGAATGCCTCGAGAAAGCCGAGTATAATCCCTGGGTCAGGGTTATTACCAAGGCAATTAAGAGCAGCAGCTATATGCAAGCTATCACCGCCGTCGGAGGTACACGGCTAGTTACTTGGGTTGCTCAAAGTGGGTTATGGAAATCTCGTCAGACTCATAGGCAGCTCGTAAGAGAAAAGGTCATGCAGAGAATGGAGCTTGGTGCTGAACGTCCAGATCTTATTGAGGGCTTATTGAAGAAGCAGAAAGAATGGGTGAGTAATAATCCTGATTATATGTTCTCGTATCCCGATCTGTAGTTGTTGCCGTATACTAACTCCCGCAGCAAATGTCCTTACGTCAAATCTCAATTAACGCTTCAAGGCTCATCGTTGCGGGCTCCGAAACCACTGCGACGCTCTTATCTGGCACTGTATTCTTTCTTACGACGCATGAAGACAAACTCGCCAAACTGGCTCACGAAGTCCGTTCGTCTTTCAAGAGTGACGAAGAGATTACGTTAAGCTCTGTTGGGGATCTTACGTACATGCTTGCATGTTTGGATGAATGTCTCCGCATGTATCCCCCCGTAGCCGTCGGATTTCCGAGAGTGACACCAAAAGGAGGTGGGACAATCGCTGGTCACTTCATCCCAGCCGGGTACACGGTCAGCGTTTGGCAGTGGGCGATTAACCACGACCCACGCTTTTGGACTGACCCCTACGAGTTCAAGCCGGAGAGATTCCTGGGCGATCCCCGATATAAGAATGATAGGTTTGATGCTATGCAACCATTCAGTGTTGGACCTCGGAATTGCATCGGAAAGAAGTGAGTACTGGTCTCCTAGAGTTTGACCATATTAGAGCTATGCAGTAACTAATTGCGACAGTTTGGCGTACGCGGAGATGAGGCTGATCCTGGCCAAGATCATTTACAACTTTGATATGCGGTTAGATGATGGTGCCCTGAATTGGCTCGCGTCACAAAAGAACTATGTCTTGTGGGATAAACCAGTGCTCGGTGTGTATATCACTCCTGTAACTCAGTGACATTCTGCGCTTCATGCCCGTACACGAGTTCAATCTGGCATTAAGACCGCTATTATATATACAGATTCAAACGACCTTAAAGTGTGATTGGTAGTCACGTACACCTGGATAGTCAGTTCCCGCGAGGTCTCAACCCTGATAATTGATAACTTTGATCCCTTCGGTATACTCGCCTGCAGGGAATTTGATTTTACCAATGTACATGCGGCGTTTCGTATCAGCAGGGTTACCCGGCTTGTCGCGACCGTGGAAAGCGATGGTGGTTCCATCCGATGCGATGTCCATATGACCGGGGCCGTAAATAGGTTGATTAGGTCCGGATTTGGCGAGGGTTTTACGATGACCGAACTCGGCGTCGGGGGCAGTTCCCCACGCGTATTGGATATCGTACTTGTCGCTGTTATAGCAGTGTGTGCTGAAGAACAGGACCTACATCACCTGAGGTCAGAGGTATTCCCGGTGTAATCAAATTGTTCAGGGTACTTACATATGAGCCTGGTTTACGCTTCCACATCGCCGGTCCTTCGATAAGTCCGTCGTCGGCCGCGCCATTGTGGTTAAGAATGGTCTTGGGACTACCTTGAAGGGTCAATCCGTCCCGCGATACTCTCTGGACTCGGATCGGAGTCGGGTTGTAAGTGTCGCCCGTTGAACTGCCTGTGCAAGTAGTCTTACCGCCTAGTGCGTTACCATCAACTTTCCAGATAATCCAACGATTCTTTCCATCGTCAAACTGAACTGGGTCAATGACTCCACCGCCAGCATCGTCGCAGATCAAGGGCTTATCCGTAACTATGAAAGGACCTTGGGCATATTCCGCAGTAGCAACACCGGCGCATCGGCGGGCACCAGTACGTTGGCCGGAGACTAGAATACCACTACTCAGTATTCCGTCGCCTCGAGTCATGAATCAATAAGATGTGTGAAGATACTTACAGTACATAACGTACTTGCCGTTGTCGTTCTTGAAGACACTCGGGGCCCAGATACCTCGGTTTTGGGGATCAACCCAGGGGCCCACGTCGGGCATCGCGTCCATCTTTGCCCACGTCCATTTTTTGCCATCATTAGACGCCGCTAGGGGAACGTGCCCATTGTTGTCGCTTGATGTCGAATAAGCCCACCAAACATTGCCATCAATGAAGAGCGTCGGATCGGGGAACGAAATGTCCATGACTGGGCCATTCCATGGTCCTCGAGCTCGAGATAGAAGGTCACCATAATCAAACTCGGACTCTGTTACGTTGAGAAGATCGATGGTCTATTGTATGGTCAACGTCTGCAGCATTCGGCTGCTCGGCCTGAAGAGCCAGGATCCGACTCGAAGGACAGTTGAATACAGCTTCACTCACATCGAAATCAGGAGAAGGCAATGCTGCCGCGAGCGCAGTGGCTGTCGCCAGTAAGAGACATTTCTTCATGATGGCGACTCTAATCAAGATTTTCTATAGTATACAATGTTGGATTTCATGCGCATCCAAGCAGCAATAAAAGGAGGTGCTATTATATATGTAGCCGTCTCTTCCCAATCCTATCTAGGTTAACTAAGAGGCAGTAAGCGAGTGACCCGTCCCCATGTTCCTACCTAGGTAAAGTTCATTGCGGCAACCACTGTAACATCGCTGGTCGTATCCCTCAACTTCGTTTTCATGCCATTGTACCTTCGCTATGTCCTTAGATCTCTGGCTGGTTCGCGAGCACGACTTGGGGCTGGCTGCCTTGGCGCTAGGACTAGCGAGGAAGCCAAGTTTCCTAAACCACAAATCCTAAGGCGCATTGGGGCTGGACATAAGGATTGACGAGGGTCCTCTCAAGTTGCGCGAAGGATGCAGTTCTCGTTTATTTGGGTACCTTGTTTAGTATCACTAACCATACAGCAGGGCAATAGCGACATCGTTTCGCGAAAAGCTCGTAGCTAATTATCATGATAATATAGGTTTGCGCATTCGGGGGCATTTCTTTTGACCGTCTAAGCTGAGGCATGCCCACGGCAAAGCCGCGGTGTTTCGATACCAAACCTCCCTTACATATAAGACAAACACTTTTAAATCTATCCGGCGTATATGCATCACAAGATTGGAAAGTTAACGTATCATCACACAAATCCAGATATAGGAAAGACGTTACATCGTCTTTCAGTCGCATAATATACACCTAGGGGTGGCGTTAGGTAAGTATACGCTTTCGCCGTCTTTACGATGGCCTCACAAAGAGAACTTGGTAGTTCGCCTCAAATAGGAAGGTCACCCTATAGTAAAATTATGCTATGGGTTCACGCTATTAGACGTCATCTGACAGCGCGCGTAAAAAGGACTCAGGATCAAGCGCATGCCTTTGGAAACCCCATCCCACATTAAAATTTAAGTCTAACACAATGTTGAAAACGCGGATCATCCGCTCCTTGATAACTTATATCCCCCAAGGTAGCCCATTCCCATACTTTCCGTTGCGATAGTAATAAACATTTGTCCTTCCCACTGCCCGACGCGTCGATATTGTACCAAATCTCGGCTTTCTTCATATGCCTCTTGTCGCGTAGATATTGGATGAACGAGCGCTGTTTTCCCCATAAGATGTTCCTCCATCTTTGCCGAACGGAAGCTTGTTTAACGGGGTCGCAGTCCCATACTAGAATTCTTTTACCTTTTCTCTTGGTTGCGGTGTCATTGATAATAGCTAGCGCAAAGACGTGCCATGGCCTTCGCTTCCATTGGTCGCCTACGAGGCTGCCATTGGGTATGCTGAGCAACGCTATCGAGGTCTGTCTGCCAAATCTTGAGTGCGACCCCGCGAAGTTCCGAAAGAAGTCTCGAGAGTTGGCATCGGGCATATACTCCTCCCAATTTGCGCGGTCTTGTTCGCTATGAAACGATATTACTTGAGGGTGCACGTAGGGACAACGTCCATGCGTCATTGGTTCCCAAAACTGTTGTAAGAATGTTGATATCTCCGTACCTGGAGATTCGGGGTCGGAAGCCGGTTCGCGCGTCGGAACGATGGCGGTCGCGGGCTGCATATTGTTGAGCAGTTCATGATAAATGACAGTAAACAGAAGAGATGAAGAAAACAACACGGTAAGAAAAAGTAAGCAGAGAACAAATGTGAGATGTGATAGGAATTAGACCGTGCTCACTAGAATCGATAGATGGTCGTGAGGCTAGAAGACCCTTGTTGAAGGTCCATGCTGACCTTGTAAGCGATTCATGTCTTCATGACAAACGTTCCCCTCAGATACATCGCGAAAAAAGTGCACAAGGGCAATGGTAAAATTTTCTATAAATGGGTTCATTCGATTTCTCTAGTCTTGATTGACTTTGCGAGCTAGCTTTTGGTTGTGACTGGTAGAAATCTGGCCGGTTCTCTGACATATAAAGTATGAGGCAAGCTCATCTTTACAGGAAGATATCGTTCTGGGCACCAGCTTTCCATCCCATCTTTTCATTGTAGCCCGGGGAGATCCCAGCTGGCATTTCGAAGTTGTTGCCATCAATCTCTATTCAGTGCGTTAGGAATGGCGGAAACCAAAGCAAGATTTGAGAGAAAAGACTAGGGGATACATACGGTTCCAGGCGATCATCTGTTTTGCTCCCTCGATACATGGCGTCTTACCATCACCGCAGAACACCGCCGATTTAGCGGCAGCGACAGTCTTCGTTGAAGTAGAGCCAGTAACGCGACATCTAAAATTCTGCATGTACATATTCGGTTGACCGCCTAATTAACAGGGTAGCGCATGTCAGCTCAAGGGACTTGAGTGAGAGGAAAGGAACGGCCGACTTACATCCGTCGGGAACCCAAAGCCACGCGCAATAACAGCCACCCTCAGGACAAGGAGGCAAATCAGCCGGGACATCGTATGTGGCTAAACGCTTCCACGGAGTACTGTTATAATTACGTCGCCATTAGCTCGATGTCTGCGTAAGACGCAATTTCATTCCCGACTCAAGTTACGTACTGCTGCAAAACTGTGAATACCGCTAGGTTCTCCATTGTAACTTTCGAAATGTCGGAATTGTATGAGATAGCGAAAGCGGTTCCAGCAGCTGTTGACTCATTATGGGTATGCATCGCGCCGCCTGCTTGGTCAGGGTTGGCATCGAGGCAAGTATCAGGAGAAGGACTATGCCAGTCTTCTGGGTGTTGTCCACCGTCCGGCCATTCCGAAGTGAATTGTCCCTTAAATGAAAGAGTAGTTTGAGCACGGTTATGAGCCAGCTCAACTGTAAAAGATTTGCCCGCGGGGAGCTCCAAAAAGTCGCCCTCATCGGGTGGGAACTGGTCGCAACTGCGGTCATGCTGCATCCACCATTCGCTCTTGGGAAGTTGGTATAGAGGAAGGACAGCGGTGTTCGTATTCGCGTCATCGACTCCAGGTTCAGTGCCATTCTATTCTACACGTTACTAGGCATTCAACAGTCGGCATTAGTACAAAAGAAAAGGAGACACTTACCAGACAAAACATACCCTTAACCCACGCAGCTACGTGAGCTTGCACATGGCTAGCCGAGGCCAGGGTGACAATAAATGCGATGGAAGTCTTCATGCTGTCCCCAAGTAAGTTCGTAATCTTTCACAATGAAGTATTGGGCCGAAATGGTGCTGAGTGAATGAAATGCTAGGATTATTCGTTTTTCGCGGGATTGTCATTTGTTTAATACACTTCTTCCAATGTCCTACTTACCGCCATGTCGCTCGAAGCGGCTTCGGAAATTGTTACGGTTTGGCGAGAGAGGGCAGCCCTGAAGTTGTCATGTAAATATAGATTACATGACTAAATGGCTGAGCTCAGCTACAAATAACCCTTGAGGCGTCAAATCGATATATAAGAATAAAGCCCAAATAAGCCCTGGTAGGAATAGTTTAAGTGGGAAGGTCTGTCAGCTTACCAGGGTATTGAAGGCATACAATTTCAGGGGCAGATGTAACGTCGAATATCTTCGAATTGGACTCGGCCCTCTAGAACTTCATTGCCAAACTGAAAATTATACGGTGAACCTTCTGACCGACTCCTATCGGGCATGCGCGAAGGCGATACGGGAATATGCCACCGGACAAGGAAGAATTCAACTATTGATTATTATTGACCCATCATTAAGATATCTCACATCATTTATGTCATGGATAAGCGACGAATATGGCTTCAGCCCGCTTCTCGTGATACCTTCACTTGATGCCTGCCCCTCGATTTGGGAAAATTCGTCCTCTTTTGTATGGCTGGCGATATATCTTGAGGACTTGGAGGAGTGGTTACTAAAGGGCCAATGGGCAAGTAGTGTCTATTAAACATCAAGTACAATTTACAACAAATTAGTTAGCATCCCACCGAGGAAGAAACGATCCAGAATCTCCAGCCTCGAAACTCGCCTTTTCGAGGACAGCCAATACATCGCTTGTCGCTTTGCCCGGAGATAGCGGGCCTTTGAAGTCTGGCTTGAATGCCAGGACGCTCTTTACCAGACCTGCCATGCCTTGAAGCTCTTCTTCAGTGACTGTATCGATATCAGTTGGCTAACTGAATGACTTATTGGGGCCTTGGATAGGACTTACATGAGCTATAGTCCAAGGTCGCGACGACACCAGGTGACACAGACAAAAACAAGATGCCCTCATGGCGGTGTTGCGCACTGAGCTTGGCGATCGCGACGTTGAGCGCGCCTTTAGTAATCGAATGTAGCCCTGACACCCCGGAGTCATACTTTGTGAGATACTCTAGGCTTGCCATGCCCGTAGAGATAGCGAGAACTTTCTTGATGCTGCTACGCCGAATAAGCGGCAAGCATAAATGAAACAGATGTATATTCCCTATAACATTTAACTTGAAACCATAAAGCAGTCGTTCCTCGAGGAATTCGGGTCGATCGGCACTATTTCTGCGCGTTAGCAACGTGCGATTAGGATTTTTAGGTGGAAATTCAACCTACAGTTTGTCCATAGTAGTCAGCCCCTTCAGCTCATACATTGCTCCAGCATTTTCAATCAGATAGTCTAAGCGTCCACCAGTGATGTTGGATACTTCTTCTACGGCTTTCTACATGTATATTTAGTAACAGTAGTCATTCCGTGAAAGGATTTCGTTTATATTACCACTAGAGACGCATAATCGCTGAGGTCTCCTTGGACGAGCTTGACGTTCTTGAGCTCTGGCTCCGCAGCGATGATAATCTCAGCCTTTACTTTGTCACGAACTAGTCCAACGACAGTCGCAGCCGGGTCCCGTGCTAAGGCTTGACGCATAAAGGCTAGCTGTAGTAAGTTATTAGCATGTGGGCGCTTCGTGAAAACGCCATTTGGAAGGTACTTACTCCAAGACCTCGACCCGCTCCTGTGATTAGATACGAAGCCATGATGCTGGTTAGGTGGTGATGGGATGAAGTTCAAGTATAGAGGGAATCGTAGAGTACTTTATGAAAACTTTGGAATGGTGGTTGATAACTTGATTGTGTGAATACTGGCGCATCTAGGTCTTAAGTATGTTAAACAGTCGGCATGCTGACAAGGCCTACCCCGCGGAATGGAATTGCGATGAGCGACGAGCCTAAGGTCTAAGGGACCGAGGCGATATCCCTTACATATTGAATGGATCGGATTGTTATCCCTTCTCCGATACTTTCTTGTTGAATGGACGCGATAAAGTGTTGGTCCGATCATACATACAAAGAATCCTTGGCATTTCGATTCGTCAAGGGTATCTGGTGATAATTGCTACAAACCATATGCTAGGGTTCTCGTAATGAGTAGATAATATATACATGGTCGGGCATCATAGCAAGTTAACTATGTGTATAGTGTATTGCCCGGTATCAAGTAGATAGCTCTTGCCTTAATATCGATTTGTTGTTTATTTAAGCTACCGATGCGGTAGAGCGGACTGTAGACGGCGCCGAGCTTGATATATATAGGATGCTGGGAAGGTGGGATAGGTGGGATGGCGGGGTAGTGGGGCTTAGAGTACTAAGGTACATGAGAGAAAAAAATAATATTTTTAAAGTTGAGCGACGGCGACAACTACAACCACAACCACAACAATTACAACAACCCAATCCCTTCCTCTTAAGTAAACGCGAAAATGCCGAAACCAAAGTCTTTCGCAAAGCAAGTAAAAGCGAAACCGAAGAAGGAACAGAGACTTGAAACGGCCGATGATTTCCAATCTGCTGGTGTCGATTTTGAAGAGGCAGCGGGAAAATGGCGTGCGGGAGACGCCACCAAATCTATGAGATTCTTTCAACGCGCCATTGACGTATACGATCAAGGACTGCGTAAATTCCCTCAAAGTATTGACTTGGCTTATAACAAGTAAGTATCCATTAATAAACCGAAGTTTCAATTCGTTTCGCAGTGCGACGCCCTCATTCGACCTATGTTAGCAGCTGACAGTGTCTACAGAGCCCGAGTCCAGCTAGAGATAGCTACGCATCCAGTCCTCATAGACCAATTGCCAAAACCGCTGAAAGATGCACTAGATCTGGCGTTAGCCTCCCATCGTTACACGTTACAGTTAGATCCCGATAATGCCGACGCTCTTTTCAACACCTCCCAAGTCCTCACGTCAATCGCCGAACTACTTGCCTCTGACGAAGACGACGAAACCACCCAGAACGAAATCGAAGCTATCAAAGTTCTCCGTGAAGCAGTCGAGTTACAAAGCAGATGTCTCAGCATACAGGAACAGAAATACCAAGAGTTCGTCGAGCAGGAACGCCTCGCAAATGATCAAGAGGAGGAGCCAAGTAACCAGGTTACTGGAGCCACTGCATCAAGAGACGGGCAAGAATCCGGCGATACCGAGGAGGATGGCGAATGGTTCAACGTCGTCGAACCAGTTACACGCGACACCCTCATCGATACGATACTCGCCGAACTAGGTACCCTTACCACTCTTTGCAGCATCGTGAGCTCCTCGCCGGAGATCGCCCCTGCGCATACGCTTCCTTGGGTCGAAGGGCTTTCAACAAGCCTCTTGGAGAAAGCACAAATATTTTCGACAGATCAACCAGATAGGTTGCAAGAGATTGCTTTGGCAAAGGCGAACCTCGTGTCGGCAATATTAGAAGCCGGGTACAAATCAGGCAACATCAATGTCGAGACTTACAAAAGAGAAAGAGACACTGCATTTTCTGCGGCGGAGCTTCGACTTGAGAGGTTCGTTGACGGCCTTATTGCCAATGCACGCTCTCTCATCGCATTCAATTCCGCGTTAATTGATGTCGAGAATGAAGATGCCCAAATACAGGCGACATTGAGATGGAACGTGCTTACAGCCACTATAGCCAATCTCAAATCCGCTTCCGTGATACAAGGAGTATCTCAAGAGGACTTAGCCACAACACATCTCTTACGTGGTGACGCATCCTTGTATCTATGCTCTATGGCATTCCCGCCCACATCCCATCAAACAGCTATCAATACCGCCTCGCAGAATGCCAAGAACGCAGAGGTGTACTACCGCAATGCGAGTAGGCTAGCAGAAGACCAAGAAGAGAAGGACGTCGCTACATTGAAATCAGCTGTCGCTCGATATCTGCAAGCTTATTCCCAAGGAAACTCACAAGGCGATATTAGTGCGCTGCTAAACGCCAGCTCGCGAGGCCAGGGATGGGCTATTAGCCAGCTTGAAGATATGGTAGCGGAAAACCTCGTACCCCAAGCTCTTCTTTCCTAGGTGTTTAGGATCAAAGAAAAGCTGTGCATGCCATTGTTCCCAGTTTCGGTCTCCCAGAGCATATAGACTTGAGGTAAAGACTGCCATCCCGCATCGGTACACCTTACCTCTGCGAAACTCGCAGTAAGGGATGGATAGTCCTTACTGTGGCGCAGGCTGAGTGTTGAATTTGCGCACGACCCGAAGCCCGCAACTCCACGAATCATCATTTCTCACCTTGAACATTATCCGCCGAACCGTCCCTAGAATTTCACCTCGATCCATATGTGACGGTTTCAAGGGACTTCTCTACTAAGATTTGCAATTTCGCTGAAAGATCTTCAGTATCCAGGTAGTCTTCAACAATGTATTATGGAAGTAAGCCGCACAGTTGTCTGGAACTCGGATCGTTATTAATAGTATGTTCTAATGGTAAGTTAAGTCACCTTTGTGGGTATCGCCTGGTACCGGGTTTCCCATTCAGTGCCAATATTTAGACCCTAAGAAGCGAAAAGCTTCAAATGGCCACCGGGCCACTCAGTGTTTGTTGTCTTCATGGCCATGCCCGTTAGTATGGTCGTGACCTTCGTGGCTAGTTTCAATCCAGTCCTCAAATCCATCTTCAAAGAGTTCGTCTAACTTATCTTGGACGTTATCGGACTCCATGGCCGATTCCCAATCACGGAATTCTTCATCATCCAGAAGGCAAATATCGAGAGCCTTTCGTAGCCGCTCCTCACCTCCGTTTCGCATCTGTTGGCCGATGAAGACCAGCTCTTGTCGCCGATCACCCCACTTACCATCGAAGTCCCTCGTAATCGCCTTTCTTGTTTCGAGATCCGCGGGCCATTCATCCTCCGGGATTTCGCATCGCCAGAGGTCTTGACCGGAGATAGTCAGCATCACGCCTGCCTGCGACCATTCACCGTACTGGGAAAGAAGTCATGTTAGTGCTGAATAGATACGTGGTTAATGTTGTACTTGCCATCCTTGGTCTAGTCGCCAACCATAGGAATCCCTTCGATCGCAGCAGTGGACCGAATGTATCATCTGCCATTTTAGAAGCCAATCGAGCTTTGGGGTCAAGTTGGGGTTGTTCATCTTCCATCTCTGAGTCCTCATTACCCTCTCCGTCAACATCGTCGTCGTCGTCGTCGTCAACGTCCATCTCCTCTCCTTCGACTTGATACTCGGTCTGAATAACGACAAAAACAGATTTGATCATATCCCAAAGTCGTGCTGGATGGAAAGGACGACGGGCTCGGTATACAAATGTCCCTATCCCGTACTCCTCTGTCTCTGGGTTGATCTCCTCATTTAAACTCTTCAGCCAACCGGCGCTAAGAGCTGCCTTCTCATACGAAAACGACCGAGTGTTGAGGATCTCAGTTAGATCTAGGCGGGACTTGACAGTTGAGACGACCTTCGCACTAGGATTGAGTTTCCTAACCACACCTTTGATCCTATCGACCTCCTCCTTGGAGACAAGGTCACACTTGTTGACAACCACAACATCGGCGAATTCCACCTGGTCGACTTGTAGGTCGGAGATATTACGGTCATCCTCTTGAGGAACGTCCGTCTGTCGGTCAACCAAGAAATCAGCCGTCGCGAAGTCCTGCATAAAGTTGACGGCATCTACCAAGGTCACGCAGGTGTCCAAGCGAGCAACTTTAGATAGACCACCGGCTTTCAAGATCTTCGCCAGCTTCTTATTCGCCTCTTTATCGCCTTGGTCTTCCACTTCGAGATCGTAGCCTGCAGCAATATGCATATCGGCAAACCTAATCCCACCAATTAGCAAGATGATAACGCCGGGCCTGGAAACTAGACGAATACTCACTCTTCTGAGAATGTCTCGGCAACTTGCATAGGTTCACTAACCCCTGAACTTTCGATGACGAGATATTCGACCTGTTTCTCCCCAGCCAATCTAGCGACCTCTTCTAGCAAGTCCCCTCGTAGAGTGCAGCAGATGCAACCATTTTGCATGGCCACAACTTGTTCCTCTTTACGAGTCACATCGTGTGATGTAAGCAGGGCCGCATCGATATTCAACGCACCAACGTCGTTGACTATGACACCAATTCGAAGGCCATGATCAGGGGATGTCAGAATGTTTTCTAGTAGAGTTGTCTTTCCCGACCCTAGAAAGCCACTGAGGAGCGTGACTGGGAGCCTTTGTTCGGCCTTATCAGGAGTGTCGATTAGGATTGCTGGGGCCATTATGGGAACTTGGTTCAATGATGAATCGAAATACAGGTTTACGGGCACTTACTCGAATGGTTTCTACAGAGAGTCCAAATGCCTTTCTTGTGCGAGTCCGCCCATAGGGTCGTTACGTTTTATACCATCAGCCAGTTCCTACTCAACTCAAGTAGGGCTAGGGTAAAAGCTTGGAAACAACTATCCGCCCATTGGTTCATGGCAAGAAACTGCATGCTGGCTCGTCATCTCTTAGCATGCCCGTAGGACGATCTTTGGATACCTTGTTGGCCTCCGATGGCTTGTATATCCTAAGAAGTTGCCTTGAAGGTACACCCGCATTGTTAAAGGTACTTGATGAATCTCGATATTTTCGATTATCGGTACGTATAACGCCTATTGGCAAGTTTCCTACCTGTCATTGTGATTAGTAATAGTATCATAAAACTTTGACATGGAGAACCTTGATGGTAAAGCTAATGCAGGGTCCTCGGCAGACCTTGATGGCATATGGAGATGACACCTCAAAGTTGAGTAATTCACGGTCTTTGATTGGCGGATAGTTACAACCCATAATGCTCGAGTAAACCCCCTAGCACTCACATCGACGCATCCGTGGTCGGTAGATTTCACTACACAGTTGGAAGGATATGTATTGCATCAGTATACAAGAAGTTATGGCTTGCTGTGAAGAAATAGCATACGGTTCTATTATAAGGAGCCAATATTAAACTATTCTCTAGGTATTTACGGTGCTATTAGCAATATCCAAACGACCCGGGCAGTTTAGCTGCGGCGGTCCAGTCCACGACCCTTCGAATTAATCAGCCAGCCAACCCCCTTAACACTATCTACCTCACTTCCGGGTACTTGGACCAGTCGATATTAGCGGGGTCCTCGAAACATCGGGCCGTATTCGCGAATTCGTGCGTTGAGTAGCTTCCCTCGGGCAGGTCAGGTAGCTTGGCGCATTGCGGGAGAAACTCGACTACCACACAGTTGTCTGAGACCTGGTATTGATTTCGAAATGCCTTGACAACCACAAACTCCCAGTCGGGCGGATAATACGGAATGTTTTGCTTGCAAGCGATAAACTGACTCGCATAGGCCGAAAGTTCGGTCAACGGGTAAGGAGGATCCGTCAATGTAATTCCCGGCGTACCACTTCCTCCGTCGATGCCGAGCGCAACAACATTCTCGGTTTCGTTCGGATAGCGCATTATCAACCCATACGGAGCGAGTGGGGTTCCAGCGTCGGTAAGAATGTTGGATGTCTGGCGATAGATCTCGGTCGCGGTGCCGTTCTGGTAGAAGATCTGGCCAGGCGTCGTGTTATTCAAAACAGCCGTATTCAACCCGGCACCAATATGCGCTCCCTGCAGAGCCCATCCGTGAATTGGCGGCGAGAGATCGTGGGCTCTATCCGTAACGTTCGCGATGAGTTTGAATCCCTTTGAAAAGGTAGACGGAGGGTATGGGCTATCTTGACGACCCGATAGAGGACTTCCCGTCGCAAGCGATGCCGAAACGGCAAGCAAGATGTGTTGCCACGAATTAGAGATCATGATGATTAAAGGTGCGTTTATTATTTATTAAATGATTGATTGAAAACGAATGTATTGAGTTGAGTGTGTGAGAGACAGAATAAGAAACAATCGACATACCTGCAGGCACTTCTTTTATACCTAGGTATGTTAACATTTGCCATCACCATTCTTGGCGAAAAGCCACAGGATGATCATGTGGACTTGGTAAAAGGATACGAGGTTTCCGACGCCTCGCTTTGCCTCTATTGGAGGCATTGACTGCACATTGCTACCTTCCTACGTAATGGGACTGGACGGTGGGATGCCAGATTATTCCCCAATCGAGGGTTATCGTGCGAATGACATATTAATCCGCCCACTATACGAGACCCGGCCAGCCCCTTCACAGTCTAGTTACAAGTTAATATCGCAGAATCAATTCGCATTTAACCCCCTTCTAGTCCAGGAAAAACCATGGCTTGGAGAGCACATTTCTAAACTGCCCACTGTCATAAGAAGCCGTCGCCACATAACCCCCATGAGTTACTACCAAGACATCCATTCCCTGGACCAAGTCAATTTCGCTTCCCGGTCTCTCCGCAATTGACATGGATGAACTTTAAAATGCGCGAAAATGTCTACGGACCATTATGTTTAACTGGCCATGTTGACTTCGTATGCTGCGGTGCGTAGTCGCAAGACCGTGAGCAACTTATGGCTTAAGTGTTGGCTTGAAAACACACGTACCTAGGTACTTAACAATTATTAAACGTCAAGTGTCATTCTTCTAGATCCCCTGGTGGGTGTGAATTTGAGTGTTGATTATATTAATTTGAGCAGGCCAGCAGTTTCTATAAGTTGGCCAACAACATGGTCGGCAATAATCTATGGGAAAATAAAACATACACAACTGACTAGAGCTAAAGAGCAACTGCACTTTATCTAGCTTTATCGAACATTATATTCATCTCTTTAATCCGTGATGTTGAAATTAGGTCGCGCCGAGCCGCCGTGACAAAGTCACTTCGATGAAATGGAATCAACTCTCCCGAAAATTAGGACTACTCACATAAGGACATGATATGATATCATTGACAAATTTTCCGCTTACTACAATTCTTCATCACAGACCTCCTTGCCTATCAAGGCGACAAATGATCATCACAGAGGACAGCTCCAGGCATCGGTAGAAGTTACGAGGCAGCCCATGAGAACGCGTACACCAAAACAATACATTGAAAGGCCGAATCGAGCGGCCGAGTGGATATAAAAATCCTTTCGCTGCCCAATCCGTTGGTTCAGCACCTAGGTGAGCTGCAGCATATTTTGGGGGTTGTGATCGACGGTCTAGATTGGGAATGGACTTCACAGCTCAGATCAACGTATGCAAGATACTTTGGTTGTTAAATGATAAAATATCATCTAGGTCGCATCGGAGTTGATAGACAAAAAAGAAACCTAGAGACTCGGAGATAATCTCACCCTTCACATACAAACGTATTGGTCGGGTCGATGCCCAACGGGGCTGTGCCGAGAACCATATCGAATTCTGACAAAGGTACTGAGCGATTTCGGTTTACACAGCGCTTAAGCTGTCGCCTATCCCACCGAGACGCGTCCGAAAGGAGTAACGGGATGCCTCAATAGTCACCTTGCTATTCGATGCCTCCCCGTGGTGGCGAAAACCTCTCAGCTGCCATGGACGGCATATTTAATTGGATTTGTTTCTATTTTGCGCTTATTAATATCCATCTACCCGGCAGTTATGACATCTGACGAGTAAATACCAGTCATAGGACGTAGATCGGGGGACGTTACATCAGGACGTAATTGTGCTGTTGAGGAGAGTAGCCAACCGCCCATAGATAGTATCTTGAGTTGCAATGTAACTTTATAGAAATCGTTTAAAGCACGTAGTCTGACGGACGTATAATCGTCAAGTGTGGTACCAACATTATATCTCGGGTCATATTAGGCATTGCGGCATGGATAACTTGGCAGATCGTATCAGGTACGTCTTATGCGAGATAGATGCCTACCTACGGGTTGCGTGTATCAAGGTTCTAACTCATTTACAACAGTTGGAAATACGCCGGGAAGTTTTTTCGGTCCATTAAGTATCCTAATGACAACATGGCCGGTTCATCGTCAGAGGTACCACAGGATATAATACAACCCCTGCGATCGGATCAAGTTGACCCTGGTGATAATGTGTCGGTACCTGGGCCGGATAGTCCATCCATACATAGCGAACAAGACTTACATCGAGGAAACTCACGTGTGGTGACATATCAAGGTCGGAAAAGACGCCACTTCAGTCAAAAGTTCAAGGTTAATATTTTCAGTCAGGGAGGGTCAGCAACAGGTGGATCGGCCACGGGCGGATCAGGGATCATTAACGGCAATGGCGACAACTCTGCGGATGTTGGTGATAATTCCATTTCTAGTTTGGCAAGTCAGGTCGCAGCCTTAACGAGACGAGTCGATGAACTTTCCACGGCATCTACACGGGGAGTTATAGTTGAGACGGGAACGTGGAACACGATATCAGTCCGACCGTGGGAATCGCCTCAGCCTCACACCGAAGGACGTGTAAACTTCGTGAAGGAATTTAAGGCAATCCCGACAGTTATGGTGAGCCTGTCATCTGCGGACGTCTCTAACGAAGCGAATTTTCGCGTTGGTGTCTATGCAACTTCCGTGGACTCGAAGGGATTTACCGCCCATGCTGATAGTTGGTTTAATACAACCCTATACTCTTGTGTAATATCCTGGATAGCTATAGGAGAATGACTTTGTTTCTCTTGAGTTATTTATAGACATAATCCAAATATTAGATGCTTATGCGGTCAATGATGCAAAGAGACATGGGACGTTACGTGTGCGGGAAATCTCGAAAGGCGCCTGTTCATCCCTTCGCTTTGATGTTAATTGGCTGAAGGCAACATACACCGCTCTGAAACGAGTCGATACATATACTCATACTTGATATTCGATTGGACATTGGCCTGTAAGACTCCGATGAGTAAGCTTCTTGAACCTTGGTACAGCCCTAAGAGATATGCAGTATGGTTTCAAATCAAATTCTTTTGTTAAGTTGTGTTGGTTCCCTCGGCGTTTTCGAATCCTCGTCATTTAAAGGGTGTTATTTCCAAGGTTCGTAATCTAGATAGACCAAGATGTGATGGATTTCCTAATGTGAAACGACACATCGGGCTGAGCAAATCGGAATATATCTAGGAGGGCGATCGCTCGTGTTCAACTTGCTCATACTTTAGAAAGGCAAGGAACAAGTATCTGCCCGTCGGCCTGTTATTTAATTTCCCGCGGTCTGTACTGGCCTGGCCGCGCGCGAGACAATGCCCACTAAATCCCCTCTTATCCTCATTACACCCCCTCCTTGTTGTAACTTGTGTACTATGTGTCCCTGATGTTCTCACACTCTTCCCGGACGGTCAGGGTCAGCGGTATACCTCTCGACATCGAAGAGGAGGATCTGGCTGATTATTGGAGGCCGCGATCCAAAGGTTCTTCAAGTAAGCTACTTCGGCTTGTTAGACGCCTCGTATCTCTCCAACATCAGGCAGTCTGTAACTTGGACCTCCCAATCGTTTCTTTGGCGCCGCAAAATCAATACCAGACAGGAACCATTACCTTCCCATCCAAAGCTCTTAAAAGACATGCTCTTAGAAAACCCGGGAAATGGAAGTTAGATGATGAGTTCAACTGGATGACAGTACTTTACGCCGCAGCCGAGCCTGATATAGAGTAAGCCTCGTCCCTTTGAAATTCGCTTGTCTCTCTAGCACGAGGCGGAGACATCATTAACGGTCGTGTGATCAAGCATCTGTGCCATCCACGGACTCAACGGAAACGCATTCGATACTTGGGCTGCAGAAAATGGACACATGTGGCTCCGCGACTTTCTACCTCAGCATACTCGCTTCAAGAACTCCCGCATCATGACTTTCGGATACAGTTCTCTCCTTCGAGACAGCAGGAACGGAGCCGCCCTAGCTGAATGGGCTCATAGTCTCCTCCAATCCATCGTATCCCTTCGGAAGTCCCACCCTGTACGTACTTGTTGATGCCATTGTCGCTTGCACGTATGTGCATAGGCTGATAAGTACTAAGCGGAACTTGTTAGGAATGTACTCGTCCCATGATATTCGTATGCCATTCGCTTGGAGGACTTGTTGTTCGCGAGGTATGTATCTGTAGAGGCGTCGAGACGACGGGCGATTAACCTTCAATAATGTCATTTAGGCGATGATCCAGTTGCACGATTTCCCCAACCGATACCACGGGCTAAGTGTAAAGCAGTGTGGCCTCATCTTTCTCAGTACACCCCATTCCGGAGCTATTGCCGCAGATTGGAACGAATATCTGGTTGAACTAGCTGAACGAGTTGGCAAAGTCCGAGGACATGACTTCGCTTATATGCTAGGTTCCTTCAATAGGGAGTCAAGGAGGGCCAAAGAGCGTTTTAAGCTGATCAACCCTACACCTCCATACTTATGCCTTGCTGAGACGCGTGAGACGAATATTCGAGGATATGCAAGAATGGTACGTCGATGGTCCAGAAATACTGTGTGCATATTGACTAATTCTTTCGTACTGTAGATTGTCACACTCGATTCTGCTGGCTTAAATGGCGAGCCAGCACAAGGCGTCGATGGTGCCGACCATAGAACGATCTGTCAATATTCTCGGGACACAGACGCAGGTTATATCCAGATAGTAGAGTGTCTGGAGAACATTAGTGAGAGACTAAGGAACGATGAACTGAGCACCATAGTACTCTCTCGTAACTTATTGTCCCCTAATACTCGCGGTAGAAGCAACATATCCGGTACTCAAACTTATAATGGACGTGGTGGTCGAATATATGGTGGCAACGCGCAGGGTGGTGACGCTCGAGGTGGTGATGCATGGGGATCCGGTGCCCAAGGGGGCAATGCGCAGGGTGGAAATGCTTTCGGCGGTAACTCGAATGGTAGTTATATTCGCGGCGGTAATGCTCGTGGCGGCGATGCAGGAAGTTTCCAGGTATGGTAAGAGGTTTAGATACGGAATATACGAGAAGACCAGATAACTTTCCATGAATAAATGTAGACCTTTCCAACAGGGTAGCACCTCAAAGTGATGATACTAATGATACATTGGGTATTATAAACACATGATATCTACCTCGTAATCATATACACATCAATCGACCCGTCGACTTACTTCGACAAGAACCTTTGGAAGGCTTCTTGTTCGATCACAACGTTGCCGACGGATCTTAGCCTTTTACGGCCCTCCTTTTGTTTCTCGAGCAGTTTCTTGCGCCGCGTGATATCGCTGGCGTGCAACTTAGCCAAGACGTCCTTGCGGAAAGGCTTGAGCGTTTCCCTCGCTACGACCTTCTTGCCGACGGCCGCTTGGATCACCACCTCGAACATTTGACGCTGGACGTGCTCTTTGAATTTCGTAACCCATTGTCGACCTAACCGATCCACCTGAGATAAATGCACTACTCTCGAGATAGCGTCAACTGGCTGTTTATTGACGAGTAGCTGCAACTTGACCAGCTTACTCTCACGCCAGCCATCATCCTCGTAATCGAGCGTCGCATAACCTTTAGTCGCGCCCTTGAGCTTACCGAAAAGGTCATCGACAAGTTGTGCTGTAGGAATACGATATTTGAGGATAACCTGCTGGCCGTGAAAGAACTCGATGCTCTCTTGTTCACCACGGTTGGCCTCGCACAATTCAATGGCACGGCCTAGGAACTCCTCTGGAAGTGTCATGGTCGCAAGCACGTACGGTTCAAAGTAGGTAGCACCACGGGATCGGCCATCTTCCATATCCGGGAAGTCGGTGGGACTTTGAAGGACTGTTTCGGTACCATCACGCCATAATACTTTGGTTTGGACAGCAGGTTCGGTAATGATGATGCTAGCACCATGTTCTTGGCGAAGGCGGTCTTGGAATACGGAACAATGAAGACTACCAAGAAAGCCCAGTCGCCAACCAGCACCCAGAGCTTCGGAGTGGTCCTTGAAGAGAGTAACACTACGGTCGTTGAGAACAAGCTGACCGATACTATCTGCTAGACGGCTATAGTCGGCAGGATCTGTGGGGAAGGCAGCGACGAATACCATAGGTTTGGGTTCTTCGAAGCCCGGGTATGGTTCAACAATGTCTTCCGAGCCAATGGTGGTGAACGTATCGCCAATTTTGGCGTCTTGGATTTTCTTCATACCGGGGTTGAAGTATATATATCCAACTTGACCGGCGCGTAGGACTGTCTGAGGAACTTGGATTGGATAACGAATACCAACCTCGCCAACCGTATATTTGTTCCCAGTCGCAAAACTTATAAGATTATCACCAGCCCTCACAGTTCCGTCGAAGAGGCGCACTAGACATATGACACCTCGGAAGTTATCGTACCACGAATCCACCAACAACATCCTGAGCGGTTTTGATTCTTCTCCCGTCGGCGCTGGAATATTCTCGATGATAGCGGGCAATAATTCCTTGACATTGAGACCAGTCTTTGCACTCACTCCGATCGCATTGCTTGAATCTAACTCAAAAGTAGTTTCAAGTTGCTCGAGAACCCTCGGGACATCTGCAGCTTTCATATCTATCTTGTTAACAACCGGCAAAATCTTGAGACCTTCGGCGAAAGCAAGATAGAAATTGGCGACGGTCTGGGCTTGTATGCCTTGACTTGCGTCCACCAGCAATATAGCTCCTCCGCAACTCGCATAAGACCTTGTTACTTCGGCACGGAAATCGACGTGTCCAGGTGTATCGACGAGATGCAACAGGTAGTCGAGCCCATTATGGTTGTAGATCATAGTACAAGTCTGAGCCTTGACAGTAATACCTCGTTCGCGTTCGACTTCGAGGGTATCGAGGATTTGGCGGTTCTCATCGGACTTGGAAATAGTGCCTGTGATCTCAAGGAGTCGATCGGACAGAGTGGATTTGCCATGGTCGATGTGCGCCACAATGCAAAAATTGCGAAACCGCGAGAGAGGAATAGCAGCGATCCGACGCTCGAGGTCGCCAACTTCTCCAGTCTTTGAGCTATTATATCGACGTGAGGTAATTGGCAAGCTTTTTAACCTAGAAGTAGCCGCTGTTTCAACCGGCCGTAGAGGTCGGCTTTTGGAACCGAGAGGAGGCCATATCGGATATGGGCCACTGCCACAGCGGGTGCTATAAGTTGAGCGGAGAGAATATGGACGGAGACATGATCGCATGAGACCAGACGTCAAAGTACAGTCTAATCTACCACCCATACATACGATTCGTACTTTTCTCTCAATCTTGTCTTGTCACCTTGATTGTCGAGACGTAGAAGAAACAAAAAAGAAAAAGAACGAAGCTATTCCCGATCTCGATTTGAGTTTAACAAAATTGGAAGCGAATTGACAGGGTTCTTCTTATCTTATCGTTATCTTATCGTTAGCTCCGATACTTCGGTACGTACACCCTATTTCCGTCATCACCCCGCCAAATTTCCAAAGTTGCAAGTAAACAAATCTCGACAATAATTCTTCCAACATCCAACGTTCAACTCGCAACACTACAATATCGAGAACTACACCGGATAGCAAATTCACAATCAAAATGGCATCCACAGCACCAGAGAAAGATAAATCCAAGGTCCACAAGCTATCCCTTAAAGGAAGCGCAAAACTTGTGGCCGAGTTCGTATGTTTACCCCTCGACAGACCGACTCTTGTACTTTGATGTTAACAATGTCTTTCTGCAGTTCCAATACTCGATTCATACCATATTGTACGATATTCCAATAATAAGAGACTATTTATAATAGGAAATGACATACTAACCTCCAAAATAGATTCCAAAGAGGCGTCTACCCAGCCGAAGACTTCACAGCGTAAGTACCAAACATCCCCATATCCCATCCCATCCCATCCAACAACCAACCTAACTAACAAAACCCAACCAGCGTCAAAAAGTATGGCCTAAACATGCTCGTATCCGCCGACGACCAAGTAAAAGCCTACATCAAGAAGATCATGTCACAACTCGACAAATGGATGCAACACGGCAAGATCAGCAAGCTAGTCATCGTCATCACAGACAAGGACACAGGCGAGCACGTCGAGCGATGGCAATTCGACGTCCACATCTTCAACACGCCCTCCTCCAAGTCTAAGAAGAGCAAGGCAGCCTCGAACCAAGAAAACGACGCTCCTCCCGCTGTATCCAACGCGGCATCCTCGGCCGACCCGACCAAGACCGAGGCCGAGATCCAAGCTGAGATCGCTGCGCTCTTCCGCCAGATCACTGCTTCCGTTACCTTTTTGCCCCAGCTATCGGGCGATTGCACATTCAACGTCTTGGTATATGCTGATGCCGACAGCGACGTGCCTGTTGAGTGGGGTGATAGTGATGCCAAAGAGATCGTCAACGGCGAAAGGGTACAATTACGAGGATTTAGTACCACGAGCCACCGAGTCGAGACTTTGGTTAGCTACCGACTAGGGGAGTGACGGATATCTATTCTTGGAATAACTGACCAAATCAGGTGGTTCAACTGGGGTATCAAGCTGTATTGTACAATTTGGGACATGTTATAAGGGGTGATGTAACCTCTTCATGGCGTCCATGGCGTTCTGGCTTTTTATTTCACCCTTCTGTCCGGGGCGGGCATGTGGGATATATACAGGAATTGTATTACATCCAGACTCACATAATGGGACAATTGCCTAGGTGATTCAGAATGTTATCTCTGAAAATATGGCCACGAACCATTTGCAGTGTAGAGGGTGACTTATCCGCCGCCCTATCATGCATTTTATTTTCCGACAACGGCAAATCTATTGCAGGTAGCCACCAGGTAGCCCTCAATTATCTATGCTCTTTTGGGGATTCCATGCTTCCTCAGATCATTATGCTTCATTCCTCATCCCTCAACTTCCGAAAAATAGAGCCAAATGTGTTTTCTCCTTATTTCCATGAACACTATCCTCTTGCTTGACCGCAAAACTCCTTGATCTCTTATCAATTTACACGGTTGAAGAAGTAGACGTACGCCGTTTTCTTCATCTCTTCTACGTCACCTGCTTCAACTACTTTCTCGTCGTTGAAGAGAACCCAATTCCATCTCGATGCCGTAGTGTCTAGTAGCTTACGAATGAATGCCACATAATGTCTATCTTATTGTTAGCATTACTTCTGCGCCCTTGTCTTCTTGAATATGACAAAACTCACCCTGTATGAATGCTAGTACCCTTGTGGCATACTATGCTCTGTAGTTGGAATTTGGCAGGCAAGTTAGCGCTACCAGCAGCCGCAGCCTCCTTGTCTTCTGTTGACGGCGCGGAGTCATCACCGAAATCACCTTGCTCATCAGGATGGCTAAATAACCATTCTACAGCACGTTCCACGTCTCCACCAGTTTCCTTAAGAGCTTTGCGAGCTTGCGGCGCACCAAATCCCATGGCTCCGAGCATCTCGATCTTCTCAGGATCCACTGCGGCATTACCTCCCATCGCAGCCGATGCGATGACAAGCGGTTTGTCAATGTCGGGATCTTCCATATGACCAAATAACCACTCCATCGCTGTGTTGGCATCCGAGTTACCTGTGGCGTGTAGCGCTCTTTCGCAGCGGTTACGAGGGAATCCCATTGCCATCAGCCCATCTAGGGCTGCCTCATTGGGGACAAATGCCGGGGCTGCCGACGTCTCTTCTTCTGGTAGCGGTTCCTCTGATGGTTGGAGTCCGGACGATAGATATTCGTCGAGTGGAAATGGCTCATCCCCCACAATGACGGGGACATCGACTTTACGAGGCACCCAATTTTCGACCGTCATCTTTCGTGCATTGACAATTAATGTCGTTGGGAATGTCTTGAATAGAGATCGCTTCGTGAAACCGTCCTTGCTTCCACACGATGCGCATGTCAATTCTACCGCCTCTTGGGCCGTGAGATTATCAAGACATTGCTTAAATGTAACAGGCTTGTAGCGGTCACCTTCGCCGTCAACAGCCGGCAATTTCTCCAAAGGTACGTCTATAAAAATGCTGTCTTGCTCGGTACTGGTATAGCGCACCTTTTTGCAACTGAGACATTGCAGTCGTTGCTCGAGGGCGAATCTAAATGGCTGTGTAGGGTCCGTTAGAGGAGCGGGATGTTGTGATCTGGTGATCAGCTTAATGATATGTTGCAGAAGTTCAAATGCATCTTGCTGGCGCATTGTAGAAAATTCGGCATGCCCTCGGCCAATAAGATGCTTGAGCATGCTGGGAGCCAAACCTTTCTGGTGCGGGATTTCGGGGGAATCTTCAGAAGCTATCACATCGGAATCCGGCTTCGAGTAACGGCCTGACCAAAGACCGTCTCCTAGCTTGCGAAGTTGCGTTTCCAAGTCCTGGGCGGGATCGGGGACGATTGGCAAATCACCATCGACATAATAACGTGTGTGGAAGGCAGGCAGGTCAAATAGACACTGTAGTATGCTTGCAAGATAACAACTGTTACCGAGGTTCTTCAATCCGGTCAAGCCAGGCCCGTATAGCGGTTTAAGCTCCTTTCCATCCTCGGTAGTCATAGAGAACTCCCAACGGAGATTCTGCTCGATCTGCATCTCCGTTAAGCTCTTCTCTGTCTTGACCTGATCAGAGAGTATGATGCTCCAGTGTGCCAAGTGGGGCGCAAGATCGTTGTCGACGCGCTCGTCATCACACTCGTAGCAATATACATCTGCCGTGCCCTCTGGACTAATGGATCCTAACTTGACAGCGACTGCGTGCTTCGTCTCGGTTGCGTGTGCTAGTCCGTGCGAATTGCCTCCAACGCCACCAAATTGAGCTCGCCCGCAGCCCAAATTGCCGCATTCCAGACATAACCATAGGTTCTCCTTAAGGTCACACTTGGAACAGTGACCCAGGTCGCTTTGGAGTTTACGACTCTCCTGTTGTTGTAACAGAAGAATGTGTTCGCAACCAGTCAATTCTTGCTCCCAGGCTTTGACCTCCTCTTGTCGCGAGAATGCATTTGCCTTGAGAATACCGTCAACGATTGGGGCGAGCTTCGGACTAGTCTTGTCAAGCTCGGTCGAGCATTCGTGGCATTTGACGGTTGTTGTAATGTCGTATCGATCGGCTTCGGTCTCGGCTGCTATAGCTAGCTTGGTCATCTTCGCAGGTGGTTCATCTTTAACGACTCTCTTTCGGGTTCGACGAATATTAAGGGCGAGTGGGTGACTACGCGTGACATGGTGAAGCTGCGAATGAGCATTCTCGCCAGGGCAACCTCCGTTGAAACATTGCAGGCAGACATCTAGACCATAGGGTTCGTCCTAATCCGCGTAAATATGTACCTATTAGTACAAGGCTAGAGGAGCCGTAGTCGGTATAGGAGAGGCAAAGCTTACGATAGAATCAAAGCACTGTGTGCAATCTTCGCGGTAGACCGACTGGGCTGGTGTTGGAGGGCTTAAGGCTGCAATGCGTCACATTGTAAGCTACAAGAGTACACACGATAAATTGAAGCTATAGTTTCGTTCCGACTTACAGATGGAATCAAGATGTTGACACGCCATCTTGAAGGGAAGAGGAGAAGTTGGATACGAAGAGAGGTACAACAATGTCGATGTCGGAGCAGTAAAGAGTGGTGATGTATCAAGTTACGAAGTTTTGTTGACAAAGTTCAGAATAAATAAAAAATTAAATATTTCGGTGGTGTTCAAATACAAACGAAATTCATTCGTTAAGAAGCTCTTTCCTCTAAAACATCAGGTAAGAAGTAGGCAACCGAAGGCGGTAACGTAACTGGTGCAGAAGCTACGCACGGCGTGAGGAGCTTCATGCGGTAGGTGGGAGGTACATGTACATTGAGCTTCGGATGGAGGGGTACGAGTTGAAATTGCCCCACGTTATGGTGATGCCTAGGTACATAATCTAGGTACTGGCAGCCAACGCGTACAACCTAAAATGTGGGCGGGGTTCCAAAATGCTAGCAGTTGGCAATCAATTGCCTGCAGATGACACGCCTAGAAGGTTCGGCCAGCAATTAGATTTATCGGACTCGGACCCAAGTTAAAAGCGTGGCAGCGTGAGAAAGCTGCAAGAACGGATCTGATAAGAGAGAAAATGTGGAGAAGCTGACCAGCATTACAGTGTGCACCATCTGATTAGCGCAAACCTTTTCAAATTCACACGGTCTATAATACCCCTACAGCCAACCCCTCCTTACAGTGCGACTTATCATCTCCGAGGCTTATGATTTCATTCTAGATTTAAAGCTTCTTGATTCGCCACAGCGCCCCAGATCCATTTTATTACCGAGATCGCCGACAAAGACCGCTTCATATTTTTGGGGTTTCTACGTTTGACCTCATCATCTCCGAATTAATAAACTCCCGACCTAAATTTCTATCTCTTCCATCCTTTCCGCTACACCTCAATTTTTTTCTCTCTTTGACAGCAAACAATCAGCATTGCGCATTCTATCATCCATCGAGATAATCTAAACGACTACTCGAATAAATCTCACGAATATCACATTCGCCAAAATGCTATCGCGAACACTGGCTAATACTGCTCGACGAGCAGTCGCATCTACGACACCTCGCATCGCCACCCGTCAGACTCTCAGCCCGTTCGCTAATGTTTCGCGCCGATCATATCACGAGAAGGTCCTCGACCACTACAGCCGACCGCGTAATGTTGGCTCTATGCTTAAGACCGATGTCGACGTTGGTACCGGTCTAGTTGGCGCACCGGCTTGTGGCGATGTCATGAAATTGCAAATTCGAGTTGACCCCAAGGACAACACCATCGCCGACGTCAAATTCAAGACTTTTGGCTGCGGTAGCGCTATCGCCAGTTCAAGCTACCTGACCGAACTCGTTCGAGGCATGACTTTGGAAGAGGCAGGACGGATCAAGAACACAGAGATTGCTAAGGAACTCTGCTTGCCACCCGTCAAATGTAAGTCATCCAATTTTTTATCATTGTGAAGACGACTATCGTGGATCAAAATACTAATATTTCATCTAGTGCACTGCTCCATGTTGGCCGAGGATGCTATCAAGTCTGCTATCACCAACTACTACAGCAAGAACCCTCACGCCAAGCCCACGAGTCTTGCCGGCACCGCAGCTAAGCTACCCAGTGTTGGCGAGGTTGCCGCCGCAACTGCTTAAGGGCGAGACCGTCTACTAGTTTAATCTAGTCTGTTTGGCGGAACAATTCATTTCTTGCATGGGATACGGAGTAAGGCGGAATCAATAGGTCTACGAAAAGTTGTCGTTTAGATGATGAAATGGTGAACCCGCACAGGGTTAGCAACGAGGAAGGAAACAAACAGCAAGTCTTCACGATATCGTTTGTCGCAAGATCTCGATGAATACCTAGGTATGGAGGGCCTTCTTCCTTTGAGTATGTGCTTTTGGAGTTGGGGAGGCGATGGACATGCAATCTCACCATTCCTCGAGTCGTTGAACCTATTATGTGTTCTTACAACACTCGTTACGAGATGTACAATAGTCCTACATTTGGGAATAAAATTGTAAAACCACGTTGAGCCATTTCTTTCAAGTCATCTGTCAATGAGATAAGGGGAGTAGCAAATTGCAGTGCGGCCGTGGTTGAATCACTCTCCGCTCACCATCAATGAGACTCTTATTTTGTAGTCTTTCGATAACAAATCAGATGCCATCACACGCGTCTTAAGCTTCATATAACATCTCTACTATTGAACGTTAGAAATGGCCTCATAATCTTGACGGTAACAAGGAACGCCACCTCATCATCGGAGCTACATAAACTCCGTCCATGCAAAATTTCAAGGTTGGTTAGTCCCACTATTCCTAGTTAAGCCCACTAGCCCACTTAGGCCCTTAGGTTAAGTGGGACCAACCTTATCTTATCGGTATCGGCATACTCAATTGATTTTTTTTTTTTCTTCATAGTTGTACCGTCTAGCTTTCTCACAAACCACGGCGCTTGTGGAGGCCAATTCTTGCTTGCGAAGAATTAGTTGCTCAGATCTTCTGCCGTCGGTTTAATTGCTTTGAAAACTAGTCGGCTCCCCAATCATCCCAACGAAACCTGCAAACATGTCGAAGCATCGCCTCGAAGATGCCGAAGAGGTAGAAGCCGGAGCCATTTCGCGCAAGAAGTCCAAGAAAGACAAGAAGGAGAAGAAGGAGAAGAAGGATCGCAAAGAGAAAATACGAGACGCCAACACGGAAGACTCAACTCCAGTAGATTCTGCAGTGGAAGCCACAGTCCCAGAGACCAACGGCGAAACGAAATCGAAAAAGAAGGACAAGAAAAAGGAAAAGAAAGAAAAGAAAAGGAAGCATACAGAGGATGAGGTTGCAAATAGCAATGGAGCAGACCCAGAACATGTGCCAAAAAGCGAGGAGGTAGAAGAACAAGTCGCAACTGCTGAAACCGACGAAGTACCGTCTCGCGACGAAGTGGACTCGGATCGCAAATCCAAGAAAGAGAAGAAGAGTAAAAAGGATAAGAAGGACAAGAAAGACAAAAAGAAGCGCAAGACAGAAGAAGCAGAGTCTAATGGTGTCCTCAACGGACATACCAACGGGGACGTACCAGAGACTACGAATGGAACTACCGACGCTCCAGCTTCTTCGAACACGCCACAAACATACGAGCAGACAGCGGCTTTATCCGCCGTCCCAGAGTCCGACATTACGACCTTCCTAAGCACTCACGAAATCACCGTTACCGATCCCCTTTCTACCAAACCCCTCCGTCCCATCATAGAATTCGCCCACCTACCATCCTCCGCTCTAATCAGCAAAAACCCGTTCGCCTCCTTCAAAGCCCCCACTCCCATCCAAGCCGCATCATGGCCCTTCGGCCTCTCCGGCCGGGACATCGTCGGCGTAGCAGAGACGGGTTCAGGAAAGACCATTGCCTTCGGGCTACCCCTCATCTCCGCCGTACTAGGGATGCCCAAGTCCAAGGGTAGCGGGAGGATACGCGCAGTCGTAGTATCGCCCACGCGCGAGCTCGCAATGCAGACAAACGAGCAACTCGCCAAGCTCGGTGATCTCGTCGGCCTAAAAACCGTATGTGTCTACGGCGGTGCGCCAAAAGACGACCAGCGGGTTCTATTGCGCAAGGCAGACGTCATTGTCGCGACGCCTGGTCGCTTAAAGGATTTCCTCGACGAGGGTGCCGTTAAGTTAGATGACGCTAGGTTCGTAGTACTAGACGAAGCCGACCGTATGTTGGACAAGGGATTTGAAGATGATATCAAAAGGATCATCGGATGTACGCCGAGGAAAGGAGAGCGCCAGACGCTCATGTTCACCGCGACGTGGCCGCAGAGCGTACAAGCTCTTGCTTCTACTTTCATGGTATCGCCCGTTAAGATCCAAATAGGCGGCAACGAGAGCGGTGACTTACAAGCGAACACAAGAATCGAACAGCGTGTCGAGATTGTGGATCCTCGCGGTAAGGAACAGAGATTATTACAGCTACTCAAGGCTCAGCCTAGGAACGAGCGAGTCCTAGTTTTCTGTCTGTATAAGAAAGAAGCTACTCGCGTCGAAGGGTTCCTTCAACAACGTGGTATCAAGGTTGTGGGTATACACGGTGACTTGAGACAAGAGCAGAGAACTCGAAGTTTGGAAGCATTTAAGACGGGACAGACACCTGTTCTAGTCGCAACGGATGTCGCTGCGCGAGGTTTAGATATCCCCGAAGTTAAACTCGTGATTAACGTCACAGTAAGTCAAATTGTCTATCCATTCGCTAGCTCAATGTACATGACAATATGCTAACGAGTCTATTCCAGTTCCCGCTCACAATTGAAGACTACGTTCATCGTATTGGCCGTACCGGACGAGCAGGCAAAACCGGACAAGCCATCACGCTCTTCACCGAGCACGATAAGGCGCATTCTGGAGAGTATGTTGAACATTAACCCACCCGCCTATCCAAAAAAGCATGGACTTCTGCTAACACCTCTCTAGGCTTATCAATATCCTCAAAGCCGCGGGTCAGCCAGTACCAGAAGACCTAATGAAGTTTGGTACCACCGTTAAAAAGAAGGCGCATGGTACTTACGGAGCATTCTTCAAGGACGTTGACATGACGAAGAAGGGCACTAAGATCACATTTGATGATTAAGGGGGCATTAAGGCGACACGCACTATTTTCTATGGGACGGCTATATCCACACGTAGACGTTACCTTGTTGTCTGGTTTCGGCCGCGGACGGAATGGTAACAGTCCAGAAGGTATTTGCGTTCGGTGTAGGCACTGCTCTTATGGTTAGGCATACGTCGGCAAATAGATAGGCAAAAGGTACTCAAGAAAACTTACATGACAGCCACGAATGGTATTGCTCTTATTATGATAGTGATTAGATCTTTAAAAACGTGCGGCGAGACATCACCAACGGAGATGCCAGCCCGCATTACGGAAGCCCAAAAGGCAGCCGTTGCAAGAGTTGATAGTGCCAACCCGTTTGGAAGCACACCGCTCCAGCTGAAATCACTTCCGTTATTCCTGAAGTAGTGGGAGATGAAGGTTCCACTCCAGATGATTCGACATAGCATATTAATGCTATTGGCGTATACCAGGCCTGCCGCGCCGAGGTCCAAGACACGAAGGGAGACGAAGCCAGCGATGCCAAATGCTAAACTAAACGCGCCCATCCATAGGCTTTGACGATGTACTTCGGATTCCGTAGCAACTGACGAGACGAATGCTTCGGCAACGCCGTTGATTGCTAGAAGAGGGATATATAGACAATATCGTGCCAATACGGCACCCGCTCCGCTAGCAGACCATTTGGGCCCCGCGACAATCTGGACCAGCAAGGGAGCACCGTATGGTCCCAACGTCACTACGACCACGCTCAGGAGGACGTAGAACTTCAGCAGGGCTTGTAAATCCGAACGTGCCTTAGCGATCGCTTGTTTTTCGGGCGAACCTTTAGCAGAGGAGAGCAACTTGCTAAAGTAGTTTCGACTACTCTCCTCAATGGGTTGAAAAACCAGACGTGCCAACAAGCTCCCGTAATTATTGGCAAGAGCATAAATACCCTGAGACCTGGGATCGGACAGTATGGAGACTAGGAATGTATCGCCTTGTGTGAGAATATGCTTCACGAAGGATTGCGCTGTCAGACTAGAGGCGAGTTGTAGAGTTGGCTTGAAGAAGTAGCCGAACACGTATTCGGTCTCGGGAGGTTGTCTTGTATCCTTCTCTTTGCTAGACTTATGTTCCGGTGAAGAACTCCTTCTTAGGAATAGAGAGAACCCTTCAGCAGACGCCAATTGTGCCCCGTACCATGTATATACGGCGAGGAGTCCAACTCCATAAGCCAGCTGTCCCAACGCGAACGGCAATACACCAAACTCTAAACCCTTCCTCCAAGCCCAATTGGCAGCTCCGAACGTAACGAGACATCGAAAGAAAGTGGCAATCGATTCGGCGGCGGCTCGAGGTCCAAAGCGTAGTCGGTATTGTAGAATAACGAATGCGGGTTCGGAGAGTAGTTCGACGATAGCTGCCAACCCATATATACGAAGAGCAACATCGAGGTATGGTGTCTCAGCAGTAGCAGAGTCTACATAGCGAATATATGCCCAGCCAAGTCCAACCGATGTACCCAAGCCTAGCACGAGGGAGAGGTGCGCAATATTGACCACCGACTGGCTATCCCTTGCATTGGATTTATCATTGTCGACACCAGAGGAGGTTGAGGGACTCTCTTGTCTCTGGATAGCTACGCGTAAAGACTCTCGAGCAAAGAATAGGACGGATAGATAATAGACTTCGAGCTGAGTCGAAACACCAAGTAGTTGAGCTGTGAGGAAACGAAGTAGGAGTTGGTTGGCTATGAAAGTGACGGCGCGCGACGCGATCTGGAGGACGATTAGCAAGGATGCCCCACGAACAGCAGAGCCTTGTTTTGGGGTAGTAGTAGTTGTAGCTGTAGCTGCAGTCGTAGTGGTCTTTGGTTGTTGGGCCATGATCATGAATGTGTAAAGAGATGCGTTAACATCCGAGGAAGTTTAAGTTATCTAGATTCATATCAAATATCAGATAAGCTGTCGCTAGTCGCGTACTATAGACTAAGCTGAAGTTTATTTCACGATGATGACAGCTTACAATACCTAAGGTAACTACGCTAATGCTTGTAGTGGTTAGCGATTGCCTTTGCGAGGCCTCAGGCAACTAGTGCCACTATAATTAGAGCCCTAACAGCCCTACACTAAACGTCAGCACGTGCCCATAAATGCCTCTAGTAACCTTAACGACTTCTTCCTCCTTCATCATTTTTATACGACTCGTCCAATACAATAATCCAAGTCTGTCTACAACTCATCATGTGTGTGGCCAAAGAAAGGTATATGTTTCAAGCGAAATCAACCATTTAGTCATACATTAAAGCTCGTTTAAGCTATTCGCTCCTTTTATTGGCACCAAGTTTGGTACAAAACGGAATCTTCGTATGATCACCGATCTCAATCCCGACTTGCTTGAGAATTAACACCGGAACCAGAGATTTCGAGTGCGATATATCGGTCCGATGCGTCTGAAACGTGGTCATCGGAGTCTAGCCTTTCCTTTCCTACCTACCTATTGCCTCTCGGGGTTACCAAGTAGTATACCCCATATACCCCATATTATAACCATACTATAGTCTAGACCGCCGAAGCTATCCCAACCTCTAACCTCGAACGGGGAGCTGACTACATTGAACCCCAGAGGATGCAAATTATCGTCATCTCCGGTTTGGCCGATATGAGATCCTCCATTAAACTCAGCCGTTTATGATTCTTATCGACCTACGTCGGGGGCATATGTTTCCATGAAGAACACGAAGAAGATTTAATAGTAGGTAGACGATGTGTTGCATTGGTCGTCACCTTCTATGTCATTGGGTGCCATACCATACCCAATTTTAAGAAACAAATTCTGCACATCTGGCGTCAATGCTTACTATTCAATATCTGAGCCAACAGCCATTCGTAGCCTATCATTTACGCCTCCGGACAGGTTTTATTGAAAATCCTAAAAGATGACATCCCGAATTGACGCTCCTTCTCGGCGGTATTATACTCAACGCTCGGACAATGAGTATCGAGCCATCTTGATGTCGGCCAGATTCCCTGCATTAGATCGTGCATTTTAAGCCGAGAGCATCAACAAGACATTCATCCAGTCAACAAAGATACCTGAGTACAAACTCGTAGAGTTGACAATACGAATCGAAACAGTTCTATTCTTGCAAGCGTCGCACAACATCTACTAAAGCCAGACTAGAGACACAAGTATATTGGATGGAGAATTCGCCGGTCTCTTTTTAGTGAACGGCACTTGCACGCCCCCTGTAATACCGGGTTGCGGGGGGTGTGGGATGTCAGAATATGAATACCTGTGTACCTACTTGGCACCTAGGTAAGTATGGGGAAGGCTTAGGAAGCTTAGTTACCTAATTTGATAGCTTCATCTTGTCCCTATAGCACGATGGTAAGCAGCTAATGCAGTGGAGCCCTACACCCGCATCCATCCCGTCTAGGCTTTCTAAGGAATCCTAGTCATCCGTTCCATTTGGCGCGTTGTTTCGACTCAGGATTGCCTCGCGGCTTCGCAGCTTCGACGGCACGAACAAAGCTATTAGCCACCTACACCTTATGCAGACCTCGTACCTCGTGAGACGAATATGCAAGACGGGATGAGTTACTTTCTATCTGAAGAATTCCTGAAACACCAACTCCCACGTCACTATTCTCTCCCCTCTTTAGGAAACGTTATACATCCAAATCCAATACCACAGGCACCGCGTTACCCAACATCTGGCCCTTGTCATTTCTTATTTAAGGTCCCTAGCCACGCATCGTCCTACAATTGACGAGCTCACGAGTAGTGTAGGCTGTTGTCCGTGTCCACCACATAAATAAGGAGCTTTGCGCTACCTTAGTCATGTTGGCCCGTTCGATATTGCTACTTCGTACATATGGGTCCCGAGAGTTAAGATTTGCGGTGCCACTCCAGCGAGATACACACCCACATAGATCTCTCTCTCTACCTCTCTTCCAGCACACTTTCCCTCGGGACCCGATCCAGGAAATCATTGGATTGGGACATGCAGGCTGTAATCTCTGCGCTACAATCGGACCGGCCGCGACTGGCTAAGCCTCGTGATGTACTACCTTGTCAAAGGTCTTGCCTAGATGGGACAGGGAGCCTCGATGATGAATTTTCGGGATCGAAGTTTTCCACTCGTCCTTTTTGCCCACTGTGTGTACCCCTCCCTCGAGTTCCATCTAATAATTCCATACCCAGCACCCTATCCAAATCTCGTTATCGACTGATACCCTGGGGTACCCAGACGAGTTTGATTTGCTGGTAAACTAAACGGCAGGGGTCCCGACTTTTTTCTTATTTTATTTCTCCTGCAATTCTTAATGGCTTCGATACCCCGGTGCCTCGTGTCCTTCTCCTGCGGCGTGGTCGCCCACAGTTACGCATACAACTTATTATCGTTAGTAGTATAATTACCTATAACCATCCCCTGGCTACGAAAATTAAAAATAAAATGCGTTCGCGTCTGTGATCCTTAAAATTATTTTCGATATTTTTTCCCGAGGGTCACATGTATAAAATTCCTTCGCTCGCCTGAAAGAGAAAGTTATCCGCAACCGTCTGATCGACAAAGCTTCATGGTCACCCTGTAGTCATTTCGTATACTAAGGTTTTACCTGACCCCGGTTGACTATAGGTTTCCAGCACAATCATAACGTCCACGATGGTTCGATTTGCGGTCCAGAAACCCGCCGAAGATGCCGGCAAGGCATGGCCAGCTATCGCCATCGGTCTCTTCGTGGCCTTTGGTGGAGTTCTATACGGGTACGTGCAGAAGCCATGAGTATCCACGCGCACAATAATCTAATGCGTTGATTTGATGAGCGCAGTTATGATACCGGTACCATCAGCGGTATACTAGCTATGGACTATTGGCAAAATCTCTTCTCGACAGGTTATGTCAATACGAAGGGCCACAAAGACGTATCGCCGTCCCAATCTTCCGCCATTGTATCCATTTTATCCGCTGGCACGTTCTTCGGGTCCCTAGGGTCACCATTCCTCGCTGATACAATAGGTCGACGGTTCGCCCTTATTGCTTCTTCTTGGGTGTTTATTCTGGGTGTGATATTACAGACTGCTGCTACAGCGTTACCGTTGTTCTTGGCTGGGCGGTTCTTTGCAGGTTTTGGTGTCGGTTTGATCTCAGCGCTGAGTACGTGTGATGTGTTGTTAAGTATTTGATTGTTTCAATCCGTTAACAAAGAGGATAGTCCCATTATACCAAAGCGAAACCGCACCGAAATGGATTCGAGGAGCCATCGTCGGAGCTTATCAATTCGCGATTACAATTGGTCTACTCTTGGCTGCCGTTGTAGACTACGCAACACAATACCGACAAGATACCGGCTCATACCGTATCCCAGTCGCTGTCCAATTTGCGTGGGCCATCATTTTGATCAGCGGTATGCTCTTGCTGCCAGAGACGCCACGATTCTTGATCAAGAGAGGCCAGCATGACAAAGCCGCAAACTCCCTCAGTAAGCTTCGAAGGATCGAACCCAAGCACGCGGCGATCGAAAGCGAGCTTCGCGAAATCCAAGCAAACCACGATTACGAGATGAGCATCGGAACGTCCACGTATCTCGACTGTTTCCGTGGACCCATGTTGAAGCGTCAGCTCACCGGAATGGGATTGCAGGCGCTGCAGCAACTAACAGGTAATGATGCTCTGTCTTGCTTGAGAATAAGCTGTTCTAACCATTAGTTTTACTAGGCATTAACTTCATCTTCTACTACGGAACCCAATATTTCAAGAACTCGGGTATCCAAGATCCATTCACAATCCAAATGATCACATCCTGCATCAACGTCGTCTCGACCATCCCCGGTCTCTGGGCAGTTGACAAACTCGGCCGTCGTCCCCTTCTCCTCTGGGGTGCCGTCGGAATGTGCATCAGCCAATTCCTAGTGGCCATGCTCGGCACTCTAACAACAGGACAAGACTCATTGGGAAATATCATCGTGTACAACGTCGCTGCGCAAAAAGCCGGTATCGCATTTGTCTGTATCTACATTTTCTTCTTCGCCAGTACCTGGGGACCTCTTGCGTGGGTTGTAACCGGCGAGATCTACCCGCTTAAGACGCGAGCCAAGAGTTTGAGTATGACTACCGCTACTAACGTAAGTTCAGTCCAATTGTCTCCTTTCTTTCAATTTGAATCTACTTAACTAAGTATCCATCAACAGTGGCTCCTAAACTGGGCGATAGCATACGCGACCCCCTACCTAGTCAACTACGGAGAAGGCTACGCAAACCTGCAATCTAAGATTTTCTTCGTCTGGTTCGGCGCCTGCTTTATCTGCATCTCGTTCGTGTATTTCTTCATCTACGAGACCAAGGGCTGGTCACTAGAAGAGGTCGACGAGTTATACAGCGAGGTCACCAGCGCACGCAAGAGTGCTAGTTGGACACCTAGCACCACCTTCGCGCAACGACAGGCGGTGACATCAACTGCTGATGGTGGCGTTACTACCGCTGCGGATGTTTCCGAGAGTGCTCCTGCCGAGAAGCCGGATTTGACGAGCGAGCAACATAGCGATGGGTTGTCGCATCACGATGAGAATCCTACGGTGTAAATATTCCACCGACATTTACCTCGCTTTATATGGTTTGGTTGCTGGGTGACATTGTATGTTATGTATGGTGGAGACACGCTCATCTAGGTTAGATATCTATTTCACAAGTTAATCATTGGCGGTGTCATTTACTTAAAAAGTAGTAGGATAGTATTGTTTATGAAAACATGGGATAATATTTAGCTCCCTAGACCCTCGACTGTCTCGTGCGTGTCTAGTGGAAATGCATCCTTTAACTAACCCGCGATTCCTTAGTCTATATTGTAAAAACCTCGCAATAAAAATAATCGAAAAGTAAAACGCCCCTGGCTTAGAAACGACTGCCATATAGATGGACACGAATGCATAAAGCATTCATCGTGCCTTATTATAGCCCCGAAGACGATGGTGCGTGTAGGCCATGGAAACCAAACGCGACAGGGAAACCGCACTCAGCACGTCCCAACTCCTTCATTGTCTTTGCATCCAGGCACAGAAGATAGCTTGTCTTACCAACCCCATCAAGCACAACGCTCAATAGTACACCATCATCCTCATCCAGTTCCTTTTCGCCCTGTGCTCTAGGACGAGGCACAAAGATTGGCTCGCCCGGGGTATGACCCTTTGGGTTCTCCCAGAACGATGCTTCGCGCTTGTCCAGGTCTGTTTTGACGATAGCATCGAAAAATGTGCTATAGCCGCGGTTCGATATGCTGTACGCATAGCGGTAATTCCTGGTCGCGTAAAGTGGATTGATAATGGGTAGTTCGCCGGCGTGCGGTGCTTTGATCTCAAATATCTTTTCCGACGTTACTTGGGTAGTCGATACATTTCCATCGAGTGAATTCATCCTAGGGATCGTGGCCTTCCGTCTCGTCAATCGAGCAAGACAGTTCCGGCCGCGTTCCTCATCGCCCCAATAATTTCTTGCTGCATCTCCCCTATTCAATATGACATCCATATCAAACGCCCGTATCACGTCGGTATTGGGGTATTCAATAACGTCGCAATACAAGTCGATATCGCCAGTTTTCTCATTGCACTCTTCAAAGGAGTTGATGCTATGGAAGAAGAAACCCGCTGGACTATCGAATGTTGCAACTACCCCGCGACCCTTAAGACGGTCGACGACATACCATTTGCAGAGCTTTGACTCGTTGAAGGGTTCGATAGCATCGGCCACATTACCCATCCACGGAACGCTGAGACCGTAGAAGCTAAGATGTGTCGACGGGATACACAGGATAACGAACGAAGGCGAGAGGAAGAAGGAATGATTGTATGCTGGCTTTATGTCGGGGCCAGATATTGTGGCCAAAATGTCGGTGGTTCTAGTCGATGCATTTGCTCGGAAGACACGATACGCCGGGCAACGACCCATTTCGAGGTTATAATTAAAGAAATCGCCAGTCTCCGGGTCCCTCTGGGCGTGGGCACAGCTGAGCGGACCCTTAAGATCCAGGTGGAGTTTGGTTTGATGGGCTACTCCGATTGGTTCCAGAGTATCTTGATCAACTTCTTTCATAAGTCCGGTGTCCGTACCTAGCCATATAGACTTAATACCCCCCCGGTGACCGGATTCGGTGGCACCCGATAGCAAGACGGGCACATTGGCGTTCACCGTAACGCATACGTTATCGAAATTCGGGCCTTTACTAGGGCCTCGAATCTCAGACGAACTTCGCCATACGCTCATGACCTTTCCAAATAGACCTATACATGGGTCCCTCTTTTGGCCAAACCCGACGTCGGGCTTTCGTCCATCTCTTTTGACTGCTTCGAAAAGCTCCGGGCTCTGACGCTTGGAAGAGTACTCGACTCTGACGGGGGACTTGGTGTCCCCTGTCTCTATAATGTCGAATCTATGGGTATGACCGAAGCCGTCGAACCAATGCGTGATATAGAATGTACCTTTAGGGGTGCCTTCAACGCTGTACTGTCCGGGTCCAGTACGGTACAGCGAACCCGCGGCCCACGAAGGAATTGAGCCTTTCACGGTTAGTTCAACAGGACCGCTTATCTCGTCCAAGCCCTCGAACTTATGATAATTGTCAGTATGACATCCGCGATTGATAACGAGACTTAGATACTTACTCCCGCCTCGTTCGGCCAATCTTCAAATTCGGAATCTAGCATGCCTTGCGCCGCCCTCTCAAAACTAGCGTCATTTTGAGATTCCCCTTGTACTTGGCTCTCTCGAGCAAATCGAGTACTAGAAGTTGTCGTAATTGTAGACATGGTGTTGCGAAAGCGGCAGTTCTATATGTCGGTGGTATTTCGAATTCCGGAGTGTCTATAAGAGCGCGCTGTTGTTTCAAGGTCAATGATAATTAACGTAGACTGAGGAATGGAGTGCGAGTCAATGTGTCGTAATTTGAGACGATTGCTTCGATGTCGAATACGTTTTATATGGTCATTTCAAGCAGAACAATCTTCAACAATCTAAACAATTGTCCCGATTGTCCCGATTGTCCGGCGGGCACCAAAGAACGAGAGATTATATAGACAGGGATAAGGAAACCTCGTCCGCGGGCGTGTCTGATTCTCGGCGCATTGGATGGGATCTACACGAAGAAGTTGTTGGTAAGACACCCGCTTGCACTAAGCTAACAGGGTCAATCATCAGTAACTCAGCTTAGTTTTTAGATCGAAGGATTCTTCGATACTCGATCTCTATATGCGTTCGTACCTTTCAAGTATGACCATGAATTGGATGTCGAAATTGGGATGGGTCAAGAGGAGTTTGTTACGATTATCGATTGGACTTGGGTTGGTGTTGAAACTTAAACACCGAAGGTTTACTTGTACATGTATCATTGTATCCTAGGTAATACTCGGACCACATGCGCGGGACAGTATGACTCTTCATAGCACTTGCATGTTTGTATGTTTGTGTAAATGCGTGGAGGTTACGATGCGATGTTGTAACTGCCAATACTTCAATCCCGTTACCTAGGTACCTACCTATATACAGTCACTGGTGCATCCACGGCAATAATCATCAACTCTAAGGAAGGTGGTACCTAAACACGTAAACCTACATACAAATAAACCTAATCTCAAAGAACGGGACGCTCTTGTCTGATGTCATGATTCATGACTAGAAATATTGAGGAAGGCACATAGCTGAGCAAGAAAAAGCAAACAGCTGTATGTACCTAAGTACTTACCTAATTCAGAGTTCAATTCCTTCACCATCCAATTAGCGACTAGCGGCTCGGAACAATCCCACCTGGAACTGCCCCAAAACCATAGACGAGGGACGCTAAAATATCTCTTTATTCGCTGCTGTCTCGCTAAATTCCTGCAACTCTGAGCACCTGTGTATCTAATTACAGTGCGGAGCACTGTCGATACTTTATATATACAATTAAGGTTCAGCTAAGTCATATGACAACCTGGGTAAACACTCGGAGAGTAGGTGCTCAATAAGCAGAGGGCCATGAAAGGTCCGCATGATAAAATGGACCATCCGTTATCATATCCGTCTTTGCCCAACCCTACGATTCCGAAAGAATGGAGATAAATCCATTTGATTTACTACTTCTTTCACGCGATTATCCATAAAATAGATGCGATTACGACAAGTACCTACCTGAATAGCTATATACATTCATGGATGTACCTAGATGACGATACTTAGTGGGGCCGTCGGGGTCGGAGTATCTAGTGCACGTACCAAAACGTGCCAGCGTGCTACCTCCGTTCTCTACCTAAGTACCTAGGTACACTAGCGGGTGAGGGGGGTATTTGGTCATTATGTCAGCAACAATGTCGGGGGGTGGTCATAATGTTCGTAAAACCGAGCTGATGAATTTAACTCCTATCCGATTGGCTGGTAGATTTACTATTGTTACCCCCAAGGGCAATTGTATTACATAAACAAGGGTTTCAGGGAAGGAGGCCATTGCCATACAGAAAGGGTCATATTTCGTCGTAATTACCTCGAGTTGAAAAGGGTCACTAGGAAGGAAGCTATTGCCGTATAGACAGGCTTGTAATTCATTGTAATTACCTCCTGATTGACGTATGTCAACCTAGCCACGATGTCAGTAGCTGGTCACGATGTCAACGTATTTAAGTAAAAAAAAAAAAAAAAAGGAAAAAAGAAAGGTCAGCCAGGGATTCGAATACAGGACCTTAAGATTGTACAATTACATTTACAAGGTCAATTATCATACGAAAAAAGTCATATTTACAGTCATTCGAATAGGTACGATTACGATTACAAGCTACGCATTTTACCACTAGACCACGGGCTACAAATTACGAATACTGATGACTAACTTCTTATTGCCATATATAAAGAAACATATCGTACCTTCCTGTGCTGTAGATAAATTACGTTGACAGGGTGTTGATTTCTGAGAGGGTGTTGTATTGAGGTTATTTACAGACAGGGTGTCTAGCCGTGGTAATTACGTCAAATTCAACAGTAATTTCAACACCCTGACAACCTAAAATACTGACGAAATACGACTGCATGATAATTACATACAATACAGTCAATCCAGCTATTCAAATAGATACGATGTTGACCTATTGGCAGGGTGTTGAAATCGTGTCAAAAATGGTAATTATGTAAATTTATTGACACAGCTGCTGACATAATTACGAAAACCCCACCCCATAGTGTAGTTATATGTACTAGATTAGAAATGTTCGGCCCCACGTACGAACATGTACCTAGGTAGGTACCTAGGTACGACACGGTAGTACATAGGCTCCGAATTCACGATCCGCGGCCGTCAATTTTCACTATAAATCACCATGCTTATCGATATGTCCCAGTAATCCAATAGTATACACCGCCTTGGAAGGATGTGAACTGTCCTCAATTCACCCCAATACAAGCAAGCCGCTTTGAGATCCTTTTAAATCGAGCATATCCGTCTTGAAAGGCCTTCCTAACCGATTGGAATGGTGAGGGTTTGATATCGAGGTGTACTGGATTGAGCTGGGTTGCTGAATCAAATTTTATAGCCCGATTTTCTAACCCTTCTTGTGCCAGCTGACCAGAAGTCTTAGTTATATCCTTTCTTGCAAGTTCCGTCTCTTGCGACTCTTCGGTGGGACTTGTCGATGTATTCTCTTCAACAGTTTGCATGGCATCATTCAAATTCCCATATGTCATGTTCCTAATCCCCCTTCTTCTGTTAGCTTGATCTAGAATCTTCCTTTGCAATTCAATCCGTCTTTGATCTTGGGTTTGCCTCAGTGGCCCCTTGTGTGGCATCTGTTTTTGTAAGCTTCTATCATCATAGTGCCACATCTATGCGGAGAGCGACATACCCGCAAATGTCCAACCACACGGTATTTCTCGTCAAAGACTGCAAGGGTTGAATTGGCATCATTGCCCCAAGTTTCGTTGGGAGCCTTTTTGTAGTCGTCGCATATACCCTTTAAGTGACCATGAAACATCTCAATCTTCCATCGATCCTGAGGGTTTGGTTGAAGCAGGCCATTCTCGATAATGTCCAAGAAGTCTTTCATAGCGCTCGGACATGTACCATTGGTTCGAAGTTTATGAATCCACTGAATTATTAGAACATGAATCACAAACATTTGGCGTATAAACCTTAGGTGATTACCTAGGTAACAAAATACTCACTTCATTGACGGACGGCTTCACAGTCGGAACACGGCCATGAATATTGAAAAATTTGTCCTCCACGACGTTATGACTAGGAGCATCGTCTTGAAGCCGCGCTCGGTTGAATGTAGGCCGTGTGCTACTATATCCAATAAGCAACCAGGAGATAAATTCTAGGAAAACGCATCCTAGGCTCCACATATCGTATGCTTGCGAAATAGGTGAGTTCAAGTCGAACTCGGGAGGCCGATATGTACGAGAGAAACCACCAACCCTGTCGGCAGCTACGTTCGAGATAGAGAATGCGGAATGGAAGCGAGTCAATCCGAAGTCGGTAATAACGAGGCGATAGTTACCATTCGGTGTAGAGAAGAAGAGAATATTTTCGGGCTTGATATCGCCATGTCTTCCCCTATTTCTGTTGTCGTGGACGAGGAGTTGCTCATCGATGCGGACTTGATCATCATTCCACGAAGAGTAGTGGTGAATCTTCCACAAGCCTTCAGTTATACCTAGACACTGACTAAGAACCCATTCAACATGTTGAGGTGTAGTCGGCGACATTTGCTTTTGCTGCCAGAGATCCACCAAATTCCCGCGTGCCAGTGGAAATACTAAGTAATACCTGTCATCATGTTGCAATGTCATGAGTAATCGGATAAGGTGATCATGCCCAGATCGTTGCCCACTGAATCGCTCCAGTGCTCGTATCTCATCTCTGTACCATTTGAAGTTTGCGGATATTTCCTTCACCGCAAATTCGGATTTCTCATCCAATGCATCCTGTATGAATCCAATTAGCCTCTTTTAATTTAGATCCCCCGTAATAACCATGTATGTAGCCTGTCCAAGTACGACTCACATAGTTATGATGGGCAGGATGGATCCGGACCCTTCGAACGGACCCGTATCCGCCGAACTTTGGCTCGTACCATTCAGTAAAGGGGAGTCTGATCTTAGGATCATCGAATTTATAGAAACGTACGGGCCCCGGACTCATGTCAAAAAAAGGGATGAGATGGCGATACTGCCCAAAACAAAAGTGGTCAAAGTCACGAATCCCGTGGCGGCCAGAGAGATAATTCATTGCTAGGCTATTCTCTGCATCGCCATTCTTGTGGAATGAAATTTTCGTTCCGGGGAGCTGGGATCGACATCGTTTAAGGGGTAAGTCGGTATCGTGTATTTTATTTCCAATAAATGAATTGAACGATTCTATTCCATCGGTATATATGAGTGTAGCCAATATCATGAGTCGACTATGCTCTGACTCATCATGGCCAATCTCGTTCACCATTTCATCAATTGAAACACCGTCCCCACGGAAAATTTCTTCGAATGCGCGTTTTATGATAGGCTTTCGAAGTAGGAGTAATTTATTCAGAGGGAGGAATAGGTACTGTCCGTTACGCCCGCAACGCCCGCAACGCCCGGATTCGAGATTTTTTTCCAGTATATTCTGGAGATACTGGATACATGATTCCTTGTCGGACCATTGATCGTGAAAATTGTCTAAATCGTCCGTGTTAAAGTTCGAGTCGGGTTGGGACAGGTTAGAAGGTCTGTGAATATCGAACGAAAGTAATTCGGGGTTGGCTTCGATATCTACTGGCATCCCATATGAAAATGTCAGGTACGTTTATTGACATTTGTAGCTCCCTATGATGAAATCGGGCTTACCTTTCATATGTTTCTGCCATGCACACCGAAGCCCGTAATCTTGGACAGTCACGATTCCTACCATACGTTCAGCTGGTATCTTTGCTAAATACGTTAGAAGATGCCTAAGCATTCATTACCTTCCACCATAGATTGCGCATCTTCGCTTCTTCGTGGAGTAGACATTATCCGTGGGATTTATAGGAGTGCTAGCGACTGGCTGGTATACTTCGTCCCTACCCGGCCTCGGCAATAAGCGCCATGTATCAAGTTTGTGTGAAAACCGAATCAGGGATTTATAATGATGAGTTAAGATATGACATTGGGTCTGAACATTAAGCTGGTCCTTATCTATAATGAAGTGGAGGCTTTGGGTGCACATTTTGCAAATTGAAGGTAATTTTCAGGATAGATATATCAGCGTTTCATCTAACCAACGAATCTGTCACTTTCCTCGGGGTCACGTATTGGTAAATGTCCCGAGAACACAAAGTGCAGTTTCTATGATCGAAGGAGGGGGGATGTGTTCAGCTACGCTGTGTTCACTCATCTCGGTCAGAACAATTCTCAAAAAAAAAGACTCCTGTTAAACCAAGTTAGTCCCTAAAGCGGTGGAAGGCTTTGCTCGGCGACTACGAGTACAGGGGGATAATCAATCTTACACACCAAATCTTCTAGCAATATCGATGAAGGTCACTACATAAAGGGGATTTAGCGCGGGCTGAGAATATACGTCTCGTCGTCATACCTAGGATCGTAACGCGTGTTGCGTATGTTACAGCTCAGAAATAGAGGCTGGTTCTTAATTAGCTATTACATATCTGGGTACTTAAAGTAACATTCCGAGGCGTTGTTTAATAAGTTCATGCGGTGAAAAACCGTATGGCTTGGACGTGCATGCCCCCCCAAACATGTACATACATACCTTAGGTAGGTAGGTACCTACTTATAATATTTTCGTCGCTCAGTTATAAAATCCTTTCCTTTCTGATTACCTAGGTAGGCATGCCCACGTAGCTAAGGGTACCTATTCAAAAATTCCTTTTTCGTCGTATGGAATTGTACCTTAGCGGCTTAAACCCCTGCCCTCAGGTCATACTGGCACGAAGATTCTTTCTTCTTTTAGTTATATGATTTCGGTGAAGCTAGAGCGGATCCTGCTTCAGACCCACCCGAAAATCGATGGTTAATTGACGTTGTGTAACCGTAAACCATGGAGCAAACTTACGGTTGCCGAGATACTGTCACAGTAACCTCTTAACTAACATTCCTATACAACAAAAAGTTCAAAAGTTCAATAAAAATCCTCACACCTTGCCTTTATATACTATCTTAACTTTATACATTTCAGAAGCGTGATAATATCACCTGCTACTGCTTGTTGACTTAGTAGTTAAATGCGCGACCTGGCTGACCTCGTGTAACTTAGGTACCTAAGTATTCACTTGAAGGTCTCGGGTTCGAATCTCACAGTTAGCATTTAGAATCCACTTTTCGGGGATTTTAACCAATTAAAACTTACCCGCCCTCTCCGTCTTCCCCACAACTTGACCGTATTTTCTTACGGAACAATATGGTATCAGTTTCTGAAGATCGTCGAGTAACAAAGCAACCAGCATTGACGCATAGGCGAATACTCACCACTTCCTAGACACTTCTGCTAGTTGAGGTTAGATGAGTATCTCAGCCAATTCAGGGTTTACATTGAGCGCCGTTTCCCCGGACAATCTTCTGTCTGCGTGGTAGAGACAGCGCTCATGGATGGAGAAGCGTGAGCGGCGTTACGGAGATAACCCCTGATGTTATCTCCACGATTATCTCCGCTACCTCCTCCCCTTAGGCGTTGGCGTCGGCGCCTGACACACGGGAAACAAGCCAACTCCCTCCACACCTACTTGGAGGTTGAGATTAAGCTTGTAAGTAAAGGGTCCTCAGCGTCGCCTGTCTTGGTTGCAGCACCATGGTCTTTCCTAGCCGTGGCTGCATTACCTGCAAGCAGCGACGCATCAAGGTAAGGCGCCTACAGTGCCAATTACCTCCGGACCACCGTGTGCTAAGGAATCCCAGTGCGACTCGGTTCATCCGACGTGTGGTCGATGCCAAAAGGCCAATCGGCCCTGCAACTGGGATGGGGAGGAGACGGCCGGCCTGCTCTTTCGGAGCGAAAATGCCTTCGCTCAAGGCAGGCCCAGGCGCCCTTGGAAACCCAAGGGCCGGGAGGGCGCCGAGGTTGAGATCCAACCCGACGACGACCCCGTTGTCTCCGTGATCTCCCCGCCAACCCTCATGGCGTCTCCCGTGGCGGGCGAAGCTCTCCGCTTCTGGCTGAAGAACTACGTGTTCCAGCGCGACGAGATCCCCGAACTCGCGCGCGAATACACGTACTACCTCGAGACCTACCGAGGTAGAGACCAACCTGACTCCAGCCTGCGCCTGGCCGTGTCCGCCTTCTCCCGCGCCATCTTCGCTCGCGCGACCCACCCCGACACGGCGACCGACGACGCCGAAGGGTTCTTCGCGCGAAGCATTGCGAAGATGCAGGACGAGTTCCATGGTCTGTCACAGGAGAACATCGACGAACTTCTCCTCACGACCATGCTGCTAGCCCACTACGAGGTACGCCCGAAGCCCCTCCCCCCTCTTCAAACTCGATTTTCTATGCTAATCGAAATTGAAGAACATGAGATACCAAAGCCAGACTCAAGAACAAGATGAGTCCCCCTTGGCCTACGGGGTAACGGGATTTCGGTTCTGGAAGGACGTCTGCCACCATTGCGGTGCCGCGGGCTTGCTAAAGCTACGACGGGAACGCGGATGGTCACCAAACCTTCCCCTCGATAGGTCCGTCAGGCGACAGCTAGTAAGTCTCGTCTCCTAGGTCCCGTCGTATATCCCAAATACGAACACATGGTTGACCTATATCAGATCCGAACTTACATACTTAGAGGTGAACCTGTGGACGAGTGGCTCGAGGACGGCGCACAGTATGGCGAAGAAGGCCCCGTACTAGGTCTGGACTCAGTCATGGTCCGCCTAGCTCACCTTCGCTCGAATTCGTTGTGCCTCTTCCTCCCGAAAAGCGGGATGTTCTCGTCGCAGCTACATCCACCTGATGTAGTAGCCCAGGCTCTAGAATTGGACGTTGCCCTGGAAACGTGGTCTCGCGATATTCCCGAAGGCTGGGAATTCTCCACGAAATCAGCCACCACGCCCAGTGCCACATTCGACGGATTTACACATGTCTATGCGACTCACGGTCACGCAGCGATTTGGAATAGATATCGCGCAGTTCATGTAATCGTCAATAGCATGCGAAAGCGGGCACTCATCATCATGTCGAGATGTTCGACCCAGATGATCTCGACGGTCGCGGAGCAGGAAGTATGTCAGGAGAAGATCACTTCGCTTGCAACTGACATATGCCGTAGTATCCCAGTTTTTGCTTCGCAGGATCCGAATTCTTCGGCTGCCGGAACAATGAGCATTAGCAACAGCATCTCACCCAAAATGGCGACACTTCTAGCGTGGCCTTTGACACTGGTTATCAGCACGGAATATGTACCGGAGCCTCAAAAACAGTGGCTAAGAAATATACTGAAATCAATTGCAAACTCCTTAGGGGATGCTGTGCTTGAGGCCGTTACCGAGAAGAGCGAATTCAAATTCTAACTAGACACTTGAGCCAAGTATAATATACATATTCCACCGCCTGTACTAATCCCGTTTTCTTTACTTAAGTATGTCCAACAATGGCTTTCGGGACGTACGGCTCCTCAAGGAACTTCACCTCGTCAGCCGTCAGCGTCTTCCCACGCGCACCACACGCCTCGTCGATTCTAGCTACCGAGTTAAACCCAACAATCGGCACAGTACCCTTCGCGCGATGCCACGCAAGATTAACCTGACTCATCTTCCAACCCTTCTCACTCGCTAACTTCTCCACGCGACGAATAATCTCCTGGTCCGCATCCGTAAGTTCTATAGGCACAGGACCAGGCGTCTTCGCTCTCGCCGAGTCATATTCCTGACCTAAAGGACGCGCCAGTTTCCCACCGAAATTAGGCGAGAACGGAATGATACCCACACCGGTGTCGTTGCAGAAACGGTTCATCTCAGCTTCGTCCTCGCGGTAGCATAGGTGGTAGTAATTCTGCATGCTGATGAACTTGGTCCAACCGTTTCGCTCGGCGACGGCTTGCATGCGCGCGAATTGCGTGGCCCACATTTTGCTCGCGCCGATGTAGCGTACCTTGCCGCTTTGCACTAGGTCGTGGAGTGCTTTCATGGTTTCTTCGATCGGAGTGTCATAGTCGAAGCGGTGGATTTGGTACAGGTCGATGTAGCTCGTTCCTAGACGTTTGAGGGAGGCTTCTACGGAGTTGAAGATGGCCGCGCGGGAGAGTCCTATGTTTTTCGTGTGAGCGCGGCACTCGCGATTTGATTTCAATTGAGATATATCATAAGTTACTCACCTCCCTGGTTAACATAGTCCTTCGTCTGGTGGAGAATTGGGCCGAACGGAGCAGTGAATATTCCCGTTTCTTCTCCAACGTGAAGGAAGCATTTCGTCAATATCACCACTTTCTCGCGCGGAATCGAGTATTTCCGGAGCGTCTTGCCGATTACATCCTCGCTGAGGCCATTGGAATACGCATTAGCCGTATCCCACGTGTTGAGGCCTCTATCGTAGGCAGCTTTGAGAACCTCAATAGATTCATTTTCGTCTAGCACCCAAGGTAGCCAATGACTAGAGCCAAGGGACATAGCACCTAGGATGGGCGTAGAAATACGTAATCCTGAAGAACCGAGCCTGACATAGTCGACCTTAGTCTCGTCGAGGCTTTTCTGGATGGATGGTGGAAGTTGTGCCATTGTTGAGTATTGTGATGGTGTAGAGACGTTTAAGTGTTAACGTAGGCAGAATGAAGCCAGAATCGGTACTTGATATTTCTTGTGTTTTGGAACTGATAGACTATCTCCCTAGAAGGAGGGACAAGACTACCCTTTTATATATCCCCATCCTTGGTTGGGACCTTTGAATTAGAAAAGAGAACATCTCGAAAGATACGCCTTGAAGGATGAACCGGCCCTAGAATTGAACTGTGAAACCTAAGAGAGATGTCATTTGTCATGATTGGTCTCTCACTTGACTTCGGATATTAGAAAGAGTAATTCGACTTGCCGCCGCATGTCTAAGCCTAGAAATACTACTCGATACGGCGCTCTCATTCGAAGTATCTATGAAAATACTCGTAGCTGAGCAATGGTATTATTGGTGTTACGGGAGATAGTGTAAAATCCGTATGCATGTAACAGCCAGCTGAGATGGAGATCTAGTTAATAAGCAACAGCTCGTGAGTTTTTCCAAAAAGGGTATAACAGCATGAAGAGCTCGCGGGTTTTTCTTGAAAAGGTATAGTCATGATAATGCTTAGTTTCCGAAACTCGATCCTCATGAGAGATAGAATCTTTTCGCCTATAATAGTTCCGCTTTAGTTGACGGCAAGTGGACAAGTCTTAGGTCCGGCCCCGCTGCGATTATCCGGTCATTTATCGTGTCCCGGAGTCCGAGGGGCAGATATTAGGTACCACACGTACCAATATATCCAGCGATTCATTCACCCATTCATGTTATTCAGAATATGTTAAATGATCGGTACGTGATCTGACTATGCCGAAGGCCAATCGTCATACTCACGATGGATTATGTGTGCATTACATCAAAGACCATCAAGGTACTCAGTTCATATAGTACCTAGATCCATATTTACATATTTATACATCCATCGACCCAATCCAAGAATTGATTCTTCCATTCCTCAATACCTCGTTAATGGAGGACTTCCTGCGCACGCCGGCAACGAGAACTTGGTCTCGACAAAGACCTTCTGCATAGAATCCGCGCGCTTCTCGAACTTCGTATACACCTTATCCAGATCTTCGACGTGGACACGATGGGAAACCATTTGTAGCGGATCAAGTTCGCCTTCCTGGATCATCTTGAGGAGATCATCCCAGTACTTGTGTACCGGGGCTTGTCCATTACCAATGAGTCGAATACCTCGTTCCATGAGCGACCCGATATTGAAGTGGTTGGTCTGAAGATTATCAGTACTTAAATTACTGAAAATGGTTGAGGAAATCACAGGATGAAGGGAAAACTCACATATCCGACGTATACGCCAGTGATACCGCATCGACCAAAGTTTCGCACACCTTCAATCATCTCGTTGACGATCTCGCTCGTGTCCGTTTCAGCACCGAGCGTCATCTCGAGCCAGTGCATCCACCCTTTCGCATATTCGCCCGCAGCACACTGGTTGTATCGTCAGTACTCTGCATGACCCGCGTCATATTGGTAACATACCTCAATAGCCGCATCAGGACCCCTTCCACCGCACAATTCCTTGAGCTTCGACACGACAGTCGGCTTGTTTGTCACACCGAATGACAATTGCTTATAATCAACCAACTCCAGCTTATCGGCATGATCAGCCGGCCAATGATCTAAGATAAATGTGAGGCGGGGCTCCGTATCGACGAAGATGATCTTAGTAGCTCCGGCCTTAATGGCAAAGATACCAGCCATTTGTCCAATAGGACCAGCGCCGAAAATAGCGACTTGGTCACCCGGGTAAACGGCGGTGTCGTGGACTGCATTGTAGCTTGTCGCTAGCACGTCACTAAGGTAAAGAGCCTTCTCATCAGGCACGCTGTCTGGAATCTCGAGTAGGTTCACGTCGCCAAGAGGCACGCGCACATATTCGGCTTGCCCACCAGCGAAACCGCCGGTGAAATGGGAGTATCCGAACATGCCAGCTGTCTGGCCGCCATACATAGCGCGCTCGGTGGTGTTAGAGTTGGTCTTTTCGCATTGTGATGATAACTTCTGTTTGCAGAAGAAGCAGTCACCGCAAGCGATTTGGAATGACGCGACGTATCTCTTGCCGTTTTGTACCTTCTTCACTGCCGATCCGACTTCGTCGACGATACCGCAGAATTCGTGGCCGAGGATGTCGCCTTTGTTTAATTGGATGACGGTTCCTGCGAGAGCATCGTGTCAGCGCATGGTATAATAATATTGCGCGGTGGCTGTAGCTTACCGTGGTATAAGTGAAGGTCACTGCCGCAGACGGTGCTGCCTGTGACTTTGAGGATAACGTCGTTCGGCTCGATGATCTTTGGTCTTGGAACATCGCGAACCTCGACTGCATTCTTGCCCATCCAACATAATGCCTTCATCGTCTGATCCTTTCCGGTATCTCCGCTATAATTGGCGACATCCTGTTCGGTGACAGAACTACCGTCGTGGCCGATGATCTTCTCAACTCCGTATGCTGCTTGCGTTGCTGCCATGATATTTGATATTTAACAGTGAATAATTGTTGTTCCTTAGATTCGTAACACTGGCTGTGAGTATGTAAACATCAAAACATCATTGAATTGAGTCCAGGTACACGTGGGCCATGGCCTTATAACGAAGTACACTAGCTAACAATATCGTGGTAACGACATCAGAGCATCATCACATTGCTCAAGTAACCAGGATGGGTCCAAATATGATCAATACCCCGCCTGTAAACACCGAAGTTTGAGTCTTGGTTACTTTCACATCTAGGTATTGTTGCTAAATGTATGACGTTGAAATTCGATGCTGGGTCAAGGCGCATGGGATCGATCTACGTCATGACTTTGAATCGCGGAGACAACGCGGATACTATAGCTAACCATACCCATTCATTGAGATATCTGGTAAATCGCTCTGATATTCGTGAGGAATACTATCTCTAGAGAGTAAAGAAAAGGCTGCGCATAATTTGTTAGTGATAGTATTTCCTACGAAACCAATGATGACAATGAACACACATATGTCCTTTACGGACTTCGGAGTTATTAAGTGATGATCGTCGGTTAATACTAGCTGGACAGACGGGTAACTAGTTACGTTACCCGGCTTCTTATGTAAGGCGAAGGTATTCGACGACGTTTTTCTTTTCTTAACATTAGCAAAAAAAGAATTGAACATTTTCCGCCTCCATACTATATTCACTGCCATGGAAAAGCCCCTCGGAGTATCAAAATAAACTGCCTGCACATAGACACAGAAAGAAGTAGTAGCACATCGGGTAACACAAATACGAGGTATGATTAATTAATCTTGTATTGCAGATGATCTATATTGCTTTTTTTCTCATGCAGTATCGTATCCATTAGGTAAGGAGGTATCAAATGCAAGCCCGGTACCTATATGTATCCGCCCATCCATCCATCAATAATCATATTTATCCCATGGTTCCAGGCCAATCCAGCCCCTTTGCGCCAAGTTCATAAACGTGCGTGTCTAGTAACGGAAAAGTATTCCATGTTTTTCTATCGCATCAAGAAGCAAAGCATCGCAGATATTATTTCACTCGGATACGCATCCAAACGAGATAGGCAGCGGCCAATATAACGCCACCTCCCAGCCACCTATGCAGGCAGATTACCTAAGTAAGTAGGTAACTCCAGTCCGATGCGCCCATTACGCAGTCTGCGCACCAATCGGCACAGCGAAAGTCGAGGGACCAGTGTACCTCTGAATAACAGACGCCTCATGCTGCTCGCGCTCGAGCTCGGTAGCAGGGATGCCGTACTCGCCGGTGTAGTTAGAGTGAGAATCGCGGGGTGTCGTGACGCTAAGCGTCAAGCCGCCTCCCTGCGCGAGCGCCACGGCCCAGGAGTACGCTCCTACTTCCGCGCATCCCGTTAGGTTGACAGCGGGTAGGTTATCCGGGCCTTGAAGCATGATGGAGCATTTGGCTGGGTCGGGGTTGCCTGAGGGTGAGGCGGATGCTGGGTCTGTGATGACGGAGAATTCGTAGCTGGGGTTTTTTGTTAGTCTACGGGTATGCTTATTGAGCTTTGGTGGGAGAGCGACTTACTTGCACATGAGGCTGTGAGGAATGCAAGATGCTGCGAAACCAGTTACGTTAAATGAAGTTGCGTATCTTGGTAGGGCAGCACCCGAAGCGGTGGCGGCCGCGAAGAGAGTTGCGAGAAGAGTGTTGAACTGCATGATGATAGTTGATTGATTGGTATCGATGGTAGGGTAATTATTAAGCGGTGAGTGTTAAGTATTATGTTGTTATTTGTCGAGCGAGTGTGGTGGTTATTAAGGATTAAAGCTGAGTAAGAGATATCACGATATTCTGCTTGATCTATCATTCAACATCATCGTCACATCTCGAATCTTATATACAAAAAAAATTCCCTTGTTTGCTACCTTACCAGCCTTACCTCATAACTCCCTCTCGTTCGTCAAGTGCAGGTATTCAAGACTCAACTGGGTAAACCCGGCTGTGCTATCATACGTCCTAAAACAACTAATGCTGGGCCAGCCAATACGACGTCGCATGGGGGGCGCTTCGGTAGTGGGAATTTCATGCCGCTGATCTTATTTAGGTAGCCGATCTTCTCGTATTAGCCCTGCCCAATGGTCCCCCCGTCCTTCCAATCGTCAATGCCCTTTCTCCCCCTAGCCGCCTAGGCGCAACAAAGAATGACGACATTGCATAAACGTCGCGACCTTTCATCTCTGTCCGAAAGAAGAGCCGGATATGTTTGTTGGTGGTATTGCTGTCCAAATTCGGGCAGATTATTGAGACAAACAGATTTCGAACCAGCGAATAAAATGCTTCTATCCACAGTCTGTGCCCTACGTATTGACAATATCAACGAACCAATTCTCCGTATTTTAAAGATACCAAGACTTTTCACCTATCAGCCTCTGAGGCTGTGATCTCGTAAACAATCTCTAATAATAAACACCTACATACTTGTAGTCCGAAAGTCACGTTACAGATTCTAAACTACGGCGATTACAACGACTACACTGTCAGATTCTTAATCGAATGATAGAATACCACATGTAGAAATAACCACGTGCCACATAACAGGAACAGGAAAGCCATTCATCATAAGTTGAACACCTCTCCTGACGTATGTGAAGCCATATCGGTGAACCCCCCCTGGTCTATATGACACCCTATTAATTAGCCCTATCTACAAATCCCTACCCTCAGATCCTAGAAACCACCCATCACAAGCCAACCTTGAAACATCGTATAATTCGTCGGGGGCTAGGTTAATGTGCCATTCTTGCTGCGTCATTTGTTGTTAAGGGTCCATTAAGGACTCACCAAACCTGGCTGCCGTGCGACCCTTGAATATTTCGGATTTCCCAACACGGCTCAAATGGCTTCAACACCCTAGATGAAATGTCACGATACCGATATTCAATATTCAGGCCGCGCGTTCCGTTCTATGCCAAGACATATACACAAACCCTAGTCATAGCCAGGTCCGACTCGACCCTACGAACAAATCTAGCATCTCATCCATGCTCCTCTGAATGAAAACCAACAGGTTCAATCTTTATCCAATTCCGCGCCAGTATTTTGTGCGATACCCAGCTTATCTACCAAGGTACTACAAGAAATAGATACATACAGTGAAAATGTTCGCTATGCCATAAACCTACAACTTAGTTGGGCTGTTTGAAAAGCCAATCGCTACTTGCATCGACCATGAAATTTGTGATATTGAACTCATTTGAGGCGCCATTCGCTCCGCTCATGCCATTGTTTTCGTTGTTTGTCCCCGAATTATCCGGGTTCATCTCGTTCGAGTTCGGCGGGGCCGAAGATGCCTCATGACTGAATGGTAACCGCGGCACGTTAAAGAAATCAAACACGTCAAGATACTCAAGCTCATTCGGCGCCGGGGTACGTGCGGGTGTTACGCTGGGTCGCCGACTTGGCACACCTGCTAAGGCACGAGGCTGGCGGCTGATTAAGAAATCGAGATCGAACGCGGTCCTTCTCATATCTGCCAGGATTTTCACCGACGACGGCGTGATACGTTCACCCGTCTGGCCCACGGCTCTTTCGCTGTCGCTATGTTCGTCGAGTACTCGCTGAAGTAGCTGACAATACCTCCCTGCGACTGGCCAGTACCTACCCATATCGCGGAGGGTATCGACTAAGAAGGCGATCTGCGGCGCTAGCTTGTGCTCGACCGTCGAGCCGTGTACAAGAAGCAAACGCGCGGCAACCCATAGCGTAAAAGCAAATGGAGGTCCAAGTTTGTTCAACATGCTATTCTGAACCACAAACTCGCCGAGGGCAGCGATGTTCTCCACTGCTCCTAAGCAGCGTTGGCTGGCGCTATATGACGGCGTGAATATGGGTGATCGAGTGGTCGGATATGCGGCTGATGAATGCAACCGGATCACAGCCGTATGATATGTGGCATGTAGCATAACCCACCCGCAGTTTAGGGTCTTGCTGCCGCCTGGTTGGAACAATTTAGCCATGTTTCCATACTCGCCGGGTAAGCCGAATTTCCACGACGTAAGGAGGTTGTCAAGCTCCTTATATCGAAGCTGCCATTGCTCGACATCGCCAAGCGCACCGATATCAACCGGTTGTTTCAGGAACTCATGAATTTTAGATAGTATGCCAAGGATCTCAATGTAGTAGGAGAAGGCACCTAGATTCTCGGGTTTGTTCACGTCATGATCCGGGAGATCTGGAGGGCGATCCTGTGTGTGGAACCACCTCGTCTCGACCTTCTGATTTTTAATCCACAGATCATCTCTACAAGGAAGCGTCCGATCGATCTCCTTATCATTCAGGGCAAAGTCAAACGCAGTAGCGATCGTCGCATATCGGTCTAGGAGATATATCATCCAAAAGAGTCTCCGCCTAGACTCCTCTTCGATAAAATCCTTCGGTTCCGGCAAGACCATAGCTCGTAGGGTATATATTGACGCGTAATTTGGCGACACTGAAAGCGAATTGCTCTCGACAGCTAAACCCAATTGCACAACCGAACGAGTTATCAAAGCCATGATGTTCCATCCAGGCGGGCCATTACTACTCCCGCACAAATCCAGCGCCAGGATAACTAAAGCTTGCAACGCCTTCACTGACGAATTTTCCATACCATAAAGTAAGACCCTCTGTTTCGAAACGTCGTGATAATGTCGTCTCTTTTCTTCGTTTAGTCGAGGATCCGTCGAGTACCGCAGAGTAGCAGCCACGATAGCATGCAGTAGCACTTTATCGGTATCATCCAATGTAGAAGGCCCAAATAGTGAGTCTAAAGTGGATTTTCTATGCAGGATAGGACACCAGGTGTTGATATGTTTGAAGTATAGATCCACCAAGGCATACAGAAGGTCGTAGGGGGGAAGATCCTGGTCTGAAGATATCGGACTTTGACCTTGGGTAACATTCATGCCCGGAGATCGGACTTGCTGTTGTTGCTGCTGCTGCTGAGATTGGCCATAATACTCCTGGGCGGCAGGGCCTGGCTGAAGGCCAGCTCCTAATTGGTTGGTAGGGGAGATACCGGCCATAGGCATCTGAGGTTGGAAACCATCATGCATGGAATGCATAGATGGCGTTGGAGGAGGCAAGCCGAAGTCGACATGCTGTGATGTCGCGGAAAAGGTGGATGGCTTTTGCAAGAAAAGTGCCGTCTCGGCTTGGGGAGTTCTGATAGGTTCCGTAGGACGAAACAGCGGCGCAGGCTCGCGAGGGGTGCCATGGTCACTGGGTAGACTCGAGTTGCTATTGCGCACACTCGGAGCTACGTTATGATGGGGATGGCTGATGAAGGAGCTCTGTAAAATCTCGGAATGAGATCTTAATATCTCTTCGAGCTTATCAAGTCTCTGCTCCAACTCTCTACCATAACCTGCTCTAAGGCCAGGCTTTTTCCGTTCACGATATTCGCAGAAGACTGAATTCCGCCTGCACCAACCACATGATGGCTGCCCGCGGTCGCATTTTACCTTTACGATGGTTAGCAACTAGCGACTACGTACTGAAAGATTAAATTGACTGGAAACTACCAGGAATGGGGTGGATGTGGGTGAGTGCGATATGCAGAGTTACCAACCTTTCTTTGTTTGCATGTTTCACAGCTTTGAGGTAACGCGTAATGTTAGTAATTTTTATTCCACACGAATCAAGAGATGATACACAGTAGATCAGACGAAAACACATTAGGATAGGTACATATATTAGTGCGGAATATATTAGTTAAGTGCGGAGGTAAGAGACATGAAGATTGAGTGAGACTGGGATCAAACGGTGATGGTTTGAGAGATAATTGGAGAATAAATGGGAGATAAAATGCGTGAAATATTGAGGGAATCAAGTAGCTAAATCTATTGGAGCTTCCTTCGGACGATCCAGAGAAGACGGGGGAATAAATGTAAGAATAATAATGAAAGTAATAATGAAAATAGATCGTAAAATATTATAATTTAATGTATGTAAGACAATAAATATAGAATTACTTACGATACAGAGATCGGCCTCTTACGCTTCCCATTGCGAACGGCACCGGAACTGTCGTGGTCGTCGTCTTGATCGTTCTCGTCCCCGCTTTGAAGAGCGTTATTACCGTCGTCGCTATCGGGTTCTTGTTTGCTATGCAGCGACACGTGGTTCTGCTGCTGCTGGGGTCCGGATAAGGATTGAGACTGAGACTGAGACTGCGCAGTTTGCATCATTGTCTCTCTTCTCGGTGTCAATTGCAAACTCTAGGCTTCTGCAACTCGGGGTTTGTACGCGACAGCATCGCGAGCTCTTCGGGGTAATGTTGAGTAGAGGGGGAGAAACTTGGGCGTTATGTGGGAAGGGGGCTGGCTGGGCTGGCTGAACTGGGCTTGCTTTGGGCTAAGCTGACTGGAGACTGGGAACTAGGTATGGTAGAATTCGGCCTCGGCTTGGATTGGTCTCGAACGTTTTTACCCTTCTTTCTCTTTTAGGACATCGGAGAAATGTGGATTCTTTTGGGGGGGTGTGAGCGAAAGAGAAGTGAGGAGAGAAGAAAAAAAAAAGAGATTAAAAAAATCAATTCATGCCAAGACAAAATAAAGAGTATAAGGTTAACAAGAGACCAGAGTCGCAAGTTCCAGCTTTAAATCTTGTAGTACGTTATTAAGGCAGGGACGGTGTAATAAACTGTTGTAGTACCTGACTAGTTCATGTAGGTACGCTTAATTCTTACACACGTACGATATATAGTTTTGATTGCGGGAACCAAGAGAGAAGAGCAGGAAGGAAGGATAGAGAATAAAGGTTATTATTGTATCATCAACTAAAGAAAGGCATTGTACACCTATACACTTTTGTAGTATGTAGATACGCATAGGCACGTGGGTATTTCTGATACATCAAGAAAATTGCGGAGTTAAGATACTATTTTGACAGGTATGGAATATGTCAAGACCAAAAAAATCGAATAAAAGAAACAAATGCCGTATGTAAGGCAGGTGGTTTTCTTCACATCACATCCAGGATTCTTATTCCTCCATTCCTGGTGTTTTCTTCTTCTAGGATGATGTATGTGGTAGCAGGTTTGTTACTGGCTGGAACTTCACTATCGTCACCTCTCATTATCAACTTTCACCATCTGCGGGGGAAAATCGATATATGGTGATCCGGTTCTTGGGGTGTGGCAGGCATTGTATCTGCGGAGGGAAAGTTGGGGAGAATTAAAATAAAAAAGAAGGGAAAAAAGACAAGGGAGGGTTGCAGGGTGTGGACAGGGTGGAGGAGATTTTAAGTGCGGAGACCAATTATATACTCCGGGACAGGGGTTACTCCCCTCATTATGCGAATTACATACCTAGTCCCCTGGCAGCTACCTAAGTTATCCTATAGTGTGTAGTGGTTGCCTCCAGACTATGCTGTTCTTAACTGTGAATTGAAACTCTTCAGCGCTCTCGTCCACCTAAACAATACAACTACATTTACGACCAAGTCTATATGTATTCATCGTCAGGCTTCTCTTCGCTCAAATCTCAACCAAAACTCACTATATGACCTTGATTAATTTTACTTCAATTTCGCATTGTTGATAGTATCAATCTACCTAGAATTTCCAAGATAGAAGATTGGCATCTGAACCCCGTAGAGAGATACTACAAAGATTTCCAAGTCCCGACACGGCAGAACCGTCCCCTATGCGAGTCGACGACCAAACTGCTACGTCAGACGGATAACTCTCCGTGGGATTCCGTTCCAATCTCGGTAGTCTTCCCCGGGTCTTCCCTTTCTGTTGGGATATGAGATACCGGTTATTCATCCATTCATCTTATTTCATATTTTCCCACACACAACCTTCCTAATCCAATTCACGTGCTTCCTGCGATTACAACACAACGACCACCTTTGCGTGAGCGAGCATGGGTATTCCCGTCCTAAACATTCAGTATTATCCTCCTTCTTCTCCTCATCCCTAGGCACCTGTGGTTATATTCTTCACGCTTTCGGTCAGTTGATCTACCAAGCTAGCCTTCTCTTCGGTAGCCTTAGTCTCGGCGTCTTGCGCCGGTGTCGAATCGGGTAGCCCCGTTGCAGTTTGCAAGAGACTCGTTGGCGGGGGATTCAACAGATAATCAGCCGGTACCAACTTAGATCTCGCAGCGGGGTTCAACGTCAAGCCGAATCCGGGCTTGTCTAAGTCGGCAGCGGTTAGGTAACCCTTGGTCGGAATAGGCTCGTCAAGAAATAGGTCTCCGAAGACCGGAAGGACACTCTTTCCATCCGGCGAATTGGCTAGATACTCCTGAAAAGGAGTATTGGGCTGCGAAATGACGAAATGATAGCTGTAAGGCCCACTGGCGTGAGGCACTACGGGGATATCGTACGCCGCAGCCATGGCAGATACCTTGAGAAGTTCTGTCATACCTCCCAGCCACATGACGTCAGGCTGGATGATGTCTAGGTTGCGCCCCTCGATCAGCTTTCGGAATCCATATCTCGAATATTCGTGTTCTCCTGTCGTAAACTTGAGAGTAGGGTGAGCCCGCTTGATTTGCTCGAAGCCATCCGTGTCATCTGGTGTTAAGCACTCCTCCCACCAATTGATGTTGAGGTCTTCACACTTCTTGGCGATTTCAATTGTGTACGGCACGTTCAGGCTCATGTAACAGTCGACCATAATGGGGAAGTCCGGACCTACACTCTCACGGTGCTTACGGAGATACTCGATGTTCTTCCTAAGACCCTCATGACCATCGGCTGGGCAGAATGGGAGGGGTACCTTGGAACCCCAGAACCCCATCGCCTTAGCTGCCGTCGGCTCCGGTCCTGTGCAATAGAAGTCTATCCTCTCTCTGGCTGCGCCGCCAATCAGCCTATATACGGGCTCATTCCTAAGTTTACCAAGCAAGTCCCATAGCGCTAGGTCGATGACTGAGATGATGGCTATTGGTAAACCCTTCCGGCCGTAGAACATAGAAGCTCGGTACATCTGTTCAAATAGTAGGTTGGTATTCCTAGGGTCGGCTCCAATCAGGAATCGTTCGAAATGCTTGTGGACAATCCAGCAAGCCGGCGGGCCTACATATGAGAAATACCTCCATCAGTACACCACCATCATGCGCCAAGAAGGCGAGACTCGTCAAAATGGGAATTTATACCGCCAAAACCCGTAGCGAAACCCACGGTGCCATCGCTAGCTTCGATTTCAATGAGGAACGATCCAAGGACGTTGATACCCCAGCTTGTTCGCGATTTCTTATACTTGTCCCAAATAGAGCAAGGTGTCGAGATGTCCGTATCGATCAGCCTGCAATCGCGCTTGTGTTAGTTTCGCTGTCTTATATTCGCTCTCACGAGTGGCACTAAGACGGGGAACCTACCAATGGCCGCCCTTGACATTGTGATAATCACCACCTAAAGCGAGTTAGTTGATAAGCGCTCTTTGATTCTCTGCATCCCTCATTCGGTACACACAAAGGAAACTTGCATACCTGAACCTACGCCGCCAATCACGTACGACCTTATGGCTTTGATGGTGGGAAACTGTCTCACCGAAGCCATCGCAAATTTATCTCGGGTTATTATGACAGATCGGTTCGGAAATCTCGTATCTAGTTATCTCCTCGGTCGTAGCTTGTTGCGAAAGCGTCGCGATGGTTGTCGGTAAAAATAGAAAGTCCTGGAGGGAGTACAAGCGGAGGAAGCGGGAGGAGCGGGAGAGAGCTTAGAGTGACAACACCAACCGGAGCAACAAAACCTAGAAGCGTCGTGACCGGAGTAATAAATACATTTGTAGGGAAGCGCAGTAGCGTCAAGCTCGGCTTCCCGAACAGCGACATCCCCTGGGTCACTCTACAACAAAATAAGACACTCCAAAAAAGACCGAGGCGGTTCGGTCAGTCCAAATCAGTGGGGTGACTAGGAGAGGAGTCGGACTAGGAGTGGCAGCCAGGATGGCCATGGAAGCCGCCTTAGCTCCTTGCGTTTTGTTCCAATCGATGGTTCTACATTGGGCCATACATTGGACGGGAGACAAAGCTCTAGCTTGCATTACGTTTCATGAGAGAATTCATCGACCTAGTTTAACACGCGGATCGGTATCCAATCCCCCGACCATGACTAAGTCCGTCCCCGTCGCGAGCCTATCGAAGCCGTCTGTTAGGTCCTTTTGAGTCGATGGATGTCGAGAAGCATACGTGCGAACCAAAGTCACGAGGACAACAATATCCTGCACGCCCATACAACCTACATTACATGACGCATAGCTGCCTATTTTATAGGTTGACGATCCATATAAGTGAGGCGTTCATAAGGTGGTATGAACCCCGCGATGGACTCACATAATTCCACTAATACCAGGATGGGTCTTACTTATGATGAAACATATAGATTCGTCTCCCTACATCACGATGTACCCCTATAACCAGAGCCAGTAGGTATGTTTTTTCATCTAGACGAAACATAATCCTTAATAAGGGACACGTATATGAGAAGCCAAGTATAGGATCGCACACAACCATTTTCAACTCGCAGCGTATCCATATCTCCGGAAATAGTCTGGTGGGATGCCGAGGCGGGCACTCTGCATCTTTAGACCCAAGTCCCGAACGAAATCTCGCTCCTCATTGCACCGAGATCGTGGGGTTAGTCTAGGCGCTAATGGAACGCGGACGGGTCGCTAACCATGACCTACCATAAACTAAAGAAGCTCTACTAACTTAGAGACCGTGAAGTCGATCATCATCGTGATTATTCTGATGTGCTCGTAAAATCTGGAAAATTGATGAGAAGATACTCCTTTTCTTATACAAACACTTCAATTCGGACATCGCGATACACTCATATTCACACCAAACACAACATACAATAACGACTAGACAAATATAACGGAATCTCATCACATGTTAAAGCTATTTACCTGCCCAGGAAGCTATAATCTACCCCGCTATATTCAGGAAGAACCCTGAAGCTACCCCTACATAAACATACAACATACATACAACATACACAAACGTACATACACATATTCAGACTGAAGATACGAAGCATCACATTACCACATTACATTCCATCACACCTTAAAGCTTCCTCGGATGAAATTCTAGCCTTTCCAACTCCCTCCAATTCTTACCTAAGTGCCTACCAACAAACACACCAAACACACTTCTTTACAAATTCACCACTTACACATATACGCATAAGCAGACAAAACACAATAATCGACACATCACATACAACGTAGACAAATATACCACACCCAGGCTTACAAAAATGCCGGCAACAAACATCCTGCTTGGCAAAACAGCCATCATAACAGGGGGAACTACAGGCATAGGTCGAGCCATTGCCCTCGAATACTTGCGACAAGGATGTAATGTCGTCGTAAACCACCTCGGCCTCGAGCGCGACCAGCCACACCTCGACTCCTTAATCGCCGAAGCCGAAGCCCTCAAGACACCTAAGGCGGACCAAATCACAGCGACAGCAACAGGAACAATAGGCACCCTAGACCACCTCGCCGGCGACGTCTCCGACCCTACCACTGGCCCCGCCCTCGTAGCACACGCTGTATCCCGCTTCGGACGCCTAGACATTTGCGTGAGCAACGCAGGAATATGTCAATTTGCCGAATTTCTCACATTATCCGGTGATCTGTGGTCGCGCACGGTACGCACGAATCTCGACGGCGCATTCTACGTAGTACAAGCAGCGGCGCAACAAATGGCATCCCAAGAACCTCTCACCACTTCCTCCTATTCACAACAAAAACACCGCGGTTCTATAATTGGATTGAGCTCTATATCCGCATTAGTAGGCGGTGGTCGACAGACACATTACACACCCACAAAAGCTGGTGTATTATCGCTGATGCAAAGCTGCGCGGTCGCTCTCGGGTCGCACGGAATCCGGTGCAACGCGCTGCTGCCGGGGACGATTCGGACGCAGTTGAACGACGAGGACCTGGCGGACGACGACAAGCGGGCGTACATGGAAGGTCGGATACCGTTGGGGCGCACGGGAGACCCGCGGGATATGGCCGGGCCGGCTGTGTTCCTTGCTTCGGATGAGCTGAGCGGGTATGTGACGGGCTCGCAGCTATTGGTGGATGGAGGGTTGTTTGTTAATTTGCAATGAGCATATTTACTTGCCTACCCTCGCCGCACCCTTCGGTACCTGAGGTAGGTAATAAAAAGGCATATAAATACCTAGATTTGTACATACTTGACAGCCTCTTCGTTGCAAAATGGCTGACAAAACAACAAAAAACAAGCGAATGAACTTATTGAAACCGGTCAACTCATCCTATCTACCATCTACCATCCACCACCATCGGATCCGCGGGCCCTTTTCCCTCCCCGCTCCCACCTATTCACCCTCTCCCGGTTTCCCTTCTCTTCTCCCTCCCTCTCCAACCACAACCCTCCCTTCCCATGGGATACAACAAAGCGCATACCCGCTTGCACCCCCCGCCTTGCCCTGTGCTGGTCGGTAGTTACCGTTGATCCTAATTCCAATTCCGGCATACTTTAACATGCCATTGCTAGGCTGGCGGCAGGCGGCAGCTTAGCTCGCGTGAGCGTATTACCTACATTATACATGCTACAAATCCAAGTCTCCAAAACAAAACAAGTAAAAGACCCTGAAAAAATGCGGAGAACCTAGACTCTAGAGTTTCGCAGAACAATCGAGACGAATATATGTAGAAACTCGTTTCCCCGCTGATCATCGTGGCGAATGCGATTCGGTTGGGGACAAGCGAGGCAATGTGAAAGTGGGCGCAAGGTGGGTGGACTGATCCGGTAGCTGTTTTATGTATGATTTGCGGCTTAAAAATGTGAAGTAGGGTCGGGATGTGATGGTAAAAGGATATGTGTGTATTGGAGTTGGCGAGGGATAGGTGCGTTGAACGTTCCTTCATGAATTGGTGTATTGGTGTACAAGTATTGCACGAGTAGAACACAAGATCCGTGCCGTGTCTGTAGCAAGATAACCTTTTACCGACGAGATGAGTACTACCGACTCGACACTCAAATGCGACAGACGACTGTGGTACTATCACGATGTCCGACATAAACAAGTCACACAACACCAAATCAAATGGAACATAACAAAGTAACTTGTAAAAGCTTTAATTAAGCTTCGCTATATAAAATTTATATATCAAATATTTATCGTTTTATATCAATAACGCCTCCTAATGCACAAGATCCGACAAGTCTTCTAGATGGGTAGATAGACATGGTAAACAACACCTATTGACCCCAATATCAACAACGAGGACAATTATTATCCAAACATTGTAAACCGAACGAATGCCCTTTCCACAGCATGATCCCATGCATGAAGAGTATATGTAATGAATAGTAATAGTAGTAAAAATATATAAGATGTAAAAACAACAGTGGTATCATGAAAGTATTCCCTTTAGAATCATGTGCTAGTCATAAGTTCGTAATAATTATGCAGTAAGCTCGAGCGGGCGTTCTTCGGCGGGACTGAAGACAGCAAGGTCTTGCGCCTCTTCTAGGCTCAACTTGGGCATATCAGCTAAGCGAGGCTTTTGAGGACGCTGAGATTGCATTTTCCTCTTGCGCTCCATTTCGCGCTCGATGCCGTGGTTTACGGCGTCCAGCACCGTGTTGACGGTTACGCGTGGCTTGTAGGCCGGTTCTGTACCATCCTGGTAAACTCCGGTCTTGACCAGAATGCTGTACCAGTCGTTTTCGGCCTTTTCGTTATATTGGTTGGTTCCCCGAATATCACTCTCGGGTGTGTCACCAACGAAGTAGACGGTGTTAGGGGGTGCGTTGAGATGGTGCTCATTCTTGCGCCATCGCTTTAGTAGGCGAGTGGCGAACTCGAAAGTTCCGATTTGAGGTTTGCCAAAGGCGTGTGTTTCTAATGTCTTGCCCTTAGTGACCTCCTTGAAGGTGTACTCGACGATACCCCGTAGGGCACCCATGCCGAGACGGACGTTGTCGTGAGCGGCAGACCAAACGACATCGTTGTGAGAGAAGAAGATCGGTGGGCCCTCGTCGAAAGTCTCGGAAAGAGTGCCGATGCGACCGCCCTTAGACATGGCCAGATCTAAGATAATTTGGAGATCTCCGGCCCAGTCGCGGGAGTCGGCAAAGACAAAGATAGCCTCAATAGTGACCTTGCTGAAGTCCCGCTCCTTGGAGTTGCGAAGTTCCTCGGGGGTCAACTTGCGGAACGGAGTGGTAGCGGCATCAGCCTTGATGATGTCGCCGGGTGTGACAACATCCTTAAAGCCGTAACCTTGTGCAACGGTACGGCACTTCTCGCCCTCACCTCCGACGACTAAAACGGTGTTGTACTTGGTAGCCATCTCGGACATAGGTGTGTGACCGCAGATGAACTGAGCCGGAGAAATTTCGATGTCCAACTGGCGGGAGAGGTCGCCGCAGCGCTCGGCCTCGGTCTTGCCACCGCCGTTGGTCAAGAAGATGTACGGGCTATTTTAAATTAGTAAATGGTCCAATATTGGGTTTTGGAGGAAGCGCCAAGACACTTACATCTTAATTCCATATTGGTTGTCGCCGTTGAGAACCTTCATAGCCTGGATGGCTTCAGGGATGGGACGGCCACCTCTGACGAGGACACCATCGATATCGAAGGCGAAGGCGAAGCTGTCTGCGACAAATTGATCGTCGACAGGGGGAGAAATAGGGGAGATGGCAGCATCCGACTCCGGGCTGGAAGGAGTGGCGCTGGCGGTCGGGCTCAGAGACGGGGCGGTCTCCGACTCAGAAGGGCTTGCCTGTGGGGAGTCTCCGACGAGCAGCTTACGAGCGAGATCAGTTCGGGCTGTTTCGATCTCGTCGACAAAGCTGCCGCGGTGGAAGGTGGGTTGTTGCTGAGGCTCCAAAGACATGGTGAAACAGGTTGTTGAGGAATATGAAATGGTAATGACCGAACTCTACACGCGAGATAAAAGCAAAAAAGTAGTTGTGAAAGCTTGAAGAGGACCAGCCAAGACTGAACAGTCGTTGTCGTACTAGATGTCTTTCAGATATAACTTCAAGGCGGGTAGACTCGAACTCCTGGTGAGCTAAGATGTTGATTATGTGGGTTGAAGAGAAGAATAGAGAAGGGGATGGGGATGTTTATATATATGAAAATTGCCTGGACAAAGAGTGGTTCTCTTGTCTATACCTACGTAGGTACATCTAATAGTAAACAGTGAACATAAACCGTCACTCGACACCATCAACAAGAATGAATACCTACATACAACATGTAATCTCAAGGAGGTACGTAGGAATAAGTGGATATCACTTAACATGTACAATGATGTGTGGCTACATGCTAGTCAGTTTGGACCATGCCGCCCAAGGCAACCCATGGCAAGCTTCAAGGGCAGTGTGTGGATGAGAGTGTGCTTGCTGTGTGGATCCGGGCTTATACTACCTTGCAGGGCTAGTATATACTACTATGAATGTAGTAGCAGTATATCCTGGTATATCCCTACTTAGGCATGTGTAATGAGAGGAATAATAAATATGAAAATAAGTTGGAAGGCAAACGGTTTCGGTTATCGCTTACCCAGGTACTTTAGAGACGCAGACAAAGGATGGAAATTTGAGTCGCCGAGCGCGGGAAACCAATGAAAATTGACGTACCTTCGTATCTAATTCATACTGTAGAACCCCCATGGCGAAGTACCTAGGTAGATTCGAGGATTGGTATGGTCTTGATGCTGTCACCGTTGTCAACGTCAGCCTTGTGTGTGTCTAGCGTTACTGGCCTGTAACGTTGAAGTTGTTTCTATGTCTCGGCCACCGGCGCATCTAGTGGCCATCGTCGATGTATGTATGTGTGTACTGTACATCATCGGTCATACATAAGTCGATGGACCCGGGGGATCCTTGAGTTTGGGTACGAGCACGAGTTCGTAACTTTCCTAGGGGTTCTTTCTTCGCAAGGACCACCTTACGTACCCGGGTATGTACCTTGAGGAAGAGGCAATGGGGGTGAGGTTTTCGAGGACCCTTGTATACCTAGATACGTATGTAGGGTACGCAGGGTACGTAGGATATAGTAAAAAGCCAATGAGGTAACATACCCGGTTACTAAACTCGCATGGATCGAAAATCAGGGTCTCACTTTTCCTTTATCATTCGCTTGGGTTGCCGAACCCAGCAAAGAAGGACCTTGTCAGACATTAGAGGCGTCGAGGAACCCGACAAGTCTTCGTGGTATGCAGGACCTAATACTCTAGCCTCGACAGGTATGGAGGACGCCGCTGCCAAAACAGGATATGATCCGATACGTAGAACGCCGCGTTTAGCAGTGCTATCTCTCGGGTTTGCGACGCGGAGTTATAGTTTTCATACTGTACGAATATGTAATCATAGGTACCTCCTCGATGTTTCTAGAGGTTGCCTGTGGCTGCTGGAAGCGGTAAAAGTCAACCAACCAACAAGACCGGTGGATTCTTTAGTTGGCTTAGAACCTTTTTGCTTTTCTTTGTTGTCCGTGCGTCAGTATTTTCAATATATGACGGAGGTATGTGGGCGGTCATTGTCGTGTTATCAGAAGCCGTCAGCCCGCTTGGGTCGGGTAGTCATCGGGATAATTACAAGCGATGCATGGATTATATCCCCAAATAGCCATCAGGTTGGATTTCTTTAGGTGACATAAGGCCAAATGAAAAAGAAAAAGAAAAAAAGTTGTACAGGGCTGTAGAAGCAACCTGAACTGCCTGACTAGGCGTCAAGGTAGTAGTCAGAATAGGCCGAACCAACTTCCTTCGAGGTTCGAGGCACGTGTAAACTAAATCTTCACTTGAAGCCTGTAAAAACTCGAAGAAAATGATAGCGGCGGTGTAATATGACTCGGGCCGTAATATGGAATGGTATCATAACTGGTGCGAACAGGGCCGTATCTTTGTCAACGTTGGGTTGTGTTGATAATGGTGATATGGACTCGTATGGACTCGTATGGCTCAATCAAGTCAACTATGGCGTATCAAGTGAAGTCCGCCTTCTATCCGGCCTTTTTTTTGTGTTGCTTTTTTCAGTTGCACAGCCTGCCAGCCTGCAAGGCTTCACTCAGGCATCATCTAAGCAGCCTAGGTAGGTCTTGTTATCTTGTTACAAGGATCTCTGATAGATCGGACCGAGAAGCCATGGCTTTTGGATGGCTTGAGATGTCTCGATGTTGCAATGGGCGGACTTCTCTAGGTGATCTTATTATCTAAAAGCGCGTTTAGGGATGATAGTACCTCATCGGCTTATACAAAGAGATCTGGTACAACGTGGGCGGTTAAGGGAGGGAAAAGAGTACTTGTCCGCACAGTAAGTTGGGACACTGTCCTTGTTTCGACGGGTAAGATAGGAGTTGAATGGGTTGTGTGAGTTGTGAATGGTTCCTGGTTGGCTTGAGTGGTTTGAGTTGAAAAGGTTGTGCAGGCGGTTAGGAAAGAAAGTAGAAGCCGCAAAAGAACTTGTGACGTCAAGCGCATGTAAATATGTGGGTACTAGTGGGGCTCTTTTTAAATCTTTTTAATGCAATGTTGGGATAATTTCTTAAAGCCTGTTCGGCGTTTTTCACTTTTTTTTTTTTTTTCTTCTCGTCGCAGCAGCAGCATTCGGCAACATTAGCCACCTTTTGACCGATACACCCCCCCCCATTATTGTTATTTATACACTTGTACATCTATATGTATTTAGTATAACTCCAGTACTTACAAGGGTACTTACCCCCTCTGTAAACCCCCTCTATAACCCCTACCCCTCAATTAAAAAACTGCCCCCCAAACCGTGGACCCCCATTTCCCTCCAACCCAAGACCTTAACATGCCCCTGGAGATCCATTCACACACCATTTTTTGACCACTCATACACCATTCTACCTGTCTACCCATTATAGCGTCGATATAGTACCCCTATACGTATACGGCTCCCCTGGGGCTACGGATATCCTTATGGGGCAAGAGACGGGACAATCAGCCTGTGAACGGTGCTACAACGGCGGTTATAACGGAAAGGAACATCTCCCCTTTCCGGATATCCTGGCCGTAGACAAGAAACAGAAACACTTGATCTAATCTTAGACAGGTAACATGTTCATGTTTATGTTCACGTTCATATGTTAGTATCCAAACTAGTCCATGCCCCTCTCTCTACTAGTTTGGAGTGCGTATATATATACATACAAAAGTATGTAGGTATGTATGTAAGGGGGAAGTGAGAATATGTATCCTTACACCTGACGTGCTCCCGTGGTCTAAATGTAGATATCGATTCAGACACCTACATATCCATACTCAAGAGACCTACATACAGTTTAAGAGTTTGAGAGTGAAGAGCGGGAGCGGATACGGGGCCGCTAGGTAGATGGTGATATACAGGGAAAGATTCCCGTCATTGTTTACTTTACTCTGATGAGGGTACATATCATTATCAGCAAGTTATAACTAAAATATAGTCAAAACACGACCTTGATAACTTGACTAAAGACTAAAAAAGACCGACCGAATAAGAACAAGTTGATCATCGACTATATCCACCGACGCGCGTATGCCGCCATGTCGATATCCAGAATTTTTACTCCTCCCCCGGACCCGTCATCTTGTACCGCCCCGACTTTCCCCATGTATCTGAATGATTAACAATGCGGTCGTCGGGTTCGATTCAAGCACTTAATAGGCACTACCGCTGTTTCTCGCCATAGTCCGAATCCACTCTTCAGCACTTGTTATGCTAGTAAACGTAGATCTTGGGGAAGGATATCCACAAGGATTGGAAAAAAAAATGGATTTTATTAGTGTTGTCTGAAACAGGGAAGATATGGAGCCCGTAAAAAAAAAACACATGATTGTGTTGTAATGTATGTAGGTATGTACAATAAAATGGGTGTGTCTTGTGTTCCCTATTGCTAATGTAAGATATCGAGAAGCATCGAAAGTACCCAATATTTTCGGATTGCTATAACCAGATAAGATGCTACAAATCGAAAGTCTAGACAATACGAAGTCCATAGTTTATTATCTAGGTCAACACTAACATCCCTTATTTCTTCATACTTGTGGGTTTGAGTCGTTCCCACTGCTTGTCAACTAACATAGCCATCCTCCGTCATCTACTGTCACAATCATTCGACTCTTAGTTACTTCTTGGTATCCACGTGTAGTACGAATCGATCGAGAAGCATAAAGAAACGTTACGAGTCAAGGAATTACCTAAAATATTATTTTATTATTTCTTTCGCAGCTTGAACCCAGTAGTCCGGATTGGCTTTATAGGGGAATCTATATATTAACTCTTGTTCACATGGGCAAGCCTATTGGAATTCTCTACATCCATGTAGTCATCATATATAGAGATAGCGACATCCCTACTCAAATGCATGTAAGACCAAAGCTAGGAGAAATCAAATTCGGAAATAAGAAATTCAGAATCGGAAAGTTTACTCGTGAGTCGTGTCAATACCATGACGGTGAATTCCATTTCCAGAATTGCTAGAGCATGTGCGCGGAGACATGCAGCAATTCCGCACTGCTGTGAAACCTATTCATCTTCTAAAGAAATGCCACCATATCATGCACGGTGACGTCCCGTAGGGAATAGCGTCAAGGTCCTAGCAAACGAGGCGGTCACAGAAAATTTCCAATCTGACAGGTGAAAACCCTCGAAAAAAACGTACAGAAGCCGTAGAGGCGCCGTCAATGACCCGTCATATGCAGCATATTGTCATAAGAAGACACTTTATTTCTGATTGGAGGGACATGGGGGTATTCGAAACAGGGTCGTCTTTACCATGCTGCCGTGCAGTAGTTGAGTGATGATGCGGCCTTGGCGGGGCAAGGGCTGAAAAAATAACAATAATCTCCAGGGCGGTATTCTACCGTAATGTGAGATATCCAATCGTTGGCTCGTCATTTCGTTGGTTGGTGATTGATTAGTTCAGTACTGTTGATGAGATAAGGGGGAACCCCTAGGCAACTAAATGATGGTGTATGTATGCAGGTATTCCCATTCCGTGTTAGAATAAAAAGCTGGGGGAGGGTAGAAGGGTGAGATACATCTATATTTCGATGCATGTGAAAATGAACTACCTAGTAGACCACCCCCTCGAAGCCAAGAAAAGCAGGTTACTAAACAAGCAAACCCTTGTTGTGTGGCTGCTGCTTGATGACGACTATGTCACCGTACCGCGCCGTACTGTAGCATGATAAAAACACTTAAGAAACGGAGGTCGGCGCGGTGACATAGGGTATTTGTTTCTATTGGAATTTTTCTATTCTTATTCTCTGGTTCCGATGTTGATGACTACATAAGTAGTGCGACAGGTGGCATTGGATGGATTAATGATTCCTCCATAGATCCGGACGTGAGGGGGTCCCCCTTGTTCCCAGCCCCCTCCCCATGTCCGTAATGTAGGTACCTAACTTGGTGAACAGCCTAGTTATTCATCCAATAATGAAAGCTGAACTCATACGAGGACCCAGAAGTGATCCCCCTTGGCGACTTTTCCATACAAATAGCAACCACCAATAAATACTAATAGATGTCGAAGTCGGGATACCACATAGGTAAAGGATTCGCGGCTATCAAGCAACAATACGGTATTGGACAATACTAATCTACTACGTTGTATAGCGGCGAGCTGATCGTTTCCTGGTGTAATGCCACATGGCGAATCGGTAAGGTATAAGATCTGCAACATCCCCGCCATCTCTCCCCCAACATCTCGTCGATCCATCGTGGAGTTTCCAGAAGAAGTTGCCTTGTAAGTACGTAAGCACACACACATACAACATACAACATCCAACCACATGCTTGCTTTCCTAGCAAGCCTAGGTAGCAAGATAGACGATGTGAAGTCGTTCCCAAAGTCACATTCCGCTCCTCTCAGAAAAACCTTTTTCCGCAGAGCCGCCACCTCCCGCGAATCTGAGCACGGACGAACATTATCTGCCAGTTTATACGATGGCGATCTACCCTGATCTACCCGCTCGGCACGCTGCTCATTTTCTTTTCCTGGGTTCGCCCGTATGTACGTACTTTTGAGTCATCCCCTATTCAGCATGGCTACCTACTTCAATTCGACTACTTCTCTCCTAAGCCGTTCATTCCCCCGCACTCCGTTGATGAGTGAGGGGGATGAATGATTGGGAATGGATACACGGGTTCATAGTTTCGTTTCGGAACCAAGATTTGACAGACGTGGGATGGGTTATTAGGTAGGCAGATGACGACGTAACAGCCGTTGCGACGACAATAACTATGATAAGTGACGAGTGGGATTATACCGGGCAGCTGAACGCGAAAAGGTCTAATTAACCAGATATTATGTTGGTGGTAAGATGCTTACCGGTAGAATCAACAGGAAGTAACCGTAATGAGAAAATACCGTATTCAATAAGTTCTAGAAACATAGCATCAGGTCATTTTTGGTTTTCTTTCGACTTTGATATCCTTGTAGAAATAATGGAATAGATAATTCCATCAGCCATTATAAGCAACCCGGAGACTATAATCTCACTTTTGATTAAGCGACATATTCTAGACTATCTATTTTGTATAGCCATTCCGGTGGTATGCTGATGAACCCCAAGCGACTTACTAACAATAGATACCTCAAAATATTCAGATATTCGACTTTCACTCTGAAATGTCCATCGAGATGCCTAAAAATAAGCCCTAGTACATATTCTCACAGTCACCTTACGTTCTTCATCATCTCTAACCGAGCAAGAACATACCTGCTCACTACTTCAACGAATAGCCATCAAGAACCGACTTTTCTCTCTAATCCCTGCGCTCTACAGAATACAATACCTCGGGTATCACACATTTAGTTTCAACCCCCCTCTTCTCATTCTATACCGCCCGCTCCCGTCCGATCCCCGTGAACCTTCACAGGAGCATGTCTCTGTCACAAATCTAGCAAGCATTGACGTCTTGCACGTAAGTCTATAGATACCTAAGCAAACGAATCGGTCCTCCTATCCCACACCGAACCACGCTACCACAAAGTAAGGGGGTCACGACAGTCTTTCCCTTGCATACCCGCCGCCAGTTCCCATCTGCCTTATCGAGATCGAGCACTATATATCGATCCCCGACACAAGCCCTCTCACAAGCCACATTGACAAATATCTATATCTCGCGTGTTGGTACTTCCACATTACACAGCGACGGTAGCCGTGATGACCTCATCTTTCTTATGCCTTGCCTATCACAAGCAAATTTAATCGTTATGCATTTATTCCTTTTTTGATTCGTTCTTACGAAAAAAGTAAATCCATAGCTACATAGTTACTTGGCGACCTACCTAGGTAAGTTAATTCCCGAAATATACCTTGCCAAGCCAGCACCAGTAGAAAACAATAACCAGATATCCGTCCGTCCTGTCTCGCTGACGTTTCGTACGACGTGCATGCACCGCCCCGAACAAAATACAGACAAGATCTGCAATGTTGAAATGCTTGTTGTTGAAACCGAAATAATGCAAATGAGGCCATCACGAAAAATCATGAGGGTTTCCCGCCTCTATATTTCCTGTATGCGGAACCCATCCGAAAACTCCCCAATGCTACCCTTCTTGCATCCACGCCATTCCATACGTGTTTAGTTGCCCACGTCTCCCGTGTCGCCCACCCACGCCGCCCGCCTTGCTTGTTGACAAGGGGGAAATGCCCAACAGCGGCAAGACGGAGAAGCATTGGACGGACGAGGTACCACACCCACCTCCTTTTCCAGCCCAACCCTCAATATCCCAAGTTGTGCCGCCCCGTCGCGGTCACAACCTCATAAATGCACCTCAACGTCATTGTCGCTCCTCCCAAGGAAGAGGATATGTTCCCACCCAGTCCGAGACCTCAGCGCGTAGCTGCACAATTTCGGAGTCTTCCTCGCCGGTGCCAAGGAAGTCGAAGAAGAATTTGAGCTTGTATTTCTCGCCCTTTTCCTCAGCCGCGCTGCGTGCTGCTTTATCTACTCTTGCCGCGATTGTTACCGCGCGATCGATAATATCGGCAACCCTAACAAAATCGTTTTCGCTAAAGCCGCGTGTCGTCATAGCCGGCGTGCCTATGCGCAGACCACCCGGTATCATTGCGGACTTGTCTCCGGGTACCGTGTTCTTGTTGCTAGCTACTCCAACAAGCTCCAAGACTCGTTCGACTCGAGCGCCGTCGACGCCCTGGGGCTTTAGGTCTACGAGGACTAAGTGGTTATCTGTACCGCCACTCACGAGCTTGTAACCAAGTCCGCCACTGCTCTTGGATTCGCCTAGGCGGTTCGCGAGAGCCTGTGAGTTCACAAGAACTTGCTCTTGATAAGCTCGGAATTCTGGCGTTTGGGCCTGTTTCAGTGCCACAGCTAGTGCCGTGATGGTATGGTTATGAGGGCCACCTTGATGGCCAGGGAAAACCGACTGGTTGATGGGGTTCTCGAGGTTATATAATATCTCTTCCTTCGTCTTAGGGTTGACCTTCCTTACGCCTTTCCTGTAGAAGATCATGGCACCGCGAGGACCGCGCAGACTCTTGTGGCTCGTAGTTGTCACGATATCGGCAAACGCAAAGGGGCCGGGAACGACCTTAGCCGCGATTAAACCCGAGATATGCGCAATGTCGGCGAGTAGGTATGCGTTCACTTTATCGCACGTGGCCTTAATCGCCTTGTAGTCGATGAATCGGCCGTAAGCGCTGGCTCCGGCGACGATAATCTTGGGTCGGTAGGTTTGGGCAAGGTCGTCAAGCTTTTCGTAGTCGATTAAGCCTGTTTCTTCGTTTAGTCGGTAAGGGACTGTTTCGAAGTACTTGGATACGGCTGAGATCTTCTTCGTCGGGGTTTGGTAGCCATGGGAAAGGTGACCTCCATGAGGGAGATCTAATCCCATGAGTCGATCGTGAGTATCTAGTAGGGCGGAATAAACGTATAGGTTTGCGGGAGCACCGGAAAGTGCTATTTATAAACTTGGATTAGCGATGGGCACACCATGGATACACGACTGGCATGGAGTGGCGTGTATAAACATACACTGGACGTTGACTCCCCATTCCTTCTCGTCAAGACCAAACGCCTCCAGTGCTCTCTGTTGACATAATCTTTCGGACTGGTCGATGAATTCGTTGCCTGCGTAGTATCTTGCTCCCGGATAACCCTCTGAGTATTTATCTATGGGCGATGAGTTAGCTCGGACATATTAGTGGTCACTATGATTTATTCGTACTTTGCATTACACTGCCTAGCGCATCGAGAACGGCTTGTGAGGTAAAATTTTCGGAGGGGATCAGGTTAATGAAGTGCTTTTGCCTATTTTTCTCCTGTCGCGACATTGTCGTTAGCACCTAGTTCCCATCACACCTAGCTTGTAGGAATAACGATGGTAGTATTTTATACCTTCTCGATAATGTCAAATACGGCGGGGTCGGCATCGTGAAGATGGGCGGAGAGCAACTATCCAGATGTATTAGTATAACCTTCATCCCGATCTTCTATTCTATTTCTAATTCGACTGGGGTGTCGCATACACGTTGTTGAACATCAGAGGCGACAGAAGATTGCGTCCTTCTCGTCATATATTGAACTGTGGCTGGAGTAGACCATTTCGATAAGGGACGAAGAGCACGCGATGTGCCTCGAAGGGCGGAGAGAGCCATGGTCATGGGTCGTCGTTAATTGGTTCGTATCTTTTGATGTAAATATGAGGATCGTCTTTTCTAATATTGTGGCGCTATAATGTCTGAGATTGATCGCCGTTGGGAAATATTGTACCAGAATGAAAAAATTGCGTCTATATCGCCATAATGGAATTGATTGAGTATTGAATTGAATGAAGTTAAATTGATTAAAAATTCACGGCGACTTTCTTTAGAGACTAAAAGCGAAGTCGGCTCCTCTTGTCGCTTGCACCTTCTTTCTCACCGGCGGAGTATTCTAATAAGAAAGAGCTGGGCACCTCCCCCAAGATAGTGCTATGCTAAATAAAAATCAGCCTATCGTGAGCTCACCATTTCCCAATTGGAAGCTTCGATCTTTCCATTATCCAGGGTTCCCTATCTGCTCCGAAGGCGGGGTGTGTTCGGTCTTGGGGTTCGCCGGCGGGGAATTCTCTTATGTAAGGTACACCTTGATATCCCCAATTCGGTATAACGCCCACGTGATCTTGTTACAATTCCATTTGAAGAGGCTTTGCTCAAACTTTTTTTCTCTTCTTTTTCTTTTCTTTTCTTCTGTATCAACTAAATTGGATGTGATGAGCTCCGCTTCACTTTGGCAAATTCGGATTCCGCTATTTATTCTCATGAGTATCTAGCGGGAGCATGCTGATATGTTCCGGGCGGCACCTCACCACCTTTAACGGGACAATTTGAAGAAATCTGATCCAACTATGTTGATCTTGGCTTTGTTATTTTTGTGTTTGCTTCCAATTGTTTGTACTATATTTTTTAGAGGTCGCCTATTGAGATGTGCATGCTGTAGAACCATCAAGGTAACCTAAATATGATATTTCATAACTAGTCCCCTTTTTGAGTGTCGTGTCTATCGGGTGATGTCTTGTCGTTGGCTAAGGTGGAAGTATTGATATTTAGCAGATGCTCTACACTCGAAGGTCGGAATCCAGCAAGCATAAGATTGCCTTGGCAGGTCGCTAGGTATTTTAGGATCATAATTGGCAAAACAAGCATGTTGGGAAGTACCCAGCCATGTCGGATAGACGTTATCGTGACACTTGCAAATACCATCGAATAAGTTCCTCGACACATATCACAGTCATGAATTAGAAAATAGAAATTCTCAAACGAAGAAAAAAATAGGCGTCAAGTTCATCGATTCCGTTTTCAATGCCATACATGCAAAGCCCGGCGGTGAAAGCACTACGACCGATGGGCGCAAGGAAATAGAGACCCAACCATATACGCCGAATGCAGCCGTCTCAGATTCCTTAAGTAGTCCATATGACGACACCTCTAGCTCTCCTACGTAGCTTGATCGTGCGCATATGCCAACGAATTCCCTAGCCTCCCATTTACGCGGCCTCCTCCTCACCACCTGCCAGAGCATTTCGCTTGGCTGCCTGTCTCTCCAACTTACGCTCACGAGCGGCCTTGTTCTTCTGTCGCTTGGCGTCCATCTCTTCCTGGAGCGCACGCTCACGAGCCTTCTCGGCCTTGGCACGGTGGATCTATAAAAACATATGTTAGAATTATATCACCATGCCGAGATAAATCGAGTCAGAACGTACGTGCTCAACTAGCGCTCGCTTGTGCTTGAAGGCGTTACCCTTGCTAGAGTGGTACAGCTCGTGGTAGAGGTGCTTGTCGATCTTACCGCTGGCACGGTACTTGACTAGGAGACGTCGGAGAACTCGGAGACGTCGCATCCATAGAACTTGTCTATGTGTATAGGTTAGCCATTATGATTGTTCTTCGCCACCAGATTTATATCGCTCTTCCAATCCATATATTCCGTCTCTTCTGCGACTACCGCCTTCGAGATATAGTAAAGATGGGACTAAACATACTGAGGCATACGAGCATCGGCGGTACCCTTTCGCTTACCGAAACCTCGGTGTCGTCCATCCCGTCGGGCGAGGTTTAGCTCACGGGCGCGGGATCGGGAGTGAACGGTGACAGGCTTGCGGATGATAAGACCGTCGCTGACGAGCTTTCGGATGGTCTGTCGGGAGTTGGCGTTGGAGATCTCGTTAACCTCGTTGGGGTCGAGCCAGATCTTGCGCTTTCCGCAGCCTATGACGGAGGCCGCGAGGCGCTTCTGGGTGCGTAGATTGACCCTATAGATGATATAAGTATTAGCGCGGTGCTTATTGATTGATTGGTCGATGATTTGGTATCGTTGCGTATTTTTTGGGGGTGTATATTGAATGTGTGGTGGGTGAATGTGAAGATTTTCGATGATGACGCCCTCTTCGGAAACCTGCGCGAACCGACAAACAATTTGAATCAAATGCGCCGTTAAAAATTAGGGATATGATGATTTCGCTAATTGTATCAGGAATACCAGATTAAATAGATTAACTTACATCTTGAATGTGGATGTTGATGATGGTCAAAATTATTGCTGTGAGGTTAGTAAGAGGGAAGAGGTGTGGTGGGAAGTTGAAAGGTTGAATTGAATTTGGAAGCCCCCTCTCGGATCTTTGATTTTTGCTTAGGTGCACAACTGAGAATTTCTCACTGAGAATTAGGTGAAATTAGGTAAAATTAGGTACGTCCTAAACAAATTTTGTGGACTGCAAAAGGACCCATTTTGCCTTGATAAGCGAGAGGGCAATTGAATCACATGACCTTATCAGTTATGTATGCTCAATGAGGTCAACTATTGTGTATGGTCTGTGCACAAATTGGCCCTACCAGAATGCATTACTCACATTTATCCACTCTCAATCTCAATGAAGCTTCAACCTTTTTTATACCAACACAAGTATTCAGTTCATCATAGCAGCAAGAGACAATGTCTTAGTCCAATATCGTCAGATTTTATTTTTCTCTACCATTCATACATGCAGAACAACCCATGATGCTTCATAACACATTAGATGCGTACTATGTCCATGAGAACCCGAGTAGACTATCATCCCTTACAAATCACTTCCCTCATTCATAAACCCATCCTAACCTAGTCCTGTGAGAAGACACCGTCTCCAATCTCCACAGCACCAACACTCCATATCTCCTTTTCATCCTCAACTTCATCGTTGCTCAGACCCAATCCACCTTGTCCACCCTCTGCCTCTCTTCTTTCCCTTGCTTGGTTACCCAAACGTACAGCCACTCTCTTGAAGTAATCTTGCATGCTTCGTTTGGTGTTTGCTGGAAGATCAGCTCCAGCTCCTCCCATATACTTCTCGAATACCTTGGTGTCTTCATCCACAACACTGAACAGCTCTATAAATGCTGCTTCGGCTGCTAGCTTCACGGGGATAACAGGATCTCGTACTGACGCGAAAACCGGCGGCGCTAATAGCGGAAGGTGAGGTCTGACCATTTCCAGATTGGCTCGAGATACTGTGCGCACAATCACGAGGGCAAGGCGGCGAGAATCAGATGGGTTTCCAGGGCCAATAATAGTAGCGAGGGTTGAGAAGATCGGCTTGGTGGATTCGAACGATTTTGGTGAGTCTGCCAAGAGGTATTTGCCAGTTGCTAGAATACTGTTGTCTGCCACAAAGAGCTACACGTCAAATGTTAGCAAGAAAAAAGGTAAATGATTTAAGAAAAATGACTGGAAAACTTACATTCTTGTTCGACATGCCCTGACAGAGTAAATCAGGCAAGTCTTCGGCTAGTGGGCTCTCTAACAACGTCTGCGGCGATTCCACAAAGACAGCGTTGAGCGCGAGTACTGAAGCATTAGTGAAGTGAGTTGTCGCTACGCGGTTCTTCAATAAGCCGTTGGCGATTTCGGGTGGCACGTTCTTAATCAACGCGCCGAGGAGTTTGGCGTTGGTAACGGTCATCGCAGAATCGGTTGTGTCCGTGTCCATATCAATCAGACTCAAAACCGCCGTCCGCGAGCTCTCACCCATGTTGGATCCTGCCTTACTAATAACCTCATACAACGCCTTCAGCATAGCCGTCTTAACACCCGGATCAGATGTTTTGGAACCAGTAACGAGCTCCGCTATCAACGGATCCACACGGGGAGTGAACTTGATCAGAGTACCCAATGCTTTAGCAGCGCGTGATCGCAGTAGTTCGCTAGAAGTATCCGCTAATGCCCTGGCAAATGTTCGTTGAAGCTGAGGTAAGAAAGGTTTTAGCGCTGTTGGTATCTTCTCGAGTAGGTTATTGAGTGTCAAAAGAATAGCCGCCTTAACATCAGTAGACCGTTCGGATACGACACGGATGAGGGGTCCTGTGATTTGTGTAACAAATGGCTTGAGAGACGCTTCGCTTGTCCTATCCACAATGTCGGATATGGCAAGGGCTGCACTTGTTCGCTGTTCCGCGGTTCCGTTCATGAGACCTTGGAGGAAAATAGGTAGGATAGCATTGATACCCTTTGGAAGCTCGAAACCTGGCAAGTTCGAGCCGGCGGTACCGACTTGTAGTAGTGTTTGCCTGGTTGATGGTACTAGAGCCTCCATCTCTTCCTTCTTGAGTCCCTTGGTGAATTCACTAAGCGCGGTCCATGCTGCCTTAACGACTTCCTTATCTCGATCATCGAATGAAATCAGGAGAGCGCGGATAATATCTTGGTTGTATCGCGAATAATCCACCGTGGAGTTGGCGAAGAAATTGGCAAGTCGGGACGCCGTTACGGCACGCTTGTGGTGATCATCGTTCTTGACTAATTGTAGCAAGACATTCATGACGGTATTCAGGCCGTCATACTCGTCTATCGACTGGATGACCGTGTCAAAGGAGGCCTCAAGGTCGGCCCGGAGTTCTTCGTCCTTGGCATGTACAATGTTATCCATGAGGGAGTTGATGATGTTGGGTAGACGTCTGTTCATAGCAGTACCTGCTACCCGTGATAAAGATGCCAATGCCCTGGCATTGAAGGCGCTAATAGGAGGAGCTATTAAGGTAGGGATGAGGTTTGGTAGGATAATGTTGGATCTGGTAGTCTCGGTGAGGAGAGTCAGAAGAGCAGACAAGGCATTATCCGCTTCGTCTTCGGAACGTAACAGGTTAAGGAGGAATGGAAGTACTTGATCGACGGCGCGTTTGCCGATGATCTGTTGTAATGAGTCGAATGCTTCAGCAGCAGCTTCTCTGACATCCTCGTCAGAATCTGTGAGAGCCGTCCGTACAACGGAGATGAGTGTCTTCTCGTGGTCTTCAAGAGCTTCTTCGGAAGCGGATGAAATAAGTTCCTTCAAGGCAAGACAGATTCCTTGTCTAGCGTTCGTATCTGTCGAAGTCTGGAGGCCTTCTTCGAGAGTCGGGAGCAGACTCGATAAGACGCCATCACCAGCCTTTCGGATTAGTTCGCCTAGGGCATTGCTAGCAATCACCTTGTGCTCCATATTCTCGCTACCCAAACGACGGATGATGAGTTGTGTGAGAGTAGGTGTAAGCTCCTTCAGAGTTCTCGGTGTAGCGACCAAGGCCTTCCATACGCTTACCGCAGCCGCACGAACGGCACTAGCAGTATCGCAGCGGCAGATGTACAGAGCAGAGAGAATCTTGTTACGCTTCTCTTCTCCAAGCACTTCACGAAGTGATGCGCCTGCCTCCTTGGCGATCTCCTCCTCATCTTCTGCATCTGCCTTCCCGCTGATACCAGTAAGATTAAAGAGGAGATCGCCAACAAGCTCGACGGAACTCAATCTAATCCTGTAGCTATCATCTGCCAAACCGCGCTCTAGTTCTGGTAACAAGAGATCTACAGCTCGAGCAGCGAAGTTCTTGACCAAAAGTCGACCAGCTCGCAGGGCCGTCTCGCGAATAGACTCAATATCATCTGCAAGACCCGCAAGGATAGGGGGGATGATCTTGCCGAGATAGTTGGCGAAACTGTTTCCGAAGCAGACGGGTAAGAAGATGAATAGAGACATGAAGCCCTCCCTGACGGCGGCTTTGGACGACTCCACGTTTTGTAATATTGTGGGTAAAGTCTCTTCCAATCTTGTAGTACCCAGTCCTGCCAAGACCTCGCTGAGAGCTTGTGCGGAACCAAGACGGTCTCCAGCACCTGTATCTGATTTGAGGGTTTGCATGAGTCCGGGGATAAGATCTGGTAGAGCATCTTCGCCAAGCTTCTCGACCAAAGAACCCAGCGCACGGGATGCTGTCGCTCGTGTCGTTGGGACCGGATCGACAGCTGCCACTTTCAACCCAGAAACAAGTACCGGTAGATGCGCGATCAGATCCCTTCGCTCGGTCAAGTGGGCAAGACTTCCTATGACTTGAGACGCCTTGCGCTTTGTATTGGATCGATCTCCCAAGCCGCGCTGGAGGATTCTAGTAACGAGAGCTAGCGAGGGAGCATCAAGGTAGTGAACGAATTGCACCTTGATCAGCGCATCCAAGGCATCGTCAGTGTACTTAGTAGGGTCGCTCAATGCCTTAAGTAGGATGTCTACCAGGCTCTTCACCTCGGGGTTCTCGATTACTTCACCGAAACGCTTCAAACTCTTGTTGGCCCCAGCTCGAACCTCCTTGTGGCTATCGTTCAGCACACCGGTAAGGGGCGGTATAATATCGGGAAGACTCTGTGCGAGTTGTTGGGGATCCAAATACGCCATGGCACCAAGAAGGTCGCAGGCACCACGTTTGCTGCGCCATTGGTCGTCATCAAGACCGTTGAGAAGAGTTGGTAAGATTTGTTTGACACCATATGAACTGAGCTTCGCGAAACACGCCTTAGCCGCCGCCAAGCATCCATCTCTGACATCTGCATTGCTATCGCCAAAACCAGCTAGAAGCTGAGGGACAATTTGGATGACGTATGGTTCAAACAGACGACCGAGTATGGTGGCAAGAAGTTCGAATGCAAGGAACGCACCCTCGCGCTGCTGAGGCTCTTTCTTGTTTTCAGTGGCGCTCTTCAGCGTAATAAGGATACGGTACTCTCGTAACACTGAGATACCTCTCCCTTGAACCAAGCCAGCCAACCCATACGCGGCACCCCGTTTCTCGGCATATTTCTTAGAATTTAGAAGGGTATCAAGTATTTGATCAAAATACTTGGACGACTTGTCGCCACAGGTCCGTACTAAAGGTGGTAGGCATTCTGCTACTGCGTATTGCACAGCTTCGGATGGTGTGCTTAGAGTAGCGAGTAGTCTGCCTATGACAACAGGGATCTTTGCATCTCCAGGTTTTAAATGTCTAGCGAGGGCACCGTACATCACGATGACGGCTTCATTAACGCGGTCTGCGGCTTCCGAGCCCTTGTCAGGGGCGGCCAAGGTACGCTCAAACGTTTTCATTAGTTTATCCACGAGAGCTCTGCCATGGAGATCAACCGCCACCAGCGCCGCTTCGAGCATCTCACTGCGCACGGTTGCATTTTGATCACCTAAAGGCCCGCCTTCAATTAGGAAATTGAAGAAATCATCAATCTGAGATTTCTGTAGGATAGCAGCAAGTTCTCTGAAAGCCGCCGCGAAACCATGTCTTGCCTCCCAAGGATCGGATAAATCGGTCTTCTTCGGCATGCCATACTCGTCGAGCTGGGGAGTTCGGGGTTTGGCAAACTCCGCATACGAAGTTCGGAGTTTTCCTAGCACGTTTTCGACTGTTGCTGGGTACGCTTTGCACGCTTCAGCTAAAGAACGTGCTGCTGCCCTCCTCAATTGCGCGTCTTTACTTTCAAGGTAAGGAAGCAGCTTGAATGGAACGTCTTTAGAAAGCTCAAATCCACTCTCCTCCCAAATCTCGTGTCCAAGGTCAACATTTTCGGGGATATCGTCATGGCACGCAATCCAAATTTCTTCCGAAAAGTCAAGATCACTCATATCCACTTCGGCGCTGATCGATTGCAATACCGTCTCACGAACCGAGGCTTGAGGGACAATTGCACCTTTTGCAAGGACCGCAATCTCGTTGGGGCTAATATTTGGAGCAACGCAACGGACCATGTCAGAGAAACAATCCTTAATAATCTTGTAGTGTTGGTTATATTTCTGTATTGAGGCAGTCAGTATAGCAAGGAGATCAGCTCGTGGAATAGTTTCGTCGGCACAAATATGAGTGTGGAAGTTGAGGAACTCGATCGCCAATACCAATTGGGCGTCTCTCTCATCGGTGCCGGCTCCGATACCACCTGTCCGTAGTATCACGAAAATTAAAGATAGCATGTAAATGACAGACACAGCGTCGAATGGGCGCTGCTCGCCAGCGAAGCGAAGACGATATAGAACTCTGGTTACGAGCTCTTCTAGCCCTTCTTCGGTCAGGTTTTCCGGGAGAGAACTAATTTCAAGAGCACGCAATGTCGCGATACCAATGAATGGCCGGATAGCTCCGAGCCTAGTAGTAACACGATCAGAGCATGCTAGGTAAGCCGTAGGTCCGGCATCGCCGGTGATGAGGCCCGCGCCAGCTTCCAAAGCTGCTAGCAGCGCGCTCATCGAGGGGCCAATCCATAGGTTTGGCTCTGTTGGTGGACTATTGACGAGGCTCTTGATAATACCGAAACCACGGATAAGCCGTGATTCCAATTGTTGGATAGATCGCCGGATTTCAGACTCTTTCTTGAGTTGAGCATTCACCTTAGCCTGTTCATCGGCGGTAAGTTTTCTTTGCTGTCCCTTTTTCTGTGCTAATTGACTTCGAAGCTCTTCTTCCCATTTCAGAGTATCATAATCTTTGGTGTTCTTGTCTGGGAGTGTTTGCTTCTTTGCGAGAACATCAATAAAGGCTGTCCCCTCTGGTGTCCGGAAAATCGCTGCTTCGACAGGACCGACTTCCTTGAGTTCTTCCGTCGCTAAGTCCGCTCGGATGAGTTCGATGATCTTCGGAGTTACAGTGTCCGGTGCCACAAAAGCAAGATCCGCCGCTGCGTTACAAGCAGCAATTTTGATTACTTTCGACTAGAAGCCAATTAGTTATAAACATTGACGCAAATATAACATTCACTCTTACCTTCTGGTCGAAACTTGTCTTATCGACCACTTGTTGTATCAATTCTTGTTCGTATCTTTGGGCTAGGCTCCCAGGATCTAATCCGACCTTGAGGCAGAGGTCTATCCAACTTGCCCGTGGTACTAAATCATTTCGAGCGATAACTAGCAGTGAGCACATCTGCTTCGCAAGCTCCTCCTGAGATTTCTCAGCACCCAATTCCTTGAATTCATCGCTGGTTAAGCAGATTGATCGGAGGATGAGATGTAAATGGGCGTTTTCAAATTTGGCGGTTGCTGCTATGCTATCCTTATCTTCTGTGTGCGAGGATTCGATCCACCGCCACAATCCATCGATAGCAACTCCGGAGGCAAAAGTCGGATCTCGAACATAAAGTTTTGAAATAGTCTCGCCAGTTTCCTTGCGAACCTGAGGGGGGACTGTAGTAGAAGATATAAGATAAATGAAGCCTTGAAACCAGACCACTTGCACATTCCTAGGGGCTTTTGACACATCGCCATAGGTGGCCGTAAGCGCTCGCAGAAACCATCTAGTATCATCTTCTGTGGTGAGTCGGCTGTATACACGGTGATTGAGCAGAAATGAAGGTTTCGGGTCAGCCACAAGACACTCTTTTGAGACAGAAGTCTTTCTGAGAACCATCTTAACAGCAGCACTGTCGACCTTAGATAGAACTTGTAATGACAGGGCGGCAAAGACATAAGCGCCTACGATCAAACCACCTTGGGCGGCAGCCGAAGGATTCTTAATAATTTCAGCCCAGGTATCAGCCAGAGGCCCTGCGATAGCCTCGGCTACCTTGGTTGCATTTGCTGGGATAGAATGAGCATCTTCAGTAAAAGGGGTAAATATCTCCCCAACTCGAAGCAGCCATAGCCTTCGTGAAGGTATCTTCTTATCTCCAAGGCCCTTGACGAACGCGTCAATTGCGGGTTTTGGCAAGTCGGCGCCATCCTTCAGTAAATATGAAACAGCTCGACTTATGACAGCTATTTCAGCTCCAAGAGCCCCTTCGTTTCCTTCTTTAGTTGCAACCGGCGGAAGACCGGTAGCAACCTTTGATGCTATCGAATTGGAAAAGGGCACGTGCTCCAGCATTTGTGAATGAAGAATACGTTGGTCTGCAGAAGCCAACTTCCCAGACTTGAGAGGGTTGAGGACCTCCTCGGCAATTTGGTCTGTCAGTTTCGCGTCGTGGCTGCGGGCCACCGTCTCCTTAAAAGCAGCTAAAACGCCCTCTCGAATAGTGGCGTTGCTGGACTTGGCATTCGATAATAAGGGCTTCAGAAGTCGCCCATTCAAGATCAGGGAAAGATCTATTTTTTCCGGAAGTGCACGAACCAACAGTGCTACTAGGTCTAGAACTACTTCGGGGGCTCGCAGGAGACCTTTTTCGATAGGTGGTATAATGTCTTTATCAAGATCGTCCAGAGTAACAAAATCGGAGAAGAAATCCCGGAGGCCGGTCGCAATATGAGCTGGTACGGGTGTACGAGATCCTACAATTTCCCTAGTGAAAAAGGTGAAGTATTCCGACTTCTTGCTGGCCAAGATGGCCTTAGCTTGTTCGTGGCGAGAACAGACCCCAGCAATAACACCGAGGAGAATAGCATTCTTCGCGGTCGGCTGGGCCCCCTTAACAGTAAGAGCTTGTACTGCATCCTGGATAGCTTTTTCTCTTAGACCACTGCGCCAGAAAGCTGCGCGCAAACCGCGACGTGTAACCACTAAGGCCGATTGTGCGACACTCGGTCTAGTTGTGGATTGTAGACATTTTTCGAGAACCGCGGCGTCGGCATGTATGATTTCGAGCCCAAATTTGTCCCACAATGGTCTTCCGGCTAGGTTTTGTAAAATAATAGAGCACCACTCGACCAAAACGAATGCATTCTTCGCAGCTATTCCAGGCTTCTGAGATTCCTGTCGCAAGGAAGAAATAAACGGCGTCAGGATCTTGGCATCGTCGGTCGCAGCGAAGATGGAGCTAAGACAAGACTCAACAGCCCTCCTAGAGGGACGATCATCGTATAAACGGTGGGTATCAAATAGTAATTGTAAAAGTTTTGGTATTGAAGACTGATCGATAGCTATTTTACCAATACAAACGTTAGTATACATGTGATAATTATGAGAAATGCGCTCGAAATAGCTATATAGTAAAATTGGTATGCCTCACTCTTGTCTTTTAATTTCTCCTCGACCGCCCGTAGTTGAGATATTCGTGTTTTGGTAGAAGAAGAATAGAGAGCGGGCTTGGCTGAAGCAAAATCGATGCCACCGTGCGAGGCACCATTCGTAGCCGCTTCAGTCATTTTGGCGGACCGAAGGAAGATCTACTGACATGATAAAGAATGAATTAAACTTCTTTGTGTGTATCCCCTTTTTTGTATAGTACAGGGGGTAAATCAAGGGTGGAGTTTTTATGTACGTCTTTTTGGCAGTTCGTGATAATCGTTGTCGTTTGTTTGGCAAAGTGGGTTGAAAATATTGGTGGGAGTGCCAGGTTGCCTTATCTTATCAGTTCAGTTAGACACGACTTCACTGACGGGCGCACCTTCAGCTTTTACAGCTTACATCTACCCCGCTCTACCCGCTGTAGCTTCCCAATTTTCACCGGCGAGTGAGTCAATTCACCACCTTGCAGCACTCCTAGTCCCTGTAACTACCAAATTGACGGCGTATCTAGGTACCCTAAGCAAGCACGTTCTAGGGGATAGCACCCCGCCTTCCCGTCGCCGCCTCACCCGCCTAGCCGCTAAGCCCTTTCCCCACAGCTCGGGCGACACACCCACTAACGATGATTGTCACACCTGAATTTTAGAGCTCTTCGTTTACCAGTAACAACTTTTTTTTTCTCTTTCGAAATTTTGTGGTCTTTTGCGGCGTTTTCGGTTGAGGAGAAGTTGTGGTGTCTCTTGTTCCTTATTTACTAAATTACAATCACAATGGGGGCGAAGAAAAAGAAATCGAAGCCAACAGCTAACCCAGCTCGTGGTTTTGCTACGACTTCGATTGCCTCGAAACCGAGAGCTGAAATAGCCAACGAACCGGCGCAAACCGCTACAGAGGGAGGGAAGCTCGATGCCCCTCCAAAATCGTCATCTCGCGATCCTAATGCCCCACCATCGAATCCTAACCTCGACAACACACCCAATAATTCAGAAAAGAAAGAAACATTAAGTCCAGAAGAATTCGAGAGACAGCTTGAAGAGTCTGAGTTACAGCTTCTAGTCGAGAAACATGCACAGAAAGTTAAGAGGGATGCTCAACGTCAAAAAACAAGACTTGAGACCGATCGCCGATTACTTCGTGGACAAGCAGAATCCCTGAACATAAGAAAATGGTTACCACAGGAGCTCATGGACCATATTTTAGATTTAATCCAATCTGAGAATCGATTCGGTGCAACGTCCCTCAACTCAGATGGCATCTCTAGTAACGGCAAATTACCCCCTGAGGAAGATTTGGTGGTACGATTATGGACGCTACAACTTACTCTAACTGGCGCCGGCTTCTCTGAAGATAGGGTCAAGGCTGTGCTACGATATACGTTGGACATCGCTGCTAGCATTAGTGGTGCAAACAAGGATGCCATATGGGGATTGGAAGAAGCTCTGGATTGGCTTGCCCGTGAATGCACCAAAGATGAACTCCACGAGTACGAGTACAAAGGTAGGACAACAAAATCACAAACAGATACACCATTGGACAGTCCTTTACCCTCGGGAGCGAACACACCTCTTCTATTAGCAGTCAATGCTTCACAGAAACCAAAGAATACCTCTACAAACCCGAAAAATACCTCCAAGAAAGTCGCTGTCGTCTGTCATGAAGATATTGAACCAGATGATTTAATCCCGGCTTACCTAGAAACAAAGGCCAAGCTGTTCCAATTACAACGACCTAAACAGGATAATAAGAAAGGCAAATCGGCAAAGAATTCTGCGCATGGAGCAAGGCATATTTCCCTAGATGCATCAGGAGATGATCTAGAGGAGGCCAAGCTGCTTGCGAAGATTGACAAGATTGAACAGGATGTACTGTTCGATAAATTTGACGCGGAACAGAAATGGCGAGCCGATCGAATAGAGCTAGAGAAGGAATTTTCAGCCAAAAGGAAAGCTGAGGAAGAAGCAAAGGAGAAAAGCGATGCAGCTCAGGGAGCGGGATCGGACGACGATGAAGTAACAAGGGAAGCAGAAAGGATCGCTACAGAGATATTACAACAAGACGACGCCGAGGACGACCAGGCTCTCTCTGATCTCTTTGCGAGCCTTCCCGTCCAAGAAACAGACGCAACCGGCAAGACAAATACCGTGATCAATGGAGCAGATGGTGTGAAAACTGTTATTCGCGACTTTGGAAAATTGTCCGGTATCAATCCAACCCGAACACTCGAAGAAACTTGCCGATCGAGGTATTTAACGTGGCTCTTCTTTACTTAATACGTACTAAATTTCATTTCAGGGATACATCCGTCAAGATCATATATAAACTCGTATCTGAGAATCCATTTTCCAACCGCCACTTAGTATCCATTCAATGGTCCAAAGCACAGGAGCTTATACCTGTCCCTAATATACCAGATATCGAAAGTGCAATATCACCACAGCAATTTGTGTTCCAGATGAGTTCAATTGCAACCCCTGACTCAAAACAGTCTGAGGCGTACATCGCTACTTTAGCATTATTCGTCATATTTGGGTCTACGAAGGAAGAAAAAGCATCCTTGAGATTGCCCCCAGCGTGGAGGGACTTTTGGACCGAGCTAGTAGAACAAAAGAAGAACCAGACAGATGCTGCAGACCGAGCAGAAATAAAGGATTTACGCGAGATGGTTCGACAGAAGCACGATCAAGAACTTGAGGATGGTATAGTTCTTCAGGGCGCTTTCAAAGGTCGCGGTTCACAACGTAACGCCAACGAGACCGGTGATGATTCCGGAGCAGAGAGAAGCACCCATACATTAAATCCGGAATATTACCAAAGCATATGGGCTCATAAATCTAGCACACCTAGATTTCAAGCCATGCTAGTCAGTATCCCAAATATTCCACTTAACATAGCAGCTAACATAATCCTAGCAATCCCGAATGCAACTCCCAATGTGGCATTTTAGGGACCAAGTACTCAGTGCTGTTGAACGAGAGCAAGTCGTCATAGTTTGCGGAGAGACAGGATGGTAAGTCGAAATACAGGAAATGTTCTTCTTTTTAGCTAATCAATCATTACAGCGGTAAGAGTACACAGGTACCGTCGTTCCTTTTAGAGCACCAATTATCCCAGGGCCGACCATGCAAGATATACTGCACGGAACCTAGGAGGATTTCTGCTATCTCGTTAGCTCGCCGAGTTAGTGAAGAACTTGGTGAAGGACGAGGTGACCTTGGAACGCCGAGATCCCTCGTAGGGTATTCAATCCGCCTCGAGGCTAACACGTCCAAAGAGACTCGACTTGTTTACGCCACTACAGGTATTGTGATGAGGATGCTTGAGGGATCAAATGAGCTTCGTGAGATTACTCATCTTGTGCTCGACGAAGTCCACGAGCGCTCAATTGATTCTGATTTCTTACTTATCGTACTGAAGAAATTACTCGTCCGTAGGAAAGACCTCAAGGTAATACTCATGTCTGCGACCGTCGATGCAGAGAGATTTTCCAATTATCTGGGACGCGCTCCTGTCCTCAACGTCCCCGGCCGTACATTCCCAGTACAGGTTAAATATCTCGAGGATGCCCTAGAGGTCACCGGCTATACACCTAATCAATTGAACCAAGAGAAGATGACAGATCTAGACGACGATCCACCAGAAGGCGATATCGTTGACATCAACTCAATACCAAATGCCGCTAGGGAGTTAAAACACTATTCGGCAAGAACCAGGAATACATTGTCACAACTTGATGAATATCAAATCGAGTACGATCTAATAGTACGATTAATCGGGCATATAGCTGTCGACCCGGCTTATGTAAATTACAGCAAGGCCATCTTAGTGTTCCTCCCTGGTATCGCGGAAATTCGAAATCTGAACGATTTCCTACTTGGAGAACCATTCTTTCAGAGAAACTGGGAGGTATACCCTCTACACTCTACTATTGCCACCGAAGACCAGGAGCGAGCTTTCCTTGTCCCACCAGAAGGGGTAAGGAAGATTGTGTTAGCGACGAATATCGCGGAGACGGGTATCACTATTCCAGATGTGACATGCGTCATTGATACCGGGAAGCATCGTGAAATGAGGTTCGACGAGAGGAGGCAGTTATCACGCCTTATCGACACATTTATTTCAAGAGCAAACGCCAAACAGAGACGCGGTCGAGCAGGACGTGTTCAAGAGGGGCTTTGTTTCCACATGTTTACCAAATATCGCCATGACTATTTAATGAGCGACCAACAAACACCCGAGATGTTGCGTCTATCGCTACAAGATCTAGCAATTCGCGTTAAGATTTGCAAGATTGGCGGTATCGAGGAGACATTAGGAGAAGCGCTCGATGCTCCTTCAGCGAAGAATATTCGCAGAGCTATCGATGCTCTCGTGGATGTGCGAGCTCTTACGAATACCGAAGAATTGACACCGCTAGGCCACCAATTGGCTAGGCTACCTCTAGATGTGTTCCTCGGCAAACTTATCCTTCAAGGCACGATTTTTAAGTGTCTTGATATGGCCATTACCGTAGCCGCTATTTTATCATCCAAGTCACCATTTACGGCGCCATTTGGCCAAAGGGCGCAGGCAGACCAGGCACGAAAAGCATTCAGAAGAGGAGATTCCGATCTACTCACCGTGTACAACGCTTACCAGGGCTGGAAGAAAGTGTGCCGAGATTCAAACAACGACTTCCAATACTGCAAAAAGAACTTTTTGTCGCCACAAACCCTTTCGAACATCGAAGACCTTAAAGGTCAATTGTTAGTATCTCTTGCAGATTCAGGGTTTCTGCAACTTACCGATGAGGAACGACGTACACTGAACCGTCTCCGTTACTCTAGTCGAAGACGCCAATTCTACGAACTTCCCCAACGCGTTAACACGAATAGTGACAACGATGTTATCGCGGCATCAATGATCGCTTGGAGCTTTTATCCAAAACTATTGGTGCGTGAGGGCAAAGGGTGGCGTAACGTGGGTAACAACCAGAGTATTAGCCTTCACCCTACGAGTGTCAATAAGGGACACATGGAACTTAAGTGGCTGTCATATTATCATATTATGCAGTCAAAACAGTAAGTTATTGAAAATACGGACGTGATTATACATAACAAAGCTAATAAGATATCAGGTTCCTTAACGCCCACGAGACAACAGCCGTCGAAAACTTTGCCATCGCCTTACTTTGTGGCGACGTACGCATTGACGTATGTAATCATCTTCTCCTTATACCTCCCCCTAATACTAACAAAAAATAGATGTACGCAGGCGTAATAGTCCTGGACGGCAACCGCGCGCGTTTCAGCGCACCCGACTGGAAGTCGTTACTCGCAATTAAAGCGTTACGAACACGTCTCCGCGACTTAATGACACGATCATTCCGTAACCCAGGAAAACTACCCACGGCGCAGCAAGAGAGATGGCTCGATGCCTGGCAGCGCGTTTTCGCTCAAGACTTCAGCGGGAACAAGACGTAGGACGCTGTTGCCGTAGCGGCGTGCGGATCCTATCCTAGGACACTGGATTTTGTTCGTATTAGAGGGAAGTAAAATACCTACCCAGGTATTTAGTTGGTACACAAGAGAGGAGGTACCTCAGAAAAATCTTGCTTGTAGGAGGGAATCAGCTGCTAAGGAACTTGGCTTTTTTTTCTCGTTTGATGGTTTGGAAGAGGGAGGTATGCATGTTGCATAAATATTGTGTGTGGATGGACACAGATACCCAGGTGGCAACTATCGTAGCATAGGATCGTACCATATCGCCTTGCATCTTCGGACGGATAGGCAAAGTCAAAGTCGGATAAATAAGAAGATACATGTTGAAGTATATTCGCATCTGTGCCGTCTTACCGTCTCCCATTTACTATGATGTGAACGAATACTTTCCCAACCTCCTTGTGCTACCAGCTCAACAAAAAATCCGATTATATAATGAAGATTACGATGGCGGCGAGATTAGTAAGATAATATCTACGCCATCGACGTAATACAGCGAAACAAAAAGCAACACATCAATTCCACATCACAATCAACAACTTCGAGGTCTTCATGTTTCAATCATTTCGAAAAATAAACTGACTAATGCATTTCGATTCAGCCTGCCGGCCTACGTGGTACATCGACTCTAATCTACCCAAGTACCAACTCGTCCACCCAACGCAATAACATGCATGGTAAACGAGTAGTAGGCAGATTTGAATGCTATTTTAAAAATAAGAGCAAGTTAGGTAACCAAGCACTTATTAGATTTAAGAGTTAGAGACAGATACTTGTTTGTAGGGACAAAAATGATTTTCTCGAAAAATACCCTTCCCCTTTGACCGAAAAAGTTCCCTTCCTTTCTTTTCGTCCTCCTTTCCATGATGATGATGATGATGATGATGGCGATTGGGGGGGTTCATTCAATCCCCGAGAAAAAACCGAACCGGACCGAAACCGAGAACCGATGATGATGCAATGAAGAGAGAAAGAAGAAAAAAAAATGTCATGCCTATGCCAATGGTATCGAACTTTCGTGCTTCCTTTTTTTATTGAAAGAATCTTTCTTCTTCTAGAATCTGAACTGTTTTGCTCACTTTTTCTCTCGCACACACGCACGCACACTGAATAGGTAATTAAGTAAAGTAATCGTAATGCCAGGGGTATCAAGGAAGGAATCTGAACTCGATCGACCATCGTAACTCGATCACCCACGCCCAAAATATGCTCCCGTATCCACCTCACCACTCCGTTTTTCTCGTATGTATGTGGTATGCATCATGTACGAAGTAATGCTCATGTGAACCCCTTAATCGTATATTCAATTTCGTCCCGTCCCATTAACCTGGTGGTTGGCGGTACTTTCGCCATTTCCGGGGTTAAGAAATAGGGCTTTGAAATCGGCGTTACTCTTTGGTTTCACAGCAGCCCCAGTGCCGTTGGTTTCCGAGGTATGGTGATTATTCTTGCTAGCATCTTTCTTCGGCGCAACAAATCCTAGTCCTCGCTTTGGTCCTCGGCCAGCCACAGGTCTTCGGATGTTTTGAGGAGGCGGCATGAATCTACCCTCCTTCGAACCTCCCTTGTGGTTAGCAGCCTTCCTTTTGCCCGTAATTATTTTGTCCTCCCTCTTTTCACTTCTTTCCTGAAGGAGATCTCGCACAGTGCCAGTGCGAACTTTTCGGCCTGGTACAATCTCGTACCCCTCCAAGCCTAGTGCGGCTCGTCCAACGGTCGCGGCATCAGCGAACTCGATGATGGCACCTTGGTGATCAGGTCGCAAAATAAGTTTTACAATAGGGCCGTGCTTCTCGACGATTGCTCGGACGCGAGCATCGTTGACAGTGTCCGGGACGTTCATAATGGCTATTGTGCGTTCCTGAATTTCCTTCGATGTTGGTTTTTGAAATCCATTATGGAATTCGCCATTACCGTCCGTCATCGCCACATCGCCGTCTCCACTAGGGGCGGGTGACGCAGAAGGTCGGTCGCCTCTACTTACGGCAGAGGGCTTGAAGTTAGTCTCTTTACTGAGGTCGACTAGAAGGATCTGCGACTTGAATTTGGTCTTGTCAAGTTGTAGAGCACTCTCGGCATCCTCTTTCGTCTCGAACACGATGTAAGCAGTACCAACATTCTTACCACCAGTATTTCTAACGATACGCACGGTAGAAACTTTGCCGTACTTGCTAAAGACATCCTTAAGATCATCTTCATTCGCGGAAGAGTCGACGTTTTTGACTCGGACTTCTCGGCTTTCTGCAACAGCCCCTTCGCGATCCTTCTTGTGGGTAGGGTTCGAATACTTAGATTGTAATTTGAACTTGCCCTCGATAAGCTGCCCGTCTAACTGTGTCGCCTTATAAGCGGAATCCTGATCCCTAAATGAGACATAGCAGAAACGACGATGTGTGTTGAACTTGAGAGATGGAAAGCGAACGGCGAAGACATCGCCGCAATCCTTGAAAAGACTGCGGATATACGTTTCGTCTGCAGTAGGCGGGTAATTAGATACGAAGAGAGTCAAGCCCGTACCAGGTTTGACGGTGATCTGATGTTGACCGAAATACTTCTGATCTCGCAAGAGGGCGGATTGAACATCCTCCGTAGACCTGAATTCGATCAAAGCAGTGCTAGACTCGCCGTCTGGTTCTTTACGCAAGTCTAAATTATTGATATGTCCATACTCCCTGAAGTACTTGCGAATAGCCGTCTGTGTCACATCTACAGGTAGATTTGTAACTATAACAGAAGTATTTTCTCGGTCGCGCTTAAGTTTCTGCTCATTAGCTAGACGATCGGCACCGTCGGCCTCTAGACTCTTGACGCGCTTGCTCACACCCTGGTATGTGTCGTCCGGTGTGAATTCTCGTTTCCTCTTGGAGCCGGATGGTGATCCTGGTACCACACCATTCTCCGTGGCCGGATCGTGGGTCACGTGCTGCTGTGCTTGTTGCATCTGGGCTTGGTAAGCGGCCTGTTCTCGTTCGCGACGTTTAGCAACCTCCTGTCGAGCTGTATGAACCATATCAAGAGCGTGATGAAGAGTCTCGGGGGACTCGTAATCATTACAATGTTGCAGATAGACTTCCATGATTCGTTCAGGCCAGTCCAGAGTCGGTCGCGCAATAGCACGCTGGAGAATGGTAGTAGCGAGACCAGGAACTCGCCTAATCTTAGTACCGCCTACTGGGGTGGCTGGAGTAGGACTCCGAGGTTTTGGCTTAGAAGCATATATCATCATCTCCCATAGATAGTAGTTGAGCCAGAAGTCATAGCTATCAGCCGTTAGAGATTGGTCGGCCATGTTATCCCAATGTTCTCGCGCATCATCAATTTCACCTTTCACCTCGGTGAGGAATTGGATGAGAATGCGCTGAAGCCTGTAGTTGGGGTCGCCTCGATAAGCATCCTTGTAAAGGCGTCTACCCCAGAGGTCAACATCCTCCAATGCAGCCAATAAACCAACTTCGGCAACATCAGCTGCATCTTCGGGTGCATTAGGATCCATTGCTGTCCGCTTCAGGAAGCCACACCAAGCCGTGTACATATCTAAAACACCAGCCATGCCATTTTTATCAAGAGCTTTTGTATTTGTGGCGGCATGCTTGATCGACTCGACACTATGGAACGACCAACCTGCCTCCTCGGCTGTTAGGATGTATCGGGACCAAAGAGGGCCAGACCATGGACAGTGAGAAGTGGCTCGCTGGTAAAAGTCAGGTAGGTTGGGTATGGGCAATGGGAGTTGGAACGTCCTAGCGTGGTGTTGTAATGCTGACAGGTAAATGGCAGCATCACTCCAGACCTCGTCATCAAAGGCAGATATGCCACAGAGCGCTCGCGCGAATAATCCAAGGCAAAGAGACACAGATAATATAGGATTTCTGAACTTCTTTTTTATCTGTGCTATCTCCCAGCCCAGATAGTCCTTCATGGTTGCTTTGTGTGCCTCATCATCTCCTGATTTGATGGCCCTGTTCAATTTTAGCTCGTATGGTTCCCTCGCCTCGTATGCGGCCTTTGCTTCCTGTGCACTGGCGGTCATTTCCTTGAATTCGGTCTCATAGGCAGCATTGTTGTACGTGCTTAAGAAGCTCGAGAACATCTGCGACGTATCATCCCAGGTAGCATGGGGAACTTGAAGTCGGTCGCGGAAGAGATGCGATATGCGCTTAACGCCGACGGGAGTCCTGGTTCTGGCTAATTGTTCAAGTTCGATGGAAACCCAGCGATTCCAAAACTCGTGACTATCATTGATGCGATACTTTATGGCCTCGTAACCCTGACTCCAGAGACTCAGAGCTGAATCGAAGGAAAAATGCTTACGACCACGTTGTTGTTCCTCCTCGGACCATCCAGCCTCACTCGACTGACAATCGGTAAAAAGCGACCAGAACCATTCGCAATATGCCAACCAAATCTTTAAGCTTCCAGGTTCGGCGGCGACAGCATTCTTGAAGAGCTCGACGACATTGAGACGCGCCTCGAGATCGTTGGCATGTCGGCTTTCCTCGTCAACGTAAGCTAACCAACTATCCTCACCCACAGGGTTCGCCATTTTGTCCTTGTTTCGCGCAAAGACAGGCCGGGCGGCTTCATGTGTTTCGCGGACGACAGGTACGGGATTCGGATCGTGTTGGGCCGTGGTTGATTCGGTGGTTGAATTGCGTTGGTGGATATGCGCCCACTTTCACTCTGTCCAGTATGGTATTGTTCTTTTCTCCTCTCTAGCACCGTCTCTTCTTTCTTCCACTCTCCGCAAACAACAAAGCTGTCCACTTGTTCGATATGCGCCCGGTTCAGTTAAAAAAAAAATGTGGACTAGAAACTCGAGGATTACGATTGGTCGGATGCAAACACGATCGGCCAAGATGGGTTTAGGACTAATACGTAACGTATCGTGCTGGAGTTACGTGTGTGTGAGTTGTAATATGCGGTGCGTATGTGGCCAGGCCGTTTGTATGGATTGGATTGTATGGGTTATTTGAGATGGGAAGGGATGTACTGTATGTACTGAGTATGGGGAGATGCGCGTGCGTGCGTTTCGTGCGTTCGTGCCTAGACGGGTAGGTAATTGTGTATGTACTTGTTGTTCAATTTGCCTAACCAAACGGGAATCTGTAGGCAAAAATGAATGTCCCAGGTAATTGCAAAAGGGTTAAGAAAAACAAACGACAGTAAAAAAATGATCAACACGCGACGGAGAATTTTTAGTTAGGCAGATGGATGCCACGGCTGGGTCTCGAATCTGTGATCGGCGACTCTTTCTCGGTATTGGGGATAAAGAGAACGGCGGGTTAATTAAATTTGATGACTTTTTTTTTATTCATTGAAACATCGCCGATGGACAACAGCTTCTCTTCTTTTTCCCTTTTTCCTCTCTCTCCTGTAATGTATTTGCGTTTCTTCTTTTTGTTGATCATTTATCCTCATAATCTCATTAGAGGGTCATATTGAAAAAAAAAGACGAAAGGAAAGATATGGCGGGATGTTGCGAAATGGTTGAGAAGAAAAAAAAAAGTTAAGGTGAAGTTTATGATTGTTCAAGTCCGTAAAACTCCACCTTGCACTTTCCCATGTCTCTTCTTTGGGTAGGTACATGTAGGTACAAGGCAGGTGCAAGTATCTTAATCTGTCTTAGTGGGAGATCGTTTGATTAACTTTAGGGACTACCTGAACTATAATTCCATTCAAGACCAACCTAACCATGCTGTTCCTGAAAATTTCAACAGTATAAAGACCCCTTTGAGTTGATTATCGCGTGATTTACATCCATGATCCCATGTTGCCATGTTCCGTGTAGATCTCCCCGCGACTGAATCGATCCTATTCTTTGTTTTCAAACAGTACATAGGTACTTGTCTTTATGTTTATCAGATTATAGAAGTCTTGGAAAAGTGAAGGTGTCCAGTAGGTACTTTCCCTCGGCGATTTCGGCATTGCGTATGAAGCTACCACCTTGGCTTAGTGGAGGTGATGTACATCGCATTTGTGTGTACTCTTTTTAAGTTGATGCAGTGTGAAAGTTACTTACAAACAGACACACCAAAGTATAGACTTGTACTTATAGCTAGATTCTACTAGTTCGAGTACTATACCGCGTACAGCTAAATGAAGTGACACGACAGACAGGGCCAAGGAAAGGGCCTGGCTGTACCCGAGGTTCTATTTAGGGTTCTAGGCCATCCCAAATACCCCAAATAGATGAAAGCTGCAGCTGCCAACCGAATCATCGTGACGATGCGGGCAATGCGACACCCCCAATGTCGTCATTTGTCTTACAGCGGCCCCGTCCTGTGGCCCCCTTGCCGGTCCCCTTGTGGCTTTCTTCTTGGCTAACCTGTAGACAATTCGCGGTGGTTACGAAGTCTTACGATGATTTTCCTACTCTAATTCACCCAATTTGCCTTATAATGTACCCAAGTACCTAAGTACATATCTAAGTACCGATGTACCCAATTACAAACTCCCAAGTCCGGATCTTTCCCCCGTTTATTTCCATTACATACCACGTGCAGGTGTACGTAGACAGGCATGTACCTGGTATTAAACTTAACAGTCACGTAACATTTGACCAGGTCTCTATTTTTTTTAATTGCTGTCCTTTTTTCTCTTCGTCTTTTCTTTCCATCTTTAATTGGCATGGCAATCGAAAATTCCTTGGCTCAACCAGGTCAATATTTTAGAACCCGATAGAAGAGTAGTATTTTTAATTCGGTGATAAGAAAAGGTATATGAAATGTATATCTCTTTTTAAAAAAGGCTAAGTTAGATCACAGATCACAGATCACAAGCCAAAGGATTGAGACATTTTCACACTAAATCATTATAGGAACGGTATAAGTATGTATAGTACAGTTCCATCGTTTGTTTTGACGATCATATCGGTTTCTCAGGTACGGTATTCCAAAGTATATCAAGTATCTCAAATATTTCATTCCATTACTTATTCGTGTCTACGAATAGATATCGAGTTAGTAATCCCTCATTCTTCTTTCGAAATAGGTTGGCCTCGCATCATGATGCCAGCTTCATCACCTCCAATGAAATTACGAGAGGTTGGGAACAAAAAACCAAGCTATATGATTAGTATTAAGATCAAATTCCTTCCTTCATACAGCTTCGAACCAACTAAAGTGAGGCTATATGTCGAAAAAGTGGATCTAACCCCCTACCCAGGTATTGCAGTGCATATGGTGATGTTGAAAATAGCCTCACATAGACGAATGCGACTAATAACAAGTATAGCCAATTCCCACTGACCTAACCCCCCACTTATGACAGGATCATGAACTAGAAATGTCATCAGGCTTACGAAAGAGTCGAACGATATGATGTGGCCTTGTAAATAATAGGCATAACGGTCAAGAAAGGAAGAGATATGCCATGAACCAATTTGTTTTTTTCTCACGTAAGCTGATATATCCTCTGCCGTTAGTCCAGACGCACATACCTCCAGGAATGATTCGCCGCATATAAACGACATGTTGTTAAAGGCGATATCAAGACTTAATCGCCTACTCCGACAATACGGCTCATTCGGCATAGACCAAATATTCTCAATGCTAATCGTAATTCGTCGTCGACCACGGTGACCAAAATGGTACGGAGCCAAGACTTGTGTCAGCAGAAAATACGTACGTTCGGAGTCGCCGTCCCCGTGCGCTGGGTACCCTCACGTGAGAGCATTGCAGTACACCAACTGTCTCAGCGAGAACACTGTCGATGGAATCAAATTTCTATGCGGTCTCTTCAAGCTAGGTATCATCCAAAGGTGCGGTTCCATGCCAAGCTGTAACGCAGCATATCAATAGTCTATTTGTTCAGATATGACTACTCCCAGATTTTTTCAGGTCTGACAGCAAGCTGGTATCAAATTTCTTCCAGGCAATCCTATATGCCGGTACTCAGTTTTCGAGCCAGCGTAGCACTTCAGAGAGATACCTTACCAGCCATCCGCGAGCGGCATTTCTAGCGAGAAATCAGCTACCCCGGAATTTTTCTGGGGAAGAATAACAAGTTTACATTAACAGAACAGGAGTTTCAATTAGCAAATACTGCTAGCCAAGGACTTGTGAGTCCTAGGATACAGGCACGTTCGGATATATGAAGCAGTTTTTCCTTTCCGAGTATTCTCGCAATTACGTCAAGGCACATATAGAGATATTAAAGGTTGGGATAACAACCCTTTAAAAACTCCGTGGACGACATATACCCCCCTGAGTCTCATAATACCGATATCTAGAACATTTTTGACTAAGCGAAGAGCCCAAGATAGCGGATAGAACAATCCCCACGTTATCCACACAACCAATCACCGTAGATTAGCAGGCTAAATACTGTCACTCTGGCACGTCTGGCCGCCGGGTTCCAGGAGCCGGTGCATATCACAAGGGAAACGGAGGGTGTGGGGGCCCGTCTTGTGTATCTCCTTGTTTCTCCTGTTCCTTCGTCGGGCCTCAAGTTTATGAGCGGTTTCCTTCGGGGAGCTTCCCAACCCCGGGCTCATTCTACCCCGAAACTCCCCCGACATGCATCGCTACGACATAGTGACGCAAGAGCAGCCTTCCCGACAGGCACAGGTTGCCGTTGCAGCGATCCTACCCTGATGAACGACACCCCGCTGAGAGACTCTCCTTCCACCACAATCACACCGCTCCTCTAGCACGGCATCCGTTTAGATAAGACCCCAACCTCTTTTTGGTCCAGTCAATATCCATAACCAAGTATTTCGAACAGACGGGTTTACATTGACCAATCTAGGTGTGTCTACCAACAAAAGCCAAAGGGAGGGACAAGATCGTACGCCTGAGGCTCCGTGGAGTTTGGAATTAATTGATGATAGACACGATCGACACCTAAATGGGCGAAGTCTCCTGATTTTTGAAGGTAGGCTCTTCCCCTCCTTCGCACTAGTCATATATCAAAATCGATATCATAGAGAGGCAAGATATTCGAATCTAGACCTAGACTAGTCGGCTCTATTCCAGTCCTAATCTAGCCATATAGATGAAAGCTAAGCTAATAGGAATGAAGTCATGTGCTGCCTAATTTTTCTCGCCCTAATCTCAATCTACGGGCGTTTAGATCAGGAAGCACTTATGCGGCGCGGCCTTCATCCAGATCTCTTTCAAATCCCTAGCCAACCACACCTGCAATCGAGATAATCTACCTGGTTAACTTGGGCATTCGTTTCATTAGCTAAGTCGGCAGAAAATTTAGTTCAGGCTTTCCTCACGCCCATAGCAGCGAATGGGACCTAGCCACGTCGGAGCCTCACTCAGGTTCCCAACAAATGCATGTGACTGATGCCTAGAGCTTCAGGTAAGATACAACCTGAGGAAAAACTTTATATCCAATAAAACGAACGCCGACCTTACTAGGAATGGACTCAATATCCTCCAGTAAGGAGGTACTGTTGCCCCGATGCCCCGTCGACCTTTCACGTAGATGGTAGCAATCAGATGCATCAACAAATAGCCATTACAGCTACAAGCTTGATATTTGAATTTTAAGTGTTGTCGCTATAGGCACATAGAGTTAGACCTTCCGTCCTTACGGGATGCGAACCGGCAATAGACACCATTGAGACCATGTAGACCACTCGTATCCTGATTAGAGCTGAGATAGCAAACGAATCAAGACTGTGTCTATCTCTAATGTGCTGGTGAGGCTCGTCGTTGCCG